ATATCTATATCTAAATGTTATATCTATATCTAAATGTTAAATCTAAATGTTAAATCTAAATGTTAAATCTAAATGTTAAATCTAAATGTTAAATCTAAATGTGTCGCCAAGTGTAAAGCTAAATATATAGAAACTACGCCCACTGCAGTGGCTTCAAATCCAGTGGGCCCGCCTTCCGTGCCGTGTGGTGAGTGGGGGCGGTGCCGCGTGTTTTGAACATAGGAATACACGTGGACCGACGTCACGGCTCAAGGCATGTTGGGTCTCCGGCGCCATCGTCCTTGGCCACGGCACAAAATTAGCATTTTTGTGAAGATTCTTGCTTATTTGCTGGAGCCAGAGTGTATTCACTGTAAACTAAGCCACGTGGAGTCCCGTGAGATTCCTGTGTAATCCTGTAGGGTTCTCACCACACGGCACGGAAGGCGGGCCCACTGGATTTGAAGCCACTGCAGTGGGCGTGGTTTCTATATATTTAGCTTTACACTTGGCGACACATTTAGATTTAACATTTAGATTTAACATTTAGATTTAACATTTAGATTTAACATTTAGATTTAACATTTAGATATAGATATAACATTTAGATATAGATATAATATTTAGATATAACATTTAACATTTAGATATAGATATAATATTTAGATATAGATATAATATTTAGATATAGATATAATATTTAGATATAGATATAACATTTAGATATAGATATAACATTTAGATATAGATATAACATTTAGATTTAACATTTAGATTTAACATTTAGATATAGATATAACATTTAGATATAGATATAATATTTAGATATAACATTTAACATTTAGATATAGATATAATATTTAGATATAGATATGTCTTAAATGTGAGGAAAATGTGCTAAATGTGAGAAAAGTGAGCTAAATGTAGAAAAATGTTCAGCTAAAAAATTTTAACAGAAATTTTACAAACGGCACCCCATAGAACCGGGAGGACCAGACGATGATCAAATATGGGCGAGTTCCGCTAATCACTCTGTGCCTATTGTGGCACTACTGAACAAAAGCCATTGATTGAATAGGATGCCATCTTGGATGGCTGGGGCATAGGCCATACTTGCATGCAATTCTTTTTTCTAATTCCTTCGGAAAAGAGCAGCAAAAACCGGCCGCGGTAAAGTGGTCCACACATTAACAGCGGGGTTGCCCCTTTATGCTGTTACTTACAGTAAACGTTGAAAGGGAAGCCGGGGAGAACAAAAATGCAATTTTTTTAATTTATTGAAAAGAATTTTAGAGTTTTGCAACTACTTTCACTGCACACTTGTTCACTGTGATGATTAATTTTAAAAATTGCCTTTGGGATCAATATTTCACATTTTGACCCCCATTGTTATTTCTACAGTAAAAGTGAATGTTACTTTGCACAGTAGTAGAGGGCAACCTTTTTTTATTTTGTCTTTAATACACAGGATTAGTATACATAGTTTTCCATCTCGTGCTTTTTACCCATGATACTTTGCGCGAACCCCATGTTGTCAGGCTGGTGTCTATAGCGCGTATCATTTGTCACGGATCATTTGTCCCCATGTCATTGTTGTATTTATAAATACGTGACATTCTAAAACCATGTGTTTTATGACCCATCGACCTTTGGATGGGAGGCCAGTCCTTTTAAATCTAATTCTAGGTGTCTTCTTGTGGGACCAACTGAACAACAGATGGCTTCTGCTGACTTCTGCACAATCTCACCCCACTCCATCAGGAGTGGGTTGACATGACTGGAGTCTTCTAGCCATACTCATTTGTCATATGATAATACACATAACCTTTCTTAACATATATTTACTTCATATTTTAGGTGATTTCATGTACTTAGATATTAGGTTAATTAGTGTGATGTGTTTTGTACTGCAATAGGTTTGTCCTTTAGGAAAGCGGGCTGTTGAGATTAATTAGGGGAGTTGTTTAGACAACAGAGATGGATCTCAGACCAACTGACAGCTGCCTGGAGCCTTAGGTTAGAAAAGCATGAATCCTTTTTAGGTGCGGAATGGAGACCAGAAGACCAGATGGTGGAAGACCGAGGAAAAGACCAGACCAAGACCAGACCAGACCAAGACCAGACCAGACCAAGACCAGAAGTCTATGAACTGGCTGATAAAACACGCCCCTCCTTCCTGTTCTTTTTATATGCTCTGGCTTGAGGCTGGGGCGGAGAGTGAGCACAGGGCCAGAGAGGGACATGGATTAGTTTTAGGAGCTCTCTTTTGTTGGAATTTCTGTATCTGATTGTAAGGAAATTAAATACAGATGTTAAACTTGGAGAATCTTTTGTCATACTTCTGCATCAACTCGAACACGTCAGTCAAAGGGAATTTTTGACGTCATTTTGGTGAATCCCCGACGTGATGGTGCAGGAGCAAGACAGAGATGAGCTCAGATATAGAGACTGGATTTGTGGGCCTGGAAAAAATCTCTCTGCTCTTCAAAAATGTCGCTTCTAAAGAGGTAAGCAGACCATAGTTTTGAAAATCTGCACATTGTTTTAAATAGAAGAGAGAGAGATTTTGGCTCGACAGATTGCAGCGTGGACAGACCGCCGTGACGGGCGTTCTATCGGACGCGATAGAACAATAGTCAGGTTTAGACGTTTTTAGCCTTGGGGGTAGAATTGGTCCCTCCTAAAATAAACAGAACATAGATGATGAAAAGGGAAGTCCACAGAGTTTAGAGTGCAAAAGAGGCACACCGTTTAGAGTGCAAAAGAGGCACACCGTTTTAAAGTGCAAAAGAGGCACAAGTGTTTAGAGAAATAGGATTAGAAAATAGGGACAGTTAGGGTCAGAAGTTATAGGATAATAAAACCTCCATATCCCCCGGGGGGCGGGAAAAAGGGTACATTTAAACAGAAAAAAGCCAAGTATTTAAAATGTGGATTCTGATAATAATGATCTGATTAATGAGAAAAAAGAGAGCCACTTGGCTGTAAATACGAGTTTCCATGTGAAGAAATGACCAGAATGATCAGTTATGGAAGTTTTTCTCTTATTCTGATGTAATGTTTCAATAGTTACAGAGGTATTACGAAAAAGATCCGGCTGTACCTAGTGATGCATCAGTCATGTAAGCAAATTGTAATGTTTTCCATTACTGACGTATTTAAGGATAAAATGTAAAGGGTCGTTTGACGTGAGAAAAACTTTTACCACTGATTAAGACCTTGTCACGATAAAAACGAGGAAAATGTAACAAAAGGGGGTGTATTTCAATCGTCCATGTTTCCTTTGTTCGGGAGGCCACTCAGCCCCCTCCCCTCCCTCTTTCTGTCTTCTCTCTCTTTCTCGAAGACAGAACTATTACCAAATATATATATTTTTTGTAGAAAATTACATTTATACACTCGATAATGTTACTGACATGGAGTCATATGATCACAGAACTTTGAGTTAGATTATAAAGAGGCATTATTTTATTTTTATCTCCAACGCGTCTGGACAAGTTTTTTCCCTACATTTAGGTGATATAAAAGTTAGAATGATCTTAAAGAACAGTATACTTTTGGAAAAATAGGGCTTAGGATAGCAGTTGAATGCAGATTTGGTTTTCAGAATTTAATGTTTAAAATGTTAATATTAATTATTTCATAGGTTTATTTTGATTTGTAATTAATCATTGGTTTTGTATGGTAATTAACACACTTGTTTGTGTTTCTTGTCTGTTTCTCCTGAGAAAACTTCTGTCTGTTTCATTGGCCAAAATCGTCCGCGCCACAAGCCTCAACTGAGCGTCTACTGAAAGGGACCATCAGCGTCTCCCCCGTTTCACCCACAGGGGGCACCAAAGACAGCAGCATCGGCTGCAGCAGCTCGAAGAAGACTTCTTCAGCCTCCATTCCTAACAGCATGGCAAAGAAGAGACCGCAGACTTTTCACAAACTGAGTGTTGACCCACGGAACAGAAGGTGGCGGTAATGCGAAAAATAGGCCGCCAACCGCCGGAAAACCTAACAAGAAGAAGAAGGACATGACACATTTGTGTGCGTCAAAAATGAGACAAAGAAGACATGAAAGAAAAAGACATTATGAGAAAAAGTTATCGGAAGAAGAAAGAAAGTGATTGTTGAAAGAAGAAGAAAAAAGACATTGGACACTTTTTGAGACAAAGACATTGGACATTTTGAGACAAAGACATTGGACACTTTGAGACAAAAGACATTGAAAGACGCCATGAGTAAAAGAAAGAGACATTAACGGACGTTTGAGGAGGACGTGGCTGGGCAAATGAAACAGACAGAAGGTAATATACAGACAGGCAACAAACGCACAGAGACATATGGGACATTTAGGTCATATTTACACATTTAGGTCATTCGTTCATAACACTACATTTAACTGCATGAATGATTACAAGACAATCGTCGAAATTAATTAGACTCTTACTTTAGCATGAGACACAAGGAGATTAGAACAGCAGTATATTTAAGGTAGAGGAGCTTTATTATTAAAACTATTATTGTTATTTAAAGTTATAGACGCGGAGAAGTTTAGAATTATTGATTTTGACTGCATGATCTTGGTAATACGGATATTTAACGCAATTTTTTCCAACCTCTGAACCGTGGCTCGTTTCTCATTTAAAACAATCACATGCACAGTTGAAACTGGTGCTGGAAAGAGAACTGCAGCTTTTAATGGACGTTGTATTTAATACAAAAGTGGTTTGCTCAGACAATCAAAAAAAAAAAAAAAAAAAAAAGTCTGAAAAATAATAGAGTATTTCTAAATCTTGGCTAAAGGTGATATTAGACCATCTTTGATGGCACACTAACGCACCACGGTCCATTGGTTGAAAACACGGATGTAGGGACATTTTATGAAATCTTTTATGACATGTTTCTCTTCCAAATAGCTAAATTAGAAACCATTAGGACAATTATGTCTTTGATACAACTGTTGGCCGTTCATCTGAGACATGATTGGTGCAAGTACAACAACACACATAGAACAATGGTCTTTTCTCCACATGAACGTGAAACAAAGGTGAAGTATTAAAGTTTGAAACTAATTTACATTTTTTAATGAATCCGACCTGGCTTTACTGAAAAAGAAAAAGAAGGAAAAAACATTTATTGCACGTGCACGACTTTTAAAGTAACAAGAGCTCATTAAAAATATAGGGGACACAATCTGTGATAAGCCCGAGCAAAGACCACGTGGTAAACACTAAAGTTGGAAATGGATCCTTGTAGGAAAAATCTCTTAAAGCTCTGCATGTTCTGCAGGCTCTGAAAGTTGCAACAATAGAAATAGCTCATGAGACAATTGTAATTGGACATGGAAAAATATAACAAAGTTAAAATTACAGGCCTCCTGTGTTGTCTATATGTTTGTGTATGTTATATGTGTGTGCGTCATGTCAAGTACACTACGTTGACCTTAACAAAACTCTGGACCAATATACTAACGTGGGGAGTCGGTCTGTGTGAGTGTGTTGTGAGTGTTTTGTGAGTGTGTTGTGAGTGTGTTGTGAAATGAGGAGTGAATGAGGAGTGCTGAACGGAGAATGGAATAACAAATGTTTTCCTGTAATGTTTTAATGTGATCATGGAATAATTATTTTTGTCAACAGCATACGGTGTAAGTACTAGAGATTCAAAGATAACAAGCTTTATTGAACAGGTGTAAAAGTGAAAGTACTTTGCGGAAAGTACTCTGAGATGAAATACCTTGCTGAAGGTACTGGGAGTCCCTCCCTCTGCTGTTTGTCCTGACAGTGATTCGGTCCAACCGCAGTGAGCGGTCATTGGGCGGAGGACAACTGTGGTTGGTAACTCACATTTAGGGGAGTATAAAATTAGAAACATACATATTGTTAAGTCTGTATTTGGCTACAGCCTCTGCCCTGATGTCACACGACCGTCTGTCAGTGCAGTTATGTTTTGCCCAATTGGAAAAAGATTGACAGGCTGCACCATGCCAGGGAAGTGGGCATTTCTTGTGTTCTAATGTTTCTTTTTCAGATGAAAGATAAACTACACCTGCTTCAGGGATGACACAGTAGCACGGATCATAAAGGAAATGAGCCTCTACGTTGGCACCAAAGCCCACAATACGAATTGAGGACGATCCGGGAGGAACAACTGGAGATGATTGGAACAGTAATCTACACACACACACAGACGCATGTTTTACACTTGGCCCATGACCAAAGAGAGGGAGTATGGTTATGTTATTGTCATAGGTGGTCATGGTCCTTAACCTTCTAAATCATTAGAAAGAAGTGTAAAACATATATTTACAAGAACAAATAAATAATAGAAAGGGCAGCCTAAAAGCAAAATGGGAAAATTATTAAATAATTTTCGGAGTTGCCAAAATAAAATAAAATTCTTTATTTGTCCCATAGGGGGTCATTCTAAATTTAGTGTGGTGCAAATTCAAAAGGAGAAATAATAGCGCTTATAACATCAAACAGATCCACCCTTTAAGATAATGGTAGAATAGAATAGAATGAAATAGTCTGGAGCTATAATGTCATTGGATTCAAGGAGCTATAGGTTGAAGGGTCGCTAAGAAGAGGTGTCAGAATAAACAATAGTAATAATAGTTAGACTAGTGAATAATCATCCATCCATTTTCTTCCCCTTAATCCATTTCTGGGTCAGGGGGGGGGGGGGGGGGTGGCGGTCAGAGCTGCACCCAGTACACAGAGCACCAGCCCCTCACTGATCCTCCTGCAGGTGGTGAGTCCACAGGAGTGAATAATCAAAATAGTTCTATTGTGGAAATAAGTATCAATAAGGTCAAATTGTTCTAATAATTAGAGTAAAAAGGAATCAAATAGAGTCAGATTTATAGATGTTTCTGTTTTCCACATCTGTAGGATCTAGTGCAGATGTGTTTATAGAGAGTAGTATTAAAATGCAGACATAGAACGACAGGCTTTAACAAAATGTTTAATCTAAAAATAGCCCAAGTATAACATTGCTTTTGACGCAGCCTCTGAGCTGCTCCATTGGAGAACAGGTTAAATGTTATTGTTTATTACAAACAGCTGATGTATTCACACATATTAAGTTTGGGACAACTCTTTAAACAGCTATAAGCAGCGGACAGAAGCCATGAATGTGCTTTTGTTTATTAAATAATTAATTTCATAGCCATATAATCGTAGAGAACATTTTTAAAATAGTTCTCTTCCTCCCGCTCCCTTTCAGGCAACTTGATTTAGATTTATGTCTTTAATATTGGAGAACGACTGTGTTGTTTTTGGAATTGTTTGAAATACAGTACATAAAAATAGTGATTTGCAGAACAAGAACCAGCCAATGAAAAATCATCTATTGCCAATGCTATTGCTAACTAAAACCACAACTGTGACCAAATGCAATAAATGTTAAGTGTTCAGTCTGGCAGACAAAAACGTTGACTTTTAGTCTGGGAGACTGAGCGACTGTTAAGAGGGTTTAAAATAATGAAGTATGAGTATTTTAGCGTTTTAGTAAATGTTAAATAGTAGGAAAAAAGTAGAATTTGATCATGGTTCATAAACAAAACTTCAGAGTAAGAGTTAAAATGGTACCATACATTGTGATCCTTCTGATAGAGCAGCTAAACTGTTAGAATCAGAAGTATAGCAAAGCCATTGAAAGTGACAGAAGTCACAAAATTTGAAATATGTTTTGGCTCAAACTACAACCGAGCTTTGGAGTCACAATACAGTAGAAATAGATAGATGCTTTCAAAAATAGAGATTATTTTTAGCCAGGGCTAATATCAAACGGTAAAAGGACCATTTCCTTCATAATATGTCCAAAAGTATTTACTTCAAAAGTAGATAAGGTTCATTACAGTTCATGCACAGTTCTATTAGATACTTGTCAAATTCACTTGTTTCAAACATAGGTGAATGTTGACAATGCAAAAAGTTAATGAGATAGATTAGAACCAACACAGATTCAAAAACATTTTAATGTATTTGGGTATAGCACAAAAGTAGATAATTAGGTATTTTTTGAGAATTTTAAGAGCTGTCGATTTGTCAGCAACAGATTAGAGAATTAAAACACAGTTGTAGAGGGACTGACCCCAGAGAAACCTGCAAAAATAGATTAGCTCGTGTAAGGATAATACTAATTTGATTAATGATGTACATTCATCCCAAACTGTCTGAGAGGAGGAAGTGACAGCACTTCTGGCACAAAGCCACTGGTAACAAAAGCAAACCACGGTATAGGGAGATTTATTAGATAAAAACATATGTTTCAAATGTGGTTGTGTGTTGTTTGTTTTCCCTGTATTAATTCTTCACAGATAACGAGCCAGGACTAAGATTTGGCGATGATGGAATTCCCCCGTCCCGTCGCCCGAGGAAGGTTATTGAAATGTGTGGCCTTTTTAATAGCGGCCAAGAGAGGGAGCTGTTGTATGGGAGGCCAGTCCTTTTAAATCTAATTCTAGGTGTCTTCTTGTGGGACCAACTGAACAACAGATGGCTTCTGCTGACTTCTGCACCCACTCCATCAGGAGTGGGTTGACATGACTGGAGTCTTCTAGCCATACTCATTTGTCATATGATAATACACATAACCTTTCTTAACATATATTTACTTCATATTTTAGGTGATTTCATGTACTTAGATATTAGGTTAATTAGTGTGATGTGTTTTGTACTGCAATAGGTTTGTCCTTTAGGAAAGCGGGCTGTTGAGATTAATTAGGGGAGTTGTTTAGACAACAGAGATGGATCTCAGACCAACTGACAGCTGCCTGGAGCCTTAGGTTAGAAAAGCATGAATCCTTTTTAGGTGCGGAATGGAGACCAGAAGACCAGATGGTGGAAGACGGAGGAAAAGACCAGACCAAGACCAGACCAGACCAAGACCAGACCAGACCAAGACCAGACCAGACCAAGACCAGAAGTCTATGAACTGGCTGATAGGACACGCCCCTCCTTCCTGTTCTTTTTATATGCTCTGGCTTGAGGCTGGGGCGGAGAGTGAGCACAGGGCCAGAGAGGGACATGGATTAGTTTTAGGAGCTCTCTTTTGTTGGAATTTCTGTATCTGATTGTAAGGAAATTAAATACAGATGTTAAACTTGGAGAATCTTTTGTCATACTTCTGCATCAACTCGAACACGTCAGTCAAAGGGAATTTTTGACGTCATCATCTAAAGCAGGGGTGCTCAATACGTCGATCGCGATCTACCAGTCGATCGCAAAGGTAGTATTGGTAGATCGCATTAAATAAATAAAAAATTACACATTCTGAACGAATATATACAAAAAACTCCGGGCAAAGTGGAGATTTTTGAAAACTCCGTTAATGCATTTGTGTGTAGACAGAGATAACCGGAGTTTTGCGTTCTCGCACGCCACAGTACCCCCTTAAATTCCTCTGATCACTGAAGCATGGATCATACTACCTTAAAAACTGTTCGCTGTGAGATGCTCGCAGCAGCAAACACCCTCGCTCCACATCAGAGAGCAGCAAAGTGATCGCGGGGACTCACGCTCGAAAACAACCAAACCAGGACTAAACCAGGACTAAACCAGGACTAAACCAGGGCTAAACCAGGACTAAATCAGGACTAAACCAGGGCTGAGGACGGGGTCAGTGCTTGTAAACATACGTCTTTACTCTGAGTGTCTTCTATGACTGTAAGTGCCGTTACCGGCGTCTGCATCAAAGCTCCGCCCACTTCTGTGTTTTCCCCCAACGCAGGACAGGACGTAAGAGACGCACATGTTTTGAATGTTACGAATGTGATTGATAACGCAGATGTGTGGATGCAAATTATTTTATAAACGGAGGAGGGGAAATATTTGGATTTAAAAAAAACAGGCATGGCACATGGACATGGCACCACAGTCAAATGACATCTGTGTTTTACTCAGTAATGTTTTACTGATTAGGTGACTGCACATGCGCAAACAACCGCGCTCAGTGCAGGAAAGCTAAAGCACGACAAACTTGTCAGCGAGTTACCACCAATTTTCCGGACTATGCATCCCTGGCCGATCGTGCAAGACCAGAAACATGGATTAGTTTTAGGAGCTCTCTTTTGTTGGAATTTCTGTATCTGATTGTAAGGAAATTAAATACAGATGTTAAACTTGGAGAATCTTTTGTCATACTTCTGCATCAACTCGAACACGTCAGTCAAAGGGAATTTTTGACGTCATCATCTAAAGCCACGAATTCGGCCGATGCTGACCGCGTTAAGTATATTGATACACTGGAGTAATCTGTGAGGCAAGATCTTTGGAGAAATTGAGAGTGATCGCAGATTTGGATCCGAATGAAATGCAATTTAAAAAAGGTCATGATGTATATGATGCAATATTTCTTTCAATGAAGCAGTTGATATTACACTGTCTACCACCCTTCCCCCCTCCTCCTCCTCCCCCCCTCTCATTCATTTAGATGGGCGCCTCGAGGTGCCTATATAGACTTAGTATCACAGTCAAATCGCAGCTCTGAATATAAACAACACATGCACAGATTTAGCTAGCTCTAACCTGTCATGAATTGGTCAGAACAGACCTTATAGGGGGTTAGGGTTGAGTCCCTCTCGGTTGATCCTCGCCAACTAAAGGGTCTTTTCTCCGTCCCGAGTCACTCCCCTGTCTCGTAATAGCCTTCGGAATGTCCCCACAATCTGCACGGCTACTGCGCCCCCAAACGATGCAGGTAGTTGGCATGTTTTAGCGCAAAAAAGTGATATGCCATCTTTGTTTACCTACAACTAGAGGCGGCTAGACTTGTAAAATGGCAAACTGCGGAATTGTGGGTCGTGCGTGACGTCAGTGGAAAACGATGTATTACTTGTGGACCCCTGGTAATTTGTGATAATCATGAAGGACGTCTGAGATCTTAGTCCTGTGCTAATGCGCCATGTCTGTAATTTGTAAAGTAATAATTCCGCCGCAAATTACCTCCTATGTTTTTTCCAAACACAGACGTCCGGTGATAATACTAATCCCGTGCGAATCTGCAGGTCAGTGATTGTGATCGCTATTGCCGCTTTCTCTTTACTTTCTGCGCTGAATTTTTGTCCATGAGCAGAGGAGTCACGTATCACGACTGTAATTAAGCGGCCGAGTCGCGGCTGCTGCTGTCCCTGTGACGTCTATGAAGAAGTGTAGAGAGGACAGTGTAATGTGTTCACTGACACAAAATAATCAGACCGATGGGTTGCGTTTGTACATTTATTTTACACTCTGTCCTAATACAGTACAGGTGTGTTGATGCAGCCGTTACTGGGCCATTACTGCTGCTCGCGAGTATGTTAGCAGAGCATGGTGCTTTCACTGGTATTCCGAACAAAAAGTATTGTTAAACATGACAGACGGTACGGGCCATAGAACTGTAGAGCAGTAAAATCCACATTTATGTGTTTGTCTTGATGGTCCTTGTGGCTGCCGCTGTCAGACCATAGGTCAGATGCGCCTCTCTGTGGGCTGCGTGAAGCGAGAGAGACCTGCGCTCGTGCGGCCATTATGTGAAATAACTGAAAATATAGTAAGTTACAGACATCGCTTATCCTGAGTGAATGCACTGCAAGATCCAAGACGTCCTCTGCGATTATCACAAATTACCAAGGGTCCACAGGTAATACTAATCCCGGGCTGAAGTAAACAAACTTCTGGGTAATCGATTGACGCCGAAATGTATTAAATACAAAATAAAAAAAGGTTAATTATCGCATTTTCTAGTTCCCAAATCCGGTTATTATTATGTATTTAATACATTTTGGCGTCAATCGATTACCCGGAAGTGAAACAATTTACTTTGTTTACTTGCACGGGATTAGTATTACCTGTGGACCCTTGATTATTTGTGATATTCACGGAGGACGTCTGAGATCCCATTCACATGGGATAAGCAATATCTATACAATACTATATTTTCACTGACATCTCACATAACGACCGCACGTGCGCAGGTCTCCCCTACAGTCTGTGGTCTCTCCGCTTCACGCAGTCCAGAGAGTCGCGTCTGACCACAGCGGCCACAGAGACCATGAGGACAAACATTTTACTGCTCCATAGTTCTCTGGCCCATACTGCCTGTCCATCCATCCATTTTCTACCCTTTAATCCATTTCTGGGTCAGGGGGGTGGCAGTCAGAGATGCCACCCAAGTCTCATAGCACCAGCCCCTCACTGACCCTCTGCAGGTGGTGAGTCCACAGGAGGACGACTGCTCTCTGAGTTTGAGCATAGCCTTGATCTTTCAGTGGGGGCTTTGGGCAAAGTGGGGTTAAGTGTCTTGCCCAAGGACACAACGACAGCAGTCATCAGTGGGAGTCGGTGGAGAAGGTGCAGAGGTGGGAAATGAACCCACGACCTTCTGGGCTTAAGGCCAATGCTCTACCAACTGAGCTACTGTCGCCCCCATTACTGCCAATACTGCATATTACTGCCTGTAATATTTTATAATAGTTTGTATGGACTACTCGTGAACACACAACATACTCTGCTAAGATAAGTGCGAGCAGACAAATAGTAACGGCTGTAGCAACATGTCTGTACTGTTTTATGCAAAGTATACGTACAAATGCAACCCAATCGGTCTGATCATTTAGTGTCAGTGAACACATTACACTGTCCTCTACACTTCTCCATAGACCTCACAGAGACAGCAGCAGCCACGACTCTGCAGGTCTTCACAGCCGCGATACCCGACTCCTCTGCTTATTGACAGAACCGCAGAAAGTAAAGAGAAAGCGGCCATAGCGATCACAATCACTGACATGTAGAGTCGCACGGGATTAGTATTATCACAGTCTGCGTTTGGACCATAGACTGTAATGTTTGGACAAATACAGGAGGTAATTTGAATATTAGACTAAACTTGTTTCACTTCCAGGTAATCGATTGACGCCGAAATGTATTAAATACATATTAAAAAAAGGTTAATTATTTTCTAGTTCCCAAATCTGGTTATTATAATATATATATATATATATATATATATATATATATATATATATATATATATATATGTCTTATAAGCAATGAAAAAAAAGAAAATGGTAATTTTGGTATATTGCTGTGTGCCTGAAAATGCAAAATAGTCTTTTATCGGTTTTCCATTTCCCTTCAAAAATAGAAAATGTATTGAACGCAAAAGTACACGGACCTTCTTTCCAACCAGTGAGTGGCTCACACGGATGTAAACAAAGATTTTCCTATAGTTTTTAATACATGTTTTCTTAAGTTTGACATTAAGATTAAATGTTTGAAAATACAATTTAATTCGAGCCTCAGCAGTAAAAATGCATAGTGGTAAAAATGAGATAGGTCAGAGAGAAAGATGCCACTCCTTATATATCAGTGTGTTATCAGGTGGTGGGACAGTTGTATGAAACACATAAAACCGTCGTTGAGTGAAAGAACGCCACAAAACAGTTACATCACAGCCACAACTGGGAGAGGGTGGCTGCTGCATCATGGGAAATGTCGTCCTGGACGTCTGTCTGCTATTAAAATAACTAAAATTCAGGGTTTTATTCTGAATTTGACCTGGTCCCAAAGTAATGTTTCTTAATCATTCAAAGCTGGGCTACCCTTTTCATACATAATGTGAAATCGATCAGTCCAAGAGTTCCATTGTTGTGGCTTTAAAGTTACTTACCCCAGCTTTACCTCGGGTGTTCTCATGTCCTTGAATGTGTTTGCCTTGAAGTCTCTCTGTGAGTCTTTTGTCTTTGTTGCCGTTTTACCCCTGAACGTTTCAAACATGTATCACATCCAATTGTTTTTTGTTGTTGTTGAAAGAATGGGATGTATGACCTTAGTCTTCAGGACTCTCACCCGCCATGGTGACGTGTCATGGAAGCTCTAAACTTTTAGTAATAGTTCATGAGTTTAGATTGTTTATGATGAGGTCAAACCTTTACCATCTCTCCAGCTACTTCAGTGCATTCTTCATATATTTGGGACTCAAAAATAAAGACACTAGAGAGAGACCACAGAGAGAAACCATAGAGAGAGGGAAAATAGAGAGAGAGAAAAAAAAAGAGCCAAACTACAGAGAAAGAGACCAAAAATAAATGTGTACTCAAATGAAGTAAAGTGAACAAACAGCTTTGGCACAGATTTAATAATAATTCATATATATTGTTTTACAAACTGAAGAGAACTCCTATCCACCATTTCTGTGTTTGGTTTAAAATGCCATGAATAGAACAGTGTTGGAATATCTCACACCGCTCTACATGTGTCCTGTTGGGACGTACTTGGACTTGCCTCACCACTGACCTGTCCAGTCCATGGATGACGTTTCCATGGTAACATGAGCTGTTACCTCCCAGCAGATAAGCCCCGCCCCTCTGCGCTTGTTCTTATAGGAGTTTGCAGCTGAAACTAGACTTCAGAGCCCCTTCACGTTCAACCTTCGCAGATCTGACAGGTAAGTGCCTTAGTATGACCTATGCAAGATTAAAATGGGGTCTGTAACTTAAGTCTAATAATAACACATATTTAAAGCTGGGGTATGTAACTAGTCAACTAGATAAATAACATATGTTTCAAGCTGAGGTCCATTTACTTTGGTCTCATATTGTGGAGGAGCTGCTGCTGAAGCCCACCCTCAGCTCAGCATGTGTCATCTGCTGTGGATGGTGTGCGCATGCATGCTCTCAGGTAAACTCTTCTTCCTCCTCCTCATCATCATCCAGACTATAGTGTCACCTGCCCTTCCCTCTGTCCACCAGCGGTGGCGCTCCACACGTCCGTGCGGCTCCACATATCTCTCTGTCCACTGGTCTACTACGGCAAGCCCTACCACCATCTGCACGTGAGTCTGTAACCATAGAGAGACCAGATAGAGAAAGTCCAGAGAGTCTTAAAATAAAGATAAATCAGGAATTTTGTTTATTTCAGGTTTTTTTTAGAATGCAACCCCTCGATAAAGCAGGGACGTGCACGTGTGTTTTTATTCTGTGAGGTTCTTGGTCTTTGTGGTTCCTGGTCTCTGTGGTTCCTGTTTTCGATGGTTCTGGGTCTTGTGAGGTTCCTGGTCTCAGTAGTTGCTGTCTCTGTGATTCATGGTCTTGTGTGGTTGCTGGTCTTTGTGGTACCTGGTCTCCCTCTTCTTTCCAATCTTACCAAGCTCATGTTTCACCTGGTGGCTCCTCCTCAGATGAACCACACTCCTGAGGGCCTCTTCATTTGCATGGATGGGTTCCTGAGTCGGCCAATCACAGGCGACTGTATCCAGATGCCCTCTGTGACGTCTGACCCCGTGGTACTGGTGAGCGCAGCTGCTCCAGGACTCCAGAGTGAGCAGTTAGGGCGACACTTCCCTGAACTCCAACAAAATGGGACTCTGTGTGGTGTGGAGGTGCAACTGCGCTTCAGCCCCAGCAACACTGTAACTATCATTGTGTCCACTTCAGCCAGATCACAGTGGCTTCTTTCAGCGCCTCACCTCCACTTTTTTCTTTCAGAGTGTTTTCAGGATGTTTAGCTTCGGAGATGTGTCTGTGTTGCACCTGGAGCCTCTCGGCCCCAATGTCACTGTGGTGAGTGTGGACCACACTGAGAGACAACAAGGCCGAAGTCCCTTGTGTAGAGACCATATGCATTAGCTTCGCTATATCAGGGCAGACTACTTGCTTAGGCAAGCTGGAGTTTATCCGTGAATCACGTCATCTGATTGGTCAGTCCTTAAATGGGTCATATCTGGATTTACAAAGACATTATCACAATATAAACACTAGGTTCACATAGAGCACTAAACCAAAGATTCAAGCCCAAAATTGTGAGTGTGACACAAACGGTTACTGAGCTAGAGGAGTTTACTTTTTCAAGTCAATAGGAACTTCACCATAAGCACTTCAACGTTCACAGTCTATGACAGAGTGTGTGCTGGAGCTGACTCTCTTCCTCAGAGTTTCTATGTGAAGGGACAGCTGTGGTCTTCTTGGATCATAGGCGCCGTCTCCAACCACAGCTTCTTTCTGCCCGCCGCCTGTCGACTAGGAGGTCCTGCTCTAAGTTCAAGTCACAGTGTTGTGCATCAATGTCTGTGTTGAAGAAGCTTTCCATTTTCTCCAGATTCTGTGATCAGACCGAACTCCTCCATCAACAAAGACTCCTGCACCGACACCAAATGTGACGCTTTGGGACGAATCCACGTAAGCAGCTGTGGAGGACAGCAGACCTGCATCGGGCACAAGTGAGTCTGCTGCTACTGTTGCTGCTGCTGTTACTGCTGCTATTGCTGCTGCTGCTGCTACTGTTGCTGCTGCTACTGCTGCTACTACTTCTACTGCTGCTGCTGCTACTACTGTTGCTACTGCTGCTGCTACTGCTGCGGCTACTGCTGCTGCTGCTGCTGCTGCTCCTACTACTATTGCTGCTAATACTGCTGCTGCGACAGCTGCTGCTGCTATGACTACTGCTACAACTGCTGCTGCTGCAACTAGTGCTGCTACTACTGCTATTACTACTGCTAGTGCTGCTAATACTGCTGCTGCTACTGCTACTCCTGCTGCTACTGCTACTTCTGATACTGCCGCTGCTGCTGATCAGTTAGAGGTCATGTGTCCTTGCAGCTGCTCCCTGGACCTGCTGTGCTCCGTCCTCGGCCCTTTGGTGGTGGACTTCAGGGGGAACATGCGGATGATCCCCAACAGATGCACGTTTGTCCTGCTGGAGACCACCTACTGCAGCATCAGGGCTGTGTTCCGGGACCGACGGCGCCAGGACCTGGTCTTCATTGAATCCCTGAGCTTCAGGATCCAGAACGACACCTTCTCCTGCAGCAGGGAGCGCTCTCTGTGAGACTCACACTTTTCTCTCTCTGGTCTCTCTCTGGTCTTTCTCTGATCTCTCTCTGGTCTCTCTTTGGTCTCTCTCTGATCTCTCTCTGATCTCTCTCTGATCTCTCTCTGGTCTCTCTCTGATCTCTCTCTGATCTCTCTCTGGTCTCTCTCTGGTCTCTCTCTGGTCTCTCTCTGGTCTCTCTCTGGTCTCTCTCTGGTCTCGCTCTGATCTCTCTGTCTCCCCCTGGTCTGTAGTTGAATGGACAGCCCTTGGTTCTCAGCTTCTCTCCCCGAGAGTACAGGGGTGTGGAGGTGTTCAAAAGGGTCTCAGGGATCACAGTGAGGACCACGAACCTGAGGCTGAAGGTTATTCTGGAGACTGACGGGACCACAGGCCAGATCTACTGTACAGGTACACACACACACACACACATACACACACAGAGTATTGTTAGATGCTGATTGGTTGTTCTCAAGTCTGGACTCCTCGTACATCCATGGTCTTTGCAGTGACTCCTGGAACATCACAGGGAACATACTCCACACACAGGGGTGAGTGACACATAAACACACACACACATACAGAGAGAAGGAGATACACACGTACACACATACAGAGAGAGACACACACACATACAGAGTGACTCACACAGACACACACATGCACATACAGAGAGACACACAAATGGTTAAAATGTATGTGTGTTTTTGTAGCTGTGATGCACAGTATCAGGAAGCTCCAGATCCTTTCATCAACCTTGCAGTAGTGACCCAACGGTGAGACACAAACACAAGAGGAAGAAAAGTCATTGGTCTCTCTCTGGTCTAAGTGCTCTCCTGCTCTCTCTCTGGTCTAGGTGGTCTCTCTCTGGTCTCTCTCTGGTCTAGGTGGTCTCTCTCTGGTCTTTCTCTGGTCTAGGTGGTCTCTCTCTGGTCTTTCTCTCTGGTCTAGGTGGTCTCTTTCTGGTTTCTCTCTGGTCTCTCTCTCTGGTCTCATTTGTCTCCCTCTGGTCTCAGTGGTCTTTCTCTGGTCTCAGTGGTCTGTCTACTCTCACAGATGCCACTTCTTCTTAAAGGACGTGGGTTCTCCCTGTCACCTGGAGGTGAACCCGCGTCCATTCGTCCGCTCCTGTCTGGAGTTGTTCTCCTTTTACCCAGACACAGACGGAATGTTCTGCCAGATTCTGGACTCGTACTCTCGAGCCTCTCTGGTCTCTCTCTGGTCTTTCTCTGGTCTCACTTCATTGTTTCTCTGGTTTCTCTCTGTTCTCACTCTGGACTCTCTTTGGTCTCTCTGTCTGGACTCGCTCTGTGGTCCCTCCCAGACTTAAAGTTGCGGACTCCAGCTTTACATGTTTCTGCTGTTGTTGCAGTTGGAGCCTCCTACGTGTGTCAGGATTTCTTCTGCAGCGATCATGAGTTCTGTGGCATCAGTCCAGAGGGCGCCCCCTACTGTCAGTGCCGCGCCATCTACGCTGCACCCTTCAGGCAGTCTGGGACTTACAGTAAGCCCAAGAGCAGCGAGAAAGACCATGAGGAGGGACCAGAAAGAGACCAGAGAGAGTTCAGCTTGAGAGACCAGAAAGAGTCCAGAGGGATAGACCAGAAATAGACCCAGATAGACCAGAGAGAATTTTCCCTAATATAGATGAGGATTTTCTGCACCAGGCTCAGAACTCATTCCAGAGAGAGTCTAGAGAGACCAAAGAGAATCCATAGAGACCAGAGAAGGACCAGAGAAGGACCAGAGAAGGACCAGTGAAAGAGACCAGAGAGAGACCAGAGAGATCATGGAGAGGCCAGAAAGAGAGATTAAGTTTGGCCAACTATCTGTAATTTATATCAGTAAAGTCACATACCCCAGCTTTAAGTGCAGACGTGTTTGTTATTGTGTGTTAGGGCTGGGCAATTAATCAAATTTTGACAATTAATCGGCTTTTGAAAAATCGAATTCATGAAAAATGTGAAAATCGTGAAATCGAATGAGGGATATTGTGAGAGTTCAAGCAGCACATCAATTATACTTGCGATATCAGCACAGTCTGTATAAGACTTTTATAATATGTATTGGGGGAAACAAATAGTAAATAGTTTTGAAACTTAAATATTGAGCGGGAAGATAAAAAATATTTTAAGGGCAAAGTCTGTCTTGAGTGACTTAATGAAAATCGATTTAATATCGACATCGTCCAAAGCAGGAAATAAAATCGAGATTTTACTTTTTTGCCATATCGCCCAGCCCTATTGTGTGTGTGGCAGATCTCCCAGTAGACTGTGGAAAGAACAGCTCCTCCCTCAGCCTGGTGACCTGTCTGCTGGAGGATACCCCCTTCTCACCGCTTGACCTGCACCTCCTAGATCCCACCTGCAAGGGGCAGATGGATCCAGTCACACACATGCTCCGGTTCAGCTTTAACCACAGCCACAAAGAGACCAACTGTGGAGGCCTGGTCCTGGTAAGACCTGGACCTATACAGTGGCCTATACGGCCCCCTTGAACCTTTCAACATTTCGCCATATTTCAGGCTTCAAACATAAAGATATAAAATTAATTTTTTTGTCATGAATCAACAACAAGTGGGACACAATCGTGATGTGGAACGAAATTTATTGGATAATTTAAACTTTTTTAACAAATAAAAAACTGAAAAGTGGGGCGTGCAATATTATTCGGCCCCCTTGCGCTAATACTTTGTAGCTGCAAGTCGCTTGGTGTATGTCTCTATCAGTTTTGCACATCGGGAGACTGGAATTCTTGCCCATTCTCCCTTGCAAAACAGCTCGAGCTCAGTGAGGTTGGATGGAGAGCGTTTGTGAACAGCAGTCTTCAGCTCTTTCCACAGATTCTCGATTGGATTCAGGTCTGGACTTTGACTTGGTCATTCTAACACCTGGATAAGTCTATTTGTGAACCATTCCATTGTAGATTTGGCTTTATGTTTTGGATCATTGTCCTGTTGGAAGATAAATCTCCGTCCCAGTCTCAGGTCTTTTGCAGACTCCAACAGGTTTTCTTCCAGAATGGTCCTGTATTTGACCCGGCCCTGATCAGACAGGTCTCTCCTCAGACCGACATCCCTGTGGGGACTCGGGTCTGGGTCGCTCTGACACTGAAGCAGGTAGATCACCTGATCAAATCCTCCTGGGCCACGCCATCCTCTGCAACGCCTTTTGGGGTCACACCTCCCAGGCCCACACCCCCCAGGGCCAAACCCTCCAGGGCCACACCCCCCATGGCCACATCCCCCAGGGCCACGCCCTCCTGGGTTACTCTCACCTGGGCGCTGCCTTCTTCTGCCCCGCCATCTTCTGCCCCGCCATCTTCTACCACGGCCTCCCTCCAGGACTATGTGCCGAGACGCAAGCTGATTGTGGAAAGGTGCTGAACATGTTTATATAACACTAGAGCTGCACATAAAGAGACCTGATCAAAGGGTTCAACATTACAGTCACATTGTAGCAAAACCACAAAGAATGTATGTATATTATGTTCTGAGGGTATGATCTCCTCTCCTTGGACAGGTTCAGGGTTGTGTGTGTGATTCCTCTCTCTCTGTAGATGTGCGAGTGCCGGAGCTGCTGATGTGGTTGTGGAGAGGAACAATGGAGAGTCTCGAAGCATCTTCTCCTTCAAGATGTTTTGCTTCGAAGGGTTTCCCCCCGGAATCAGACTGCACACAGTCACAGAGAAGTGTGAAGGAAACTGTAGCCAGGTACACACAGAGACACAGACACACACACACAGAGAGAGAGAGAGAGATACACACACACACACACCATGTCAAGATCAGAACCTCTGGAATCCAGTTGTAAACTTTGTGTGTACTCACAGTTAATTTTTTTTCAAACAAAGACGAATCTCTCATGTTTCCCTTCTTTCGCCTTTTTCCAGAAATGCCCCTGATGTCGCCCTCGCGCTGGTGTTGGATCAACACGACAGCTCTGTGTTCTGGGGGGTTTTAGACCAGTCAGATCCGTGGGATTCACCCCTCGCCCTGTTAATCTTTTATTTCGTTGTTTGAGATGTTAAATAAAGTACACAAATCTGTTTCCATGAGTCTGAGTTACTTGACGAAAGTGTAGTTCTTTGATTCTCTAAGTTACTCATTTTAACTGTAGTTATATGAGTCTAAGTTATTCAATGTAACTGTAGTTTTATGATTCTAAGTTACTCAGTTTAACTTTAGTTATATTAGTCTAACTGTAGTACTATGAGTCCTTAGTTATAAATGAATAATTCTGTAATGTACTTTGAAACTGATTTTGGGATATGCAAAAATAAATAGATCAAAGTTTATTATATAGCGCATTTCAAACACTTTTAATTATAATGTCAGGATGTGCAATATAAAATCACGTGTCTACTGCTGCTAACATGTACAGGTGTATACATGCAACTTTATATTTCTTGCACAAGAAAATACCGTATTTTATACTTGCTTCTTTATTCTGCTAAAGTTAGAGGCTTCATTCTATTCTAGTAGAGATAGTGTTCACTTAGCTTGTGTTCATTGCCACCGTGGGACAAATAAAGGATCTCTTAAACTTTCTTTATATCCAATTGCTTCGCAACATCATTAAAAAACAGCCACATTTTAGACCTGGTCAGAGATTTGTACAATTCTCCTCGTGGCACAAGTGGCAACTACACCCTGATCTAAATGTATTTAGTCACTGAATGCGGAAGACCTTAATCATTTGTTTGTTACAGTGGCTTAGTGGGTTTAGCACATGTAGTTGTGGTGACTTTCTGCGCTGTTTGCATGTTCTATGTGTCTGCGCAGGAACGTAATCTAGGTTGTGGGCTCTTCTCTTACTCCTCACAAAAGTGGGAGTTTATGTGTTTTAGTAACTATCACTTTTATTTTGAACTGTATGTTAATATGTATCTTAGTAACTTGCACTTTTATTCTAATATTTTGTAAGAAATCTGCACTTTTAATTTGAACTCTATATTATTATGCAAGTTATATGATTGTATTGTCAAGGACTACAGGTGAAAAGTAGCATGGTGCTAAATCTGGTGCCGCCATTATTTTAATGCAACTGCACATTGTCCTTAATAAATCACAACAACGAATAAATCATAAATTATAACTTTATGCAAGATCTATTGCATATGTTTTAGTGGAAGCCAAAGCACCTGGAGGAAATCTAGAGCCAAAAAGGCTCTATCTGGAGATGGAATCTAACCCCAGGACCTTCGTGCTGTGATGCACAAGCGCTAACCACTGCACCAGTTAGTTAAAACAGCTCTTCTGTCTGTGTTGCTTCAGTCGTGGTTCTAAAACAGATGAAGAAGAAGAACGAATGAATAAAACGTATTTTATTTCAAAATATGGGTCTCACTTTTCATTTTCAGTTCAGTGTGGTTTTGCTTTTTTAGAAATTTTAAGAGATATTTCAGTCCTGATTCAGACCTGGTTCAGACCTGTTGCTGCTTTTATCTTTTGTGAAATATTAGTTTTGCCATTGATAACATGACCCTTTGGTTCAAAGTCTGAACCAGGTCTCAACCAGGACTGAACCATGTTTGAACCAGGTCTGATCTTTTCACCCCTTAGACTCTGATCACTGCCAAAGCAGATAAACGGTCAGTGGACTTCAGATTCAAGGGAAAAACAAACAATCACAGAATAAACTTCAACAGTAAGAAACCTTCAGATCCTCGGGTCTAGAGTCTGGATCAGGACCATGTCTAATCAAGACTTGAGCATAGGCCGAGACCTGATCTCGTCTGATGCATAGCATGTAAGAGGAGTGGACTGACCGAGTGTGAGATCACCATAGTGTTAGCCTAATGCAGAAAAAGCTGAGTAGAACACATAACACACATAAGCTAGCTGGAGCCAAATTTCTTTAATGGGCATTTTTTCCCAACAGTGTCAACTTTGTGCCGAAACAGGAGGCATTCAATTTATTTTTATTCTTTTATAGCCCTAAATCACAGAAGTAGTTATTTCAGAGGATTTTACACAACCGTTGAATTCGGCAACACCTTATATGGCTCATATCTGGATTTACAAAGACAATATCACAATATAAACACCAGGATCACTGAGAGCACTAAACCACATAATTTAAGCCCAAAATGGTCAGTGTGACACAAACAATTACAGAGCTTGAGGAGCTTACTTTTACATGTGAGTTAATAGGAGCAAAACTTCGACATGAGTACTTCCCTATCGGGCTTCATTGAGCTAGCGGCTGAGAATTGAGCTAGAGGGTTGGAATTGTCCATCTATATACAGTCTATGTTCTAATGCAGGGGTGAGGTTACAGTTAAGTACTGGTGCTGCGATTCCTTCTCTGAGAACCCCTAAACGCAAATCTGTTTTAATGCAATCCTGATTCTGGTTCTGATTCTGGTCCGTCCCATTCACAGTATGTCCGCCAGCTCTGGTGCCCTATGCAGGAGTTTACCAGATAACTGCTGCTGCAGACTTGTGCACGTCCACTCCACGCTCTGTCTGGTTCTGCTCCTCTGTCTTTGGACTTTGGCGGAGCTGCAGAGTAAGCAGGAGCACTAGATTATGAAAACAGTTGTTGGGAGTCCTGAATTCCTGTTTGCTCTACATATTTCCTGGGCTGATCTATTCTCTCCACCGTCCAGAAAAGATAGACCCGGAACCTTGGACCTATAGTCCCTGGATACCGCAGTTCCTGTGTACCACAGTCTCTGTGTACCTCAGTCCCTATGTGCACGGCCGTAGCGCAAACTGTAGTTTTCGCCACTGTTGTTGTCCCAAAAGTCTCCGTCCACGGTGCGCATGTGCACAGCAAAGTGCAGGGCGCTGGCGCTCCAGGGCGGTGGCGCAAGCACAGAGAAGCTGAAGCAGCGGTCGGACAGGCGTGCGGCTGGAGTGTCCACGTGAGAGAGCCACTCGTTGAAAGTGTATCTGACACTCACGTGCGCGTCCATGTCCTCTGTGCACGTGAGTACCTGTCCACGCACCTCAAACTGTGTGACGTGCAATTTCTCCAGGGCCACGCGCTGCACCTGCGCTCTCTGCTGGGCGTCCACAATCTCCGGGAAACAGGGCACGAGCACGAGCAGCGGCTGAGGCGCACGCTGCAGACTTCGGTGCCGTGTCAACACAGCGTGCGGAACAAGCGGTGCGTCAGTGGTGCTGAAGTGTTTGACGTCCGCGAGGCTCAGGCCCAGAGTGTCTGCGAACTGCACACGCTTCCGCCCGCCGTCCCCCAGCAGCGCCGTGCACGCGGGCAGCGAGCGTGCACGCCGCCGCTCACGCATAAAGCGCAGGCGCGCAGCGTCCTGCTCTGCGTCCAACTCCTCATCAGAGACTGGCTCCAGGAGGCCGTCCACAGGGTCCAACATGTTGCTCTTCTGCAGGCGCCGGTGCTCCACTGAACGTCCCTGTGGTCCTCTGCAGCCCTGTGCTCCTCTGCAAGTCCCTGTGCTCCTCTCCCGGCCCTTGTGGTCCTTGTGGATTCTGCTCTGACACTGACAGACACAAGGGCCTCTCTCTGATAAACGCTGGGCTGTCACTGCGGTGTGTCACTGGGGTCAGGTCCAAAGTGCGTGTGCAGCAGAGATTCAGGGGCCCCACATTGCAGCAGGCTCATAGAAGGGCACATGTATACAACTGGGCCGTTCACTTTCATTGGACCCGGGAAAGTGGACCAGAGCAGTGTGACGTGCTGTCAAGGAAGCAGACACAGCCTCTATGTTCAAGGCCAGGCCTTGAACTAACCTGTCTCATGGCGGTCTAAACCGAGCTCACCCTCTAATACCCACTAATGGGAACGTGAGCTGGGATTAGACCATCATGAGACAGGTTAGTTTTACCCTACAGATGATGTGTTGTTGCAATAGTAATCCTGCTTCTTTATAATCCTTTCTGCTTCTTTACTGTCCTCTATAATTCAGCATATGTTAAAGCTGCATTACCTGACTTTATTTTTGTATTCATTACGAAAATTCAATCCATATCCATGCAATGCATTGGTAGCGCAGATTTTATTTTAGACCGAGTTTTGGTGCAACAGAGAAGAGAATGTGTTTTGGGTCCAGATTGTGACCAATCACAGCTAACCACTGGCCCCCACTTTCTTGAGAAAAGCCACATGTCTCTTGTTAACAGACAGCTGAGGTAAACAAGCAGCGGAGGCTAACCTGAAACTTCCCGTGTCTTTGTTACCGGTTACTGCTTACTCAGCGAAACAGCCATCCAAAAGAAAGTCTCGTTCCTCCGCGCTTCCCTGTTCCATCATTCTATGGTCACGCCATCCACATTCAAATGTGCGATCCATATTGTGAGACGTAAACTCTGTATACAATTAGCACAGCATGAGCACTGGCTGAGTGGGAGGGGGGTAGTGGGGGGCAGTTAGTGCAGCTTTAAGTAGGGGCATCTCTGTTTGCCAGAATCTCAGGTTGGGCACCATGTCCTCAGATTTGGAAGGTAATGATTCTCTTCCCAGCCGCTTCACACTCAGCTGCAAACCGTTGCAGTGCATGCTGAATTTCATGGCTTTTTGGGGCCAAACAGGAAAAATAGAGAAATCCTGTGGTCCCCAAACTGGAAACCCTCTGGCCCCTGTGAAAAGAACCGACGGAGGGCAGCTTTTGCTGTACCACGAACAGGTCTGACTTACACTGCCTCGTCGAGATTCTGTTGTAAGCTGTTTTATGATGTAATGCAAACCTGCACATGTGCGTCTCACGGCAGCCTAGCAAACAAAGATGGCGGAGAGGAAGTTCGAATATTGTTTTTAAAGTTGGAATACAAAAAAATTAAGACACGGATGTCACTTTTAATTAAATTTGAGGCGAGATGTTGATGGTTCCATGTTTCACCCACAGCTCAGTGAGCTGTTAGGGAAATGTGCAAAAGGATTGGGTAAAGGCAGTGTGCTTCAACGATAGAAAGGGACTGCTATCATATTATAGTAGTGTGGTTTACCTAAACCAAATTTACACAAAACTTTTACTCTTATAACTCAAATATCACAACATGGAACCAACATCTCAACAATCAACATCTCCCCTCAAATTGCATTAAAAGTGACCTCCGTGTCTTAATCCGTTCGTATTTAAACATTTAAAACAACTTTTTTATTTCATTTTAGTATTACTTATAGCACTGCTTCCCCCTCATGAGGCCGACTAATGGTCATGTTCCATGGACTCTCCGAACTTCTCCCAACGGCACAATTGGCCTAACGGCACTGGACAACTGCCTCAGGAGTCCCATGAACCATAATGGCTCGATAGGACTCCTTCAGCCTGACGGCATCCCTTACTACCCGAGTCCACCACTGGGTTCGGGGGTTCCCGCACGGGACCGGCACCAGAGACCCGTGACCACAGCTTAGAGCTGCTGCATCGGCAATAGGGGAGGGGCAATGAGTCTGAGTGGACAATGTTCTCTGAAAAGCTTCTCCCAGGTGCAGGAAAAAGCTGTCCTCCGTGATCTGGAAGAAACTTACCAGAGTTGAAAGTCCGTCGGAGTCTGTTATTTTCCTGGGGGACTTCAATGCCCACATGGGAAACGCCAGTGACTCTTGCAGAGGGGTGATCAGGAGGTACAGTCAGACCAGAAAAGGTGCCTTTCCCTTTCCAAGTGGATGGAGAAGTTCTTCAAGTGGAGGAGTTCAATCGCCTCACAGCGAGGTAAAGATGCAGCGTGAGATGTACAGATGTACAGTACAGAACGGTGCAGTGTGTGCAGTGATGCGGTCGTTGTATGGGACAGTTGTGGTGAATAGGGAGCAGAGTCGAAAGACATATGAGCTCCCTCCAGAGTGACTGGGCGCTTCCTTAAGAGAAGGGGGGGTGAATCAGCCAGACAGGAAGAGCTCAAAGTAGAGCCGCTGCTTCTCCATGTTGAGGTGGCTCGGGCATTTGCTCTTGATGCCTCCTGGACGCCTCCCTGGGAAAGTTCCAGGCATGCCTCACAACGAGGAGACACCCAGGACATATTGGTGGGACTGTGCTTGGGAACACCTCTGCATTCCCCGGTATGAGCTGGAGGTGTGTGTGTGTGTAGAGGGAAGTCTGGGTGTCTCATCCTGACAACGGATGAAGCAGAAGAAAATGGATGGATGAATGGGGAAAGTAGGTGAGACTTAGAATATTCAGTTGAAAAACACAGATAGTCAAGCTACTCTTGGCTGGAAGAAGTATGATAACAGTACTGTCCTCACTTCTTCCTACTTTTAATCAGTCATCATTATGACTTCAGTGTGTTCATTGCTATTGAAACCCTGAACCCAGGCTCCTCCATCAGCAACTGTGGACTGTATTCCCCGGTCCGGACTTGTGGAGGGGAGGGCTGCACTCCCTCCCCGCCTGTGAGCCACCTCAGTCCTGTTACTTGCCAATGCAGGAGGAGGATGATCCAGGACACTCGACATTCAACAACATTTATGGACATTGGAAACTCCTCCCCTTCTGGACTAATCGCTTGATGTGTTTTAATATCATTGCATTTCCTTCTCCCTGATTGATTCTCTGATCTGTATGAGAAATTGTAAAGTCCTCAAAGATAACTACCGTTGTGATTAGGGGCGATACAAAAATAAATGTAATCTAATTGAGGCTAATTGACCATGAGTCTTAACTTTGGGTCAAAACCAGGTTTAAAACAGGTCTAAAGCAGGACTCAAGCAGGTCTAGGGCAGAGCCAAACAAGACAAGCTCAAAAATATTACTTTATTTCTTTTATAAAAACAGCGAATTTTACACAACAATAATCTCACCTAAACTTCACATTACAATGATATTAATAATATTAGTGCATACATGTCTTCATCCGTGGCATTGCTGGTTTTAAACTAGTCACTAGGACTTCAAAGACAGAGCCATTGTCTGCATTTTAAAACAAATAAGTATAGAATATCCGGTTGTCGTGCTGTGGCGGTCCTGATGCGGTTGTTGTGGTGATAGCATCAGGATCATCACTGGTTGTCTACGGAGTACATGCGATAAACGATCGTCACCACTCCAGCAGCCAGCAGAGGGATGAGCCACTGAGACCAGGAGCTGAGGAAAGAGACCAGGAAAGAGACCAGGACTGAGACCAGGACTGAGACCAGGACTGAGACCAGGACTGAGACCAGGACTGAGACCAGGACTGAGACCAGGACTGAGACCAGGACTGAGACCAGGACTGAGACCAGGGCCTCAGTCACAGGGGACTGGTCTCACACATGAAAAGGGCTTGTGGATGGCTTCACAGAGCATCCTCACCACTTGTCGCCATAGTAACTGCACAAAGAAACATACCTCTGCTCCTCATGGAGTGTGGTCACCAGGGTGTCCTGCAACACAAACACACAGAGGTCAGGTCTGGGTCTGGGGTCTCGTCAGGTCTTGGTCTGGAGCTGGTCTAAACTCACCACAGGTTTGGCAATCTTCTCTCTGTCATCCTGAAAAACAAGAGAAACAAGATTGTGTTTTTTGACACCAGAATCCCAAACAAAAGAAAAAAAAAAATCTTATAAAGCAGGGCTCGACATTAACGGTTGTCCGATTTGGGACGGGCAAGTGCACTGTTTTAGTAAGTTGCACGATCAGGTAAGTGATGTATTACTTTAACCCATTCAGGCCGAGAACACATTTCTTCCTCTGGAGCCGGGAGCGGACACGTCTGTTAATCTTTTTTTTGACCAATTCCCTTCATTAGTAAATTCTCTGGATCAATGAAATGCATCTGGATTAACCAGGAATTAAAATTTTCAGCGGATCCGCGATCTTCAAATTTTTGTGAAATGTGTGACCGCGGGAACTCTCTGTTGTTTGCGTTAAGTACTTGAACGGGATTCACATCCTCCGCTCTGAGCCCCAGGCAGTTGTGGCCGCTTTGACAACACATCAGTAACGTGGTACCGAGCGCGGACCATAGACGCGCGTTCAAGACAGTCCCCAGTTTGTGTCTCCTCCCGAAGCGCAACCAAAACTCACAGAAATTAAAGCTCGGGTACCTAAAATTTACCCTTCCATTAACTATGCATGTTGGTTGTGCACCAAAGGCTAAATGTTATGAACAAATCCAATAGAACACTCCACAACAGGCGTCTTGTTTTTTATTTTTTATTTCTTTATTGCTGAACTCTTGTTAACTCATTGTATTGAGACATATTTGGGCAAGTAACTTTTGACATTGGGCAAGTAATATATAAATGGTACTTGTGGCTGACAAAGCTTGAAGGATCATTATGTATAAATCTGTCCAAAAGTGGTACTGCAGTCACAGTTAATATTTTGTAGTCCTCTCCCACGCTCCCTGACTCAGGTTGCCAGATACACACCAAATCCAGCAGCAAACACAAGGAATTATTTTCTCAGTTGTTTCTCTGTCTCTATTCACATTGCCATGATAGCCGTGCTACTGTTGAATGAAGGTTTTGAATGAATGTTTTTTTTTTTTTATTTGGACATTTGAGATGAGACAACCAAAATAAAAGCAATTTAATTATGCTTAGATTATGCAAAATAAATAAGCAATCGATGTCTAAAATAGGAGTGGGAAGAATGAAAGTTGGAACATATTTCTTCAGCGTATCAACATCCAGAGGATATCACCCTTCGATTTTGTTTTCCATATCTTTTAGACATACATGTAAGAGTCTCACCTCAAAAATAGACTAACATCTTTTTTTTGTCCCTTACCTGTTATGAGAAATCTGTCATAGAATGTGATATCATGTAATTAAATACAAACATTCTATCCGGAACTCTGTCCGGATTCAAATCCAGGTCGCTGAAATGCAAGCGCTGTGACTTTTCCATTAGACTACCATTGCACGCATTCAGAGACTGTGGAGGCAGGTAATTTAACTGTCAATGAAGAACGCACTCAAATCAGCAAGTTTTGCATCACGCGAAAGGTTTTTATCCACTGTATCAATTATTCAAAGGCGTCCCAATATAAATCCTCGTTTTGGTCTTTGTTTTGTCATTAATGATTTGAGAGTCATAACAAGACCTTTTTTAGGTCTGCGCCACATGTTATTTCCTCAGTGAGATTAGCAAGTCGCGGGGCGTTATGGCAACCCGGAGTACGTACGGACTTCCTGATTGGCGAAATGGCGGAGGGTAGGACATCACAATCAAAACAATAACAACTTTTACGGGTCGTAAAACTTATTTTGATATTCAAATATCTCGGGCTGAACTACTGTTATCAGTTAAAGATGTATTCGAAAAGAGCATGATTTAATAACGCCTTTTGAAATATGGGGGCCATTTAATGATGACTTGACATGCAAATATGACATACTGCTACTTTAATGTCACGGCCTGTAAAGTATTATTTTATATATTTATTTGTAATGAAGTCATTTTTGTACTCCAAACATAACAAAGGTCTAAAGTAAAACCAGATCTCGGGCAGGACTAAACTTGGTCTAAAGCAGGTCTAAAGCAGGTCTAAAGCAGGTCTAAAGCAGGTCTAAAGCAGGTCTAAAGCAGGTCATGTAGTTACGTTGGTTCACCTGTAGGGGGAAGTATTACACAAGCCCTCAGGGCGTGTCAGAAGAGTGACAGCTCAAACTGAAGATGAACAACAAGTATTGTGATTAAAATTAACTGAAGACCAGAAAGAGACCAGGTGAAGCTGTCTTACCGGGTGCAGCTCTCCAATGATCATGTCAGCTGCCATCTCCCGTGCGTCAGTCGAGTGTCCCACGTCCTCAAAGCTCTCTGTGGCGTCTCCCCCAGCCTGTTCCCTCAGCACCTCCTCCCCCCCAGGGTGCTGCAACAGGAGGTCAGGGGTCAGACAGACAGAAGCCCCCACTTCTGTCCCTCCACATACTCTGATCTCGGCCCTTTCATTACCATGAACAGCAAAGGCCCTACAGGCTCTACTCAAACCAAGTTAGCAGGAGTTAAAACATGAACAGCCCTGACCTGCGGCCCAGAGCGGGCTGGCACGCGCGCATACGCACACACACACACACACACACACACACACAGACACACACACACACACACACACACACACACACACACACACACACACTCACACACCTGAGAGTTTGATAAAAGTTCAAACCAATAAAAATACAAATATGGTGAGTGGTTATCAGAGTTCACATTACATCAGAGACTGTTGCTGGCCTCTCTCTGGCCTCTCTCTGGCCTCTCTCTGGCCTCTCTCTGGCCTCTCTCTGGCCTCTCTCTGGTCTCTCTCTGGTCTCTCTCCCCTCTTTCTCTACAATGGATTAATGTGTCGTCTCTCCCATTTTTACAGTAAAACTGTTCTCTGGTCGGGCTTTTAGCCTCAGTCACATCTTTAAATCAACTTTTTTTTTCAGACAGAAACATTTAAAAGAGAGCAGCACCGTCTCTCAGCAAATAAACTCTCACCCCAAAGAGTCAAATAGTCACTCATAGGGCGCTTTCTTACTAGAACGTAGAAGATAACAAGTTTTCTATTGAGATGCAGACAGCATGCTGTGGTCTGATGTTTACATGACTCTTTCTGTTACACAAACTGTTGTCGTCCAAAGTGTGGACAGTGGGATCTAAACTTACGTTCCCCGGTCCCAAACTTCTCACCTCCTCTAAGAATCTCGTCACGTCGTACACCTTGTTGTGGATGATGATCCATGTGGATTTGAATGAGTTTTTCTCCTCTATTTCTGACAGACGGAAGTACCGGAGCTCCCCCGGGCTGCTCTGCTCTTTCTCTTCCATGACTGGGGCTGTGTGTCCGGCTGAGAGTCCGGCTGAGAGTCCGGTTGACTGAGCGGTGGTCCCGTCTGCAAATCCGTGCTCCAGTTTAACACTAGGAGTGTCCGACATTTAACCCACTTTAGCCCGACACGGCCCTGACCGTCACCGTGCGTCACCGTGCGTCAAGGTGAGGGTGTCTAGGTGTACGTGCTTCCGGGTCGCGCTATCACAATAAGAGCGTGCACAGGTGAACAGTAAACAAAATGTATATACAGAAATAAATCTCTTTATTTTAATCCTTCTCTTTATACCGCTCTCTATATATTCATATACAAGCAACACACAGTCATTCCGACTTGGAAATATGAGCATTAAATATATATCATATATTTTTTCTATAATCAAGAAGTCCACATTTGGCCGACGTGAAACATTTGAGAACGATTTCCCCATAAGTATGATATTATATTCTATGTATTTGTGTATCATCCAAAATCACAAAGCAGTCCTCTTAGAGAGGTGTGTTGTGGATTCGACAACAACAGATCAGAGAATCAAACGGTTCAAACTCAGGAAATTATAACAGAAACATAATAATTCGTCCATAGAGTCCATTGGTCCATAGGGATCGGAATGACCACTGCCCTCAAATGTTAATAAACGTCCCATATCATCACTGTTCTTAGACACTCCTGCATCGACAAGGAACCACTCAGAAACCCAGTGGGAAAAAGTGAGGCTGTAGATCCAGAACTGAGGCTGTAGATCCAGATCAGGACAAGTATACAGTACCACTATGTAAATCGGATTAATCACACACTAAAGGGTATAAAAGTGTGACAGAAGGCTAAAAATGTGTTTTTAATAATCAGAAGATATATTTTCTTTTTCATGTATCCAAATACCTCCTCTGTCCATTTGTAGTTGCTAGAAGGTAACTGTTTTATTAACAGTTAACATTTCCTATAGCGGCTCTGTTTACTTGTGTCACAGACTTTATGCTTTTGATGGAATGTGCTGCGGAAGTTTGTCACAGAATCTTTTTTTACACAGAGTAGAAACAAAGTGTTTACTTTCGTAAACCAATTAAATGTGATACCAAACCATCATTTTTATAAGTTTTTTCTCATGTGAAAATGTTAGATTTTTTTTGACAGAAACCATCATGTCCATTAAACATTTTTCAAGGGTCATTTAAATGTGTATATTATTATTTATTTATTTTATGTTTCCTTTTTAAATCAAGTGATTTACTTGTGTTGTTTCTAGCCATGTTATCTTCTGGGAGTTCATTTGCTACTTGTCACACTGATGACCTTTTATTTTCTATGTAACTGGCATCACAGTTTACATATCAAATCAGAGGCTGATTTGGGTTGTTTAAAATGTTATTGTAATTCAAAAAATCTGCTCTCAAATGTATCAATATTTCCTATTGATTGAACCCGATCTCTTTGATATTTTTGTATTCGATTTTTTTTCCAATCTATGATTGGAAATTTTGTTTTGAGTTATAACCTTTTAAAGTCCAGATACTATAACTAACATTTGACTGTGAACACACTCATAATAGTTAGTTTAGTCAAAGGGACAGTGAACAACAACATTGTGCTCAAAGACAGATATGTTCTCCACACAGTTTCCATCAGCAGTCCCGGTTAAAAATGTGTTTTGAATGTGACTTTTAGCTGTATCCTCTTTAGATTGGCTGCTCACTCGGTGCTTTTGCTCTTGTATAAGTGTATTAGCATGTTTTAGTTTTATTGTGGAATTTCCTTCTGATTCAGACCAAAAACCTTCACCCCACACATCTGTAGGCAACTCGCCATAGCGCCCACCCACAACACATTAGCCATTGGCCCACTTCTTTTTTCTGGGCTCCTCATTGGCCCAGCCTACTGTCACCTATCACCGAGTTCAGCAAAGTTCAGGGGAAACTCTTCGCACGCTAGATGTTTATCATTGTTACGACCATGGATATAATATAATAACGGTTACGACACGGAGCCCCCTCCCCCCCACCACCATCAGCCCCAGGAGAATTTATCCACGAAAAAAAACTAGAAAACCCTCAAAAAGTCCATTATTTTTGACAAATGTTGCAATTTTGTCCGCTGTTACGAGTCCGAAGTCCGAGATCGTTAAATAAACATAATGTTCCACTCCTTTCAACTCGGTCCATCATAAAATGATTAATGTATATTTATCACTATACCATGAACAAATATGTAAACATTATTGATTCCCTGTGTGTTTCGGTGTTTATAATACTAATCAAAACACTTTATAACTAACATTTTGAATGCTATTTTAATGCAAGGCTTTATAATTGTCCTAAGTTGCTATGTCTTCTATGACATATTAAACAGAAATAGTACGCCACCATGACCTGTGAATGTGGACACAGAGTGGTATATCGCGCCTTTGTCTCTCAGAACATCTTTGGACTAAATTGTATTCATATTTTTTTTTATAGAAAACGTTGTATTTTTTTAAGTCACGGATGAGAATCCACTAAACTGTACATGTATTGTGAATATTTAACAATATATACAAAAACGCACAGAATTTTTGGAAAAACGAGAAAACGTTGTTTGATAATTAGCTTCCCGTGAGCTCTCCGTTAGCATTAGCGCAGGTAAGTCAGTCGCAGAAACTGGATTAATAAAAAACACGAGGCATTATGAGCTATTATTATTCTTCCTTAAAACTCTATATAAGTGTGAATGGTTTATACTAAAATTAAAGTAAAGTAGTTTCTTGTTAAAGCTATTTGAATAATAACACGAAAACAACAACTTCTAAGTACAAATCAAAAATTCAATCAGTTCTTAAAGTTTTGTTAAAGCTGGGGTATATAAGTTTCAGACCATACCGATAGAACTCTGTAATAAACCCATGTGTCTTGTTCCTGGCTTTAAAACAGTTGCTTCTATCACTAGTTTTCACATCATGTATTTCTGGCCTCTGTCACATCTTTAAAGCAGCTTTTTCTGTCAAAAAAGTGAAAAAGATATAATTACTCTAAGGACCACTCAGCTCTCAGCCCAAAAAGTTAAATAGTGACTCAGAGATGAACACAGCATTTTGTGGTCTGATTTGTTCACAATATTTCCCTTTAACTCTCTTTATGTTGCATGTACTAAATCTGTTATTTATGAGAGTAAAGTTACATACCCCAGCTTTAATTGTGTGTTTGTCTCTGCAGGATGAGTGTACTGCAGCCCGCTCTGTTCTTTCTGTCTTTGCCGGATCTCCAGTCTCTGTGCTGCGTCACTCTGTCTTTAGACGACAATTATGACGAACCCAGAACCAAGCAGATCTCCACCTGCAGGTAAACAGACTTGAGCCCAGACCCAAACCCCTGAGTTGGGGCAGATCCTGAGTATGGAACCAGAAGCAGTTTCTGTCATCTCTCATGTATTCGTGTAACTTATGTTTTTCAGGGAGCTGGTTCTTCTTTTCTCCGACGTCTTGGCTTCTCCAGGACTGGACTCATTTACAGAGATCACTGCAGTTATGGCTGTAAGTAAATCAGGTCTGAAGCAGGACTGAAGCAGGACTGAAGCAGGTCTGATGCAGGTCTAACGCAGGTGTAACACAGGCACCAAAGCAGGTCTAAAGCAGGACCAAAGCATGTCTAAAGCTGGTCTAAAGCAGGACTAAAGCAGGTCTAAAGCTGTACTAAATCAGGTCTAAAGTAGGACTAAAGCAGGACTAAAGCAGCCTTAAAGCAGGACTACACTGTACAGCAGAGCAGACTTATTGCTGTCATTATTTACTTGGAAACCTTTTGCTCTTGTTGGATCTAGGTCCAGGTCTTTCAGTCCGGAGTTCTGGAGAGCTTCATTCAGAGACACAGCCTTCAGGTAAACTGGACTCTAGTGTGAGGCCTGAGGGGGAGTGCATGATAACAGCATAACGAGCCATGGAGCTGTGTTTGGGTGACTGAAGCTCTGACCTCAGAATTTGGACTGTTGCACGTGCTGCTCTTTCCTTTATAAAGTTGTCTTGGAAAAAATATGTTTGAACATTTTCATATTGCTCCACAAAAGCGGCGTAGGGTAGTTGCCACAGGCCCTGGTGGCTTGCACTGGCTGCACTGCCTTACCCTACACCGCTGCTCCACAACGATGAGGTCTTTGCTGTAGTCCATTATAATATGATTCTTTCTGGTCTTTATCTTTTCTCTCTCTCTGGTCTCTCTTTCTTTTCTCTCTCTCTGGCTACTTTCTCTAGTCTCTCTCTCTGGTCTCTCTCTCGGGTCTCTCTGGTCTCTTGTTGTAGTCCTTTATAATGTGATAATCTGGTTTTCAGATCAACGCTCCTCAGCCAGTTCTCCCTGGGATCCTTCAGGCCTGTTTCTCCTTCTCCCTCATCTCCAGACTCTCACCAAAGTGGAACAAGGCCGGACTCTACCTGATCCATGGTGAGGACCGAACCAGGACTGAACCAGGAACGAGTGACATGGATTTTATTACAGACTTCTACTGTTGTGATCTGCAAGTTCCATACCCCAGCTTTAAGGCAGATTTTTAACTGTATTTTCCTCAGGGCGGGGGTTTCTGTCAGAGAGCGGGCGCCTCAAAGCTGTCAGTGAGTTTCACACACGTCGATGTTTGTTTGTCCAAATTTCACAGATAGTGAATGATAACACATTCTCATAAGTCTCTATCCCCCAGTCCTCAATGTGTTTTGTCCTTTAACAAATAAGACGAGTCAGTTTGGTAATTGTGGATGAGGTTCTGGTCTCTCTCTGGTCTCTCTCTCTGGTCTTTCTCTGGCCTCTCTGGTCTCTCTTTGACCTCTCTCTGGTGTCTCTCTATGGCCTCTCTCTCTGTTGTCTCTCTGGTCTCCCTCTGTGGTCTCTCTCTGTTCTGTCTCTCTCTGGTGTCTCTCTGCTCTCTCTCTTTTATAAATGCTTGTGTTACTTCAGGTCTGGAGTTCAGCATTGGTGGTGGACAGCTGTGCCTCAGTGTGCTGCCCTCTGCTGTCAGACTGCCCCCAGTGCAGCTGCAGGACTTCAGCCTCAGTCCTGTGGTTCTGAGAAGGTTCAGCTCCGACACGGACACAGTGATACACCCTCAGCAGCTGGGAGGAGGAGGAGGGGTCTGGTGCTACGTCCTTCCCAGGTAAGAACCACTGGAGGAGGAGGAGGAGGAGGAGGAGGAGGAGGAGGAGGAGGAGGAGAAGGACGTGTTATCAGGGCTGGACTGGGACCAAAAGCGGGACCTTGTAGATGATGTAGAGGATGTATGCAGTTTCAACAATTGCATAAAGTGCAATATTCTACATGAAAAGAGAGTAATAAACATGTCACTGCCCCCCCCTCAAACATTTCTCAACGGATTGACACATTTTACAAAAATTACATTATAATTTTTTGTAAAAACATGAGCATCTGCCCTTCAGGCACTGCCCAGGATGCCCGATGGCTAGTCCAGGTCTGCGTGTTATTCATGTAGAACCACAGCAGTTATCTGAACTGTGTTCTTGTTGTAATACCGTGAGTGTCCACTAGAGGGAACTGCCCTCCAGTGTGTCTTTGATGGTAGTATGTTGTGTTTCCAGTATGAAGAAAGGACAGATCATCACAGTGACCCGCAAACTCCCACCAGGAGGCCCCTTCAGGGATTATAGAGAGCTGCAGAGCCACTGGAACAGACTGGTGCTCACACATACACTCACACACAGACAACACACGCACACGCACACGCACACACACACACGGCAGGTTCACACTCTAACATATATTTTGCAGTACGGATACATGCTCCCGGATCAAGACGAGGATCAGGTGGTTTACTGCAGCGTCTTCTTCAGACTCGTGGGAGAAAGACTCTTCACGTAAATACTATATTTATTTCATAATACTGAATTAAAGCTGGGATATGTAATGTTACACAACATCATATAACTGTTTATATTTGTATTTCTTTCTTTATTTGACTGGTACAATACATGTCGATGAACATATATGGTTGAACATATTGTCAACACGTCAGACTACAGTGCCTTGCGAAAGTATTGAACCTTTCAACATTTCGCCACATTTCAGGCTTCAAACATAAAGATATAAAATTTAAAAATTTTGTCATGAATCAACAACATGTGGGACACAATCGTGAAGTGGAACGAAATGTATTGGATAATTTAAACTTTTTTAACAAATAAAAAACTGAAAAGTGGGGCGTGCAATATTATTCGGCCCCTTTACTTTCAGTGCAGCAAACTCACTCCAGAAGTTCAGTGAGGATCTTTGAATGATCCAATGTTGTCCTAAATGACTGATGATGATAAATAGAATGCCCCTGTGTGTAATCAAGTCTCCGTATAAATGCACCTGCTCTTTGATAGTCTCAGGGTTCTGTTTAAACACACCAGGCAGGTCCGAGATACTGTTGTGGAGAAGTTTAAAGCCGGATTTGGATACAAAAAGATTTCCCAAGCTTTAAACATCTCAAGGAGCACTGTGCAAGCAATTATATTGAAATGATTCAGATTCAGTTTATTTGCCATTTGCAGTAAAAAAAAAACACATTGGAATACATTAGCAAAAGTCACCAGTGTGCACAGACAAATACAGACATAAAACAACATTAAAAGACAGAAATAAAATAAATAAAACAGTAAACAAATGTCACTGTGAAATCGATCGACTAAAACAGTTTCAAAACAAGTGCAAATCATTAAAGTGCTCTGTTCAGACTGATAACAGCTTGTGGATAAAAACTGTTAGCGTAACGAGATGTCCTGCATCTCAGAGATCTTCTGCCAGAGGGAAGAAGCTGGAACATGGCTTTTCCAGGGTGGCCAGAAGAGTCATTGACAATCCTAAGAGCTTTGTTTAAAAGTCTGGATTTATAAAGAACCTCCAGAACAGGAAGTTCACAGCCCACGGTCCTCTTTGCAGAGCGGAGCACCTTGTTTAAAGCTCTCTTTTCTTTATCTGTGATTTTTCCATTTTTTAGAGTTAGTGGTAAATTCTCTAAGTTTACGCAGAAAGTAGAGACGCTGACGAGCTTTCTTAACGACTCGGTCAGTGTTTTTAACCCATTTCAGGTCGTTAGACAGAGTTAAATCCAGAAACTTGCACTCCTCTACGATCTGCACCTAGGAGTTGTCGATTACGACAGGCAAATAAGAAATATTGCGACTGAAGTCGTAGACCAGTTCACATGTTTTTGATGCGTTCAACTGGAGGTTGTTAGTTTTACTCCACTGAACCAATGAACAAATGGAAGGAGTATCAGACCACTGCAAATCTACCAAGACCCGGCCGTCCCTCCAAACTTTCATTAAGAGGCCCATGATCACTCTGGATGAACTGCAGATAACTACAGCTGAGGTGGGAGTGTCTGTCCATAGGACAACAATCAGTCGTGCACTGCACAAATCTGGCCTTTATGGAAGAGTGGCAAGAAGAAAGCCATTTCTCAAAGATATCCATAAAAAGTCTCGTTTAAAGTTTGCCACAAGCCACCTGGGAGACACACCAAACATGTGGAAGAAGGTGCTCTGGTCAGATGAAACCAAAATCGAACTTTTTGACCACAATGCAAAACGATATGTTTGGCGTAAAAGCAACACAGCTCATCACCCTGCAAGAATTCAACTCTCTCGATGTGCAAAACTGATCGACATACCCCAAGCGACTTGTAGCTGTAATTGCAGCAAAAGGTGGCGCTCCAAAGTATTAGCGCAAGGGGGCCGAATAATATTGCACGCCCCACTTTTCAGTTTTTTATTTGTTAAAAAAGTTTAAATTATCCAGTAAATGTCGTTCCACTTCACGTTTGTGTCCCACTTGTTGTTGATTCTTGAATTTTTAAATTTTTTTTATATCTTTATGTTTGAAGCCTGAAATGTGGCGAAAGGTTCAAGGGGGCCGAATACTTTCGCAAGGCACTGTATTTCCAAATTTTCATCTGACGTTAGTTTTTATGACAGTTACTTTTATAGAAAGTCGGTCACTCTGGACTCTCTCTGATCCCTGTCGCTCTCTGGTTTCTCTCTCTCTCTATTCTCTCTCTAGTCTCTCTCTGGTCTTTCTCTCTCTGGTCTCTCTTGTGAGGGATATTACAGCCTCAAAACTAATATGGTTACTTCTTGGTTTTCACTTATTGTGTGTTATTTTTAGAACGTGACCCTGTGATAAACCAGGGACCAGTGTAGCTTCGGTCCTCTCTAGTTCCACAGCTTTACACGTGTGTGTTTGGGCTGTTGCAGGTATCCTCTTTGCTGCATTCGTCTGTCTCCGGTGCAGCGCTGTCCCCGCGTCGACCTGCAGGCGGCGATCTCCTGCTTCATGGTCGACCTCAGAGAAACGCTCCCCTCAGTTTGTGGTTTCCCTACTAGGATCTCCACGACACCACGCTTCACCACCACAGCACTGTCCCCCCTTCCCCTCTGCTCAAACTCTCAGTTTGCCAACACACAGGTCTGTCCCCCCTTCACAAAGTACACATTTGGAGCACATTTTTCTGTAATCCCTTGAACAGTCCACATTAAACAGGTGTTTAGAACTGGTAACAAAGAGAGACTAGAGAGAGACCAAAGAGAAACCAGAAATAGACCACACTAGAGACCAGAACAGAGAGAGAGAGAGAGAGGCGAGAGACCATATACCAGACCCGAGAGAGACCAGAGAGAATTATACTAAAATGGATTACAAGATTCTCATCCTTGTGGAGCCTTTTACGTTTAACATATTATTCACATCTTTATATTCAAGGCCATCTTTTTACTCACAACTTTATAAATGAAAGAGCGGAGCGTGTAGCTGTCTGTAGTTTTAGAGCCTTCTTTCCCCCAGTGTCTAAACTACAGCTATTTAAACTCAAAGCTTTTGTTTTCCAGATTCCTGGTGCTTTAAACCTGAGTGACATCTCTACCTCCAGAGCCGTCCTATCCCACCTCCCCCCTCCTCCTCCCAGGCCCCTGAGGCCTGTGTTCGGGTCTCAGCCTGCCCACCTGGGCCCTGTATCCTTCAGCTGTGGTTCATCCTTCTCGCAGCCTTCCTGCTCCTCTTTTTCCGACTTCTTCAAACCGGCGTCGACCGTGAACCCCTTTTTCACAGTCTTCCAGTCACCGCCATCGTTGGAGTTTCTCTCAGTCGCAGAAAAACCCAAACTCGTGCCAGCCTTTCGAAGCGTGAAGCCGTCGCAGCTTGTGAATGTGGCGCTGCTGAAGTCCCAGAAGCAGGGCCGCATCACTCGTCCTGTGGCGGCGAACCACAGCAAGTCCCGGCAGCAAGCTCCGGCGGTCTACGCTCCGACCGTGAAGTCTGTGAACGTGAAGCACATTCCCACCTTCAGCCCCAAGAACAAAGTGAAGCCAGCACTGGCCGTCGCTCCGGGCGTCGATAAAGAGAATAAAAAAAGTGTGGGAAACACTGTGGTGAAGTTCAACCTGGAGAAGTCGAGGAAGTCTTCTGCTCTAAAGAAAACGGTGACTTTTTTTTGTGCTTTAAAGACTCTCCTCGTCGCTCTTTTCTCCATGTTACAATAGTTTGTTTTTATTGTTTTTGGAACTTAATATCCAGAACTTCTGGCACAAACATGTAGCTCCACCCCTTAAGTATAACTGCTCCTGTCTCAGTCCTTCAATAGTATGATGTCATTGTACCCCAAGTTTTCTGGTTTTATGGCCCAGACTCTCTCTGGTCTGTCTCTGGTCTGTCTCTGGTCTCTCTCTGGTCTCTCTTAGGCCTCACTCGTTGGTCTTTTTCTGCTCTCTCTCTAGTCTTTTTCTCTGATCTCTCTCTGGCATCTCTCTGGTCTCTCTCTCTAGTCTCTTTAGTCTTACTCTCTGGTCTCTCCCTAGTCTCTGTAACTGGTCTTGCTCTGGTCTCTTTCTCTGGTCTCTCTCTCCAAACATGCATGTCCTTGTATCCCTGAATCTGTTCCACCTGTCCCCTCCCATTGCTCTGCCCATGATATCTCTGCTGATGATATCTGTTTTAGGCAGAAGGCGTTTTGAAGACTAAATCTGCGCTGAAAGTCCAAGCAGGAGCAGAGAAAACCTCCACCACACTGACCCAGGTGACAAAACCATTACCAATCAGCTCTGAGCCTAAAGAGTCAAAAAGTGACTCTTTGGGCTCAGAGCATGCAGTGCTGTTCAAACTAAATAAGTTAAGTACCCGAACTTTAACAATATGGGTACAAATGTTGGAAGCATACCCTAAGCCCTGAGCCAGTCCAAACTCTGGTCTCTCTCTCTCTGGTCTCTCTCTTTGGTCTCTCTCTCTGGTCTCAGCTCTGGTCTCTCTACAACCTCTCTCTCTGGTCTCTCTCTGTGGTCTCAGCTCTAGTCTCTCTCTCTGGTCTCTCTCTCTGATCACAGCTCTGGTCTCTCTCTTTGGTCTCTCTACAACCTCCCTCTCTGGTCTCAGCACTGGTCTTTCTCTCCGGTCTCTTTCTCAGGTCTCTGTATCTGGTCTTTTTACGGTCTCTTCCGGTCTCAGCTTGAAGCCGAAACCCTCTCTCTCCCTCTCTCCCTCTCTCTCTCTTTCTCTTTCTATCTCTTTCTCTTTCTCTCTCTCGCTCTCTCTGAACTGTCTCCAGACCCACATAGTTTCCAACGTGTGTTTGTTATGTTTTTTTATGGCTTTTGAAACAGGGGTTGTGTTATAAACGTCCAACATGTCGTTAAAACTGTGGTGTTTGTTTAAAGGCGGGAGTAAAGAAAAACTGTGGAGGAAAGAAAAACCCTGGCCAGGCACTGAAGGAGGTGGACGTGGAGCAGATGGCCCGCAGCAACCAGGTCTGTAGAGAAAGACCAGAGAGCGAGATTTGAGAGAGAATAGAGAGAGACCAGGGAAAGAGACCAGAGAGAGGCATGTGAGAGACTAGAAAGAATCACATTATAATGGTCAACTTTCTATCCACATGGAACAACCATGGATCTATAATAATAACTGGATAAGGTATTACTAGCTTATAGCTGTCCCACCCCGCGGCTGAGCCCCTCTGTGCACGTGTATGAGAGCCACACACGCGTATTTGGCGCAACGCATCATGGGAGCTCGTCCACTGCGCAGAACTGGGAGGACCAGACGATGCCCAAATATAGGCGAGTTCTGCTAATCTCCCGGTCTCCATGAAGTCCCATGTGCTACTGAGCACACGCCATTCATTTGAATAGGGCGCCATCTTGGATCACCGGGGCTTGGGAACAATATACTAGACATTTTCCAACATATTTTTCATAAGGACATGTCATAAAGGAAAGAGCTTCACTCACCCAAATGCAGCTCCACGGCTCGTTACACTGTCATTATGCAGAGTATTGATGTGAGCTGTTCAGTGAGAATGAGGCGTAAAGAACAGTTTTTGACACTTTTTCCGGTTCTCATTTGTTTTAAAGCATGTGTTGGTTCATGGTGTCTTTAACTGGTCTGTCAGCGTGTCCTGAGTTTGTCCTGGCTCCTTTCCATGCAGTTTAACCGCTGTTTTGTAGATTTATTTAAGACTTAAAAGAAGCTGTCAGAACTTTGAGGAATGGGCTCAACGAAACTCCAGACTGGGGAGAAAACAACATCTGTCTGATTATGACTGAGCTGTCCTACAGCAGACAGCAGACCAGAGAGAGACCAGAGAGAGACCAGAGAGAGACCAGAGAGAGACCAGAGAGATTGATTGATTGATTGTATTTTATTTCAAGCTTATAAACAGGAATCAATTATATGTTTAACAGCAATTACATATAAGAAATGTACATGATAGAAATCTACATACATACATACATACATTAATATATATATTATTATTTTTTTAATTTCATTTTAGAGAGACCAGAGAGAGACCATAGAGAGACCAGAGAGAGACCAGTGACAGACTATAGAGAGAGACCAGAGAGAGAGACCAAACAGAGACCAAACAGAGACCATAGAGAGAGACCAAACAGAGACTATAGAGAGAGACCAGAGAGAGACCAGAGACCAGTCACCAGTCTCCTCCTAACTTCCTCTCTCCTCTCTCCCCTCACTCCTCCACCTTCTAAACCTCTCTCCTATCTCCCCTATGTCTCTCTCTCCTTTCGCCTCCTCTTCTTAATCCTCTCTCCCCTCTCTCCTCCTCTGCTTAACCCTCTCTCCTCCTCTTCCTAACCCTCTCTCATCCTCTTCCTAATCCTCTCTCCTCTCTCTCCTCCTCAGCTCTCCTGTGTTCGCTCGGTGGTCCTCCTCCAGTGGCTCTCCTCTCGTGGGATGAAGGTTCAAACTAAACTGCCCAAAGATCAACTCATGCTCAAAGTCATGAGCTGTTTAGCAGAGAGCTGAAGACCGGTCTGAACCAGGTCTGGACTGAGTTTGAACTAAATCTGAAACAGATCTGGACCAGATCTAGACCAGATCTAGACCAGATCTGGACCAGGACATGTTTTCTTTGATCAAACAAATGTATTTCTTATAACTTATTTGTTCCTAATGTTTGTATCTTGTTATGATATTATATGTTTATTTCTACAGAGTTTTGTTCAAATTCATTAATTAAAATGTGTATATTTCTGATGTTGTTTCTATGTCAACATCATGTTCTTTATCGTTGTCGTGTCACAGAGGCAGCAGCCTGAGCTCCTCCTCTATCTTTACTGGAGCAGCGGCTATATTCTGAGTTCCTCCTTCTTTTTCTTGGTGCGGCCTCTGCTGAAGGAGACAGTCTCGGCCTCGACTCTGGTCTCAGTACCGGTCTCGGTCTCAGGGTCCGTATGAATAGCTCCTGTGTTCTCCCGGTGGACAGCAGCTGGTCCTGCACCTGTTGCAGAAACTCGAGCAGCGTTCAGGGAATATTCCGTCATTTTGTGAAGGAATCAAATCACCGTAACGACGTGAAACAGCTGCAGGGACCAAGAGGATTCTAGGAAAGAGCGAAAGAAAACCTGCTCCTTGGTCGAACTGGACCAAACTGGACCACAAGGTCCGGATCGGAACCTGACCGGTCAAAGAGAGGTGTGCAACAAAAACAGACAGAGGTCAAAACAGAAGCTTGCTCCAAACACGGCTTTAGAGCTCGGTCTCAAACACGGCTTTAGAGCTCGGTCTCAAACACGGCTTTAGAGCTCAGTCTCAAACACGGCTTTAGAGCTCAGTCTCAAACACGGCTTTAGAGCCTGCATTTATTCCGTTTTCTGGAGGGAGGGGCCAGAAGCAGCTCAGGGTCTCTGCATGAAGGAAAGTCCATGAGTTTGAATCGGAAAGATGTTCTTTACTCTTTGGTCTGGATCTAAAACTTCTTTTCCACCAGGCCAGTGCCAGACTGAACCAGGAATATATCAGGTCTGAACCAAGACAGGACCTGGATTGAACCAGGACTGAACCTGGACTATACCAGGTCTGAACAAAGACTGAACCAGGTCTTGTGTGAGATGAGGACATTTTAGCGTTGAGCTCATGTTTGGAGCAGAATCCTACTGAACCCGGCTTTGGTCCAGGTCCAGGTCTGAGGTTTGGGACCGGACCAGAGCACGGTCTGGACTTGATTAGAGCCGGAGCCGGTCTCAGAGGGTCTATGTTCAGGAGGCAGCGCGTGGGGCTTATTATGGTCTGGATCAGGTTTCACTGGAGACTCAGACTGAACCAGGACTGAACTGGGACGGAACCAGGTCTGAACCAGGTCTGAACAAAGACTGAACAAAGACTGAACCAGGTCTGAACCATGTCTGAACCTGGGACAGAACCAGAACTCATCATCACAGACCTGCAGTTGTGTTTAGCTCCACGCCTTCCTTCTGCCCTGTTTCAGATAACATGAAATGAAGACAGCATGTTGCATTATATTTGAGACCAAAGTTACGTATCTCAGCTTTAAGAGGAACATGACCCAGTCTCCAGAGACTATAGTTTTATCTTTTTTTTATTTTTATTTTTTAATAAAGTTACAAAATCACAAGAAAACACAAATTGTTTTTTTCCGGTTTGAACCAAAACCTTTTGAGCCTTTTCAGTCGTTCATCTGAGACAAATTTGTCCTCAGCCTGTGTCCACGTTAACGAAGCATGAATGAAACCGGAGCTCTCCTTTAGTCCAGTTTACTGATAGAGAACAGACTCATGTAAACCTGCTGTGATGGAAGAGTGAAGAACAGTCAGTGTAACTGGACGGTACCAATTCTACTGCGTTTTCACAGCATGTAACCAGCTGAGACATTTAAGAGCATTGCCTCATGGTTCCATCTACTCAGTGGGTGCAGACTGGACCTCGCAGTGGTCAGACTTGTTGCGTCTGGGAGTCCAGAGCCCCAAAGTATTCTGCTTTGGAAACATACCCACTTATATTCTCCTCCACCTGAGACGCCAGTGCTGATGTCTGTGAAGGGCCAGTGTCTGTGGGATCGTCCGGGGTTTGAGTGCTCCTGGTATCTCTTTGTTCAGAGCTGAGCCTCCACCAGCCGCGTGAGGGCGTGCACGAGCCTCTTGTGCACGAGGTCCGGTCTGTGGTCCGGTCTGTGCTCTGGTCTGTGGTCTAAGTGGATCTCAGAACACTCCTGAACAGCCCGCTGAAGTTCGACCTGAAACAGGGATTTCAGCTGTGATTAGCTCTGCCCACTCTAACATCAGCTCCAACTGTCATGTGCCTGAAGCATACAGACATACACACACATATATATAGATAGATAGATAATGATATATAGATATAGATAGATAGATAGTGTGTGTGTGTCTCTGTTGTGCTTCTGGCTCTGACCTGCAAGGGGAGTGCTGCTTTTGGTCCGAGCAGTGATGGAGAAAACCAAGGTCTAAAGATCTTCTCACAGATTGCCTGGAACAAAACAAAGACACCCCTCGCAGTTAAAGCTGGGGCTTGTAACTTAAGCCTCATAAACAACATGTATGTTGAACAGTTTAGACCACAATATGCTTTTCTTCCTTGGTGGATTAAAACTAGAACTCTTTGCATCCTAGTACCTCTGACTCATTTTCTCTTACATGTTTTTATTCCTCTTTTGTGTAAGAAAGAACTCTGTTAGTCGCTATTTGACTCTTTGGGCTGAGAGCTGATTGGCTGACAAATCTGATCTAAAGATGTGACAGAAAACTAGTGATAGAAGCAACTGTTTTAGAGCTAGGAACGTTTTAGAGCTTTAAAGTTAACTTTTCCTCTTTTTGCGTGAGTTAAACGTCTTGAAGTTTTCTGTCAACAGAAAATCATCAGCACAAAGAAACTGAAGTTTGCGCTGATTTGATCTGGGATCCACATTCCTCAGGTTCAACTCTGTGGCTTATGTTTCATTTTCGGTTTTTAAAACAGGACTTTTATACTTTTGTTCCATTGAAAAATCTTATTACAATATCTGAGTTTGGGAAGGATGCTCCTCATCAGCCACAAATCTGCTGCTTTTAGCTCCATCCATGCTCAAGACTAGTCTCCTAGAAATCCAAGATCTGTGTGAAAAATAGAAAATTTCACAAAATTCTCAGGGATCGGTATTTCGTCTCTGGTTTGTGGTTTTGGGTTTGGGGCCTGGTCTTTGGTTTGTGGTCCTGGTCCAGGTGTTGGTCTCGGGCTTGGGTCTTTTGTCTCTGGTTTTGGGTTTTGGGCCTGGTCTTGGTCTCTGGTTTTAGGTTTTGGGCCCAAACTTTCTCACACGAGGCCTCTGTAACGTGACCCGGCTGTGTCCTTGCGCTCGATTGGTCCTCAGTCTGAGGTGCTGACAGCTGATTGGTCAAAGCCTTTGTCCCGGCTCAGGTGAGTCTGCGGCCATGTGACAGGCCTGTCGTCACGGCGATAGACTCTGTTGTCAAAGCGATACACTCCGTCGTCACACAGCTCTCGTGTCGCCGAACGGTTTCACTTTTTATGCAGTTTTTTTATGTAAACTCAATTTTTTGTAATTAGATTCAATTAAATAAAAATAGAGCAATTCACAAGTCTCAGGCATCGGTCTCAGGCATCGGTCTCTGGTCTTTGGATTTGGGGGCTGGTCTCTGGTCCTGGTCGTAATTTTACTCTTTGTTCATTTTATGCATTAGTCCCTGGTTTAAAGACCAGAGAGAAAACAGAGAGATCAGAGGTAGACCAGAGAGATCAGAGAGAGAATATTAATTAAGCAAATGTCTAAAATATACATTCAAGACAACAAATCTGATCAAATAACTGTAATCATTATTGTATTATTAATTAAAATGCTCTCCTGCACCAAGTTTTGGGATCTGGGCCTTGGGCCTTGACTTTGGGGCTGGTATTTGGTCCTCTCACAGAGGCCTCTTTAATGTGAGCCAGCTGTGAGCTTGCGCTCAATTGGTAAATATTGTTTATCTGTTTAATATGTAATTATTTAGACCCTAAATGTCAATCCTGGCACTGGTCTAAGTCCAGGTCTTGAACTCTGCTCTGAGCAGGCCCATCCTGAGTCAGGCCTTAGTCCAGTCCTTCCTCTTGTCTTTCTTCGAGTCGCGTCTCCCTTTCCCGTCCAAATGAAGCGTTTGCGTTTTCTGTCCTGAATCATCAACAATTTGACACCGAATCAGATTTTATCTGGAGGTTTCCACATTCTTCAGAGCGTTTACCACAAGCATGCAGCGGCCTGAGTCTCTGCAGGCTACATTTACAACATATCTGTGTTTAGACACTATCAGAATGTAAACACCAGGATCACAGAGAGCAAAAACCACAGATTTAAGCCCAAAATGGTGAGTGTGACACAAACGTAGGAGTTTACTCTTACATGTCAATAGGAGGCAGAGAGAGTTGGAGCCAGACTTCATCATGAGCACTTCCCCATTGGGCTTAAATGAGCTAATGGGTTAGCATTGTCCATCTGTATACGGTCCATGGGCACAATAAGAGAAGGGGGCTCTCTATCCTATAGCTCTCTCCCCTGTAGCTTTGGCTCTCTTACCGATTAAGTAATTAATCTTTATTGATCACAGAGTCACATAGTGCTTTGCAATTGTTGTGGGCATTTGTCCCACATAGACATGGGAGTGGGGTCGCCGTACAGAAAACGCATTCCAGACCTACTTATTTTTAGTGGTAGCGGAAACTGGAGCACCCGGAGGAAACCTACGAATACACAGGAAGAACATGCAAACTGTGGAGGCACCTTTCTCCTTGCTCCTCCTTGCTTTGAGGCACAAGCGCTAACCACTGCACCACGTGCCGCCCAATGGCCTGTAGCTCTCTCTCCTGTCGCTCTCTCTCACCTGCAGGTTGCTGTTGCTCCTGTTGGGGGCGCACCGGAGCGTGTGTGTGTCGCACTGGGACCAACAGTCGAAGAAGCAGCAGTCGTCGTCAGAGCTGCAGTTCTGCTCCAGCAGCTCCTGCAGCTTCGGCTCAAAGAAGACCATGTCCACGTCCAGAGCCACCACCTGAGGATTAGAGCTGACTCAGAGCTGCTCTATGAGGATTAGGGCTGACTCACGCAGGATACTTATATCTAAATTTAATATTGAGGCACAGTTTGAAACCCATGATCGGGCAGAAGGGTCAGGGGTCACCGTGAGGTCTTCCCGTATCCCGAAGTTCTCCGGTTTCACGTCGCACATGTGCAGTTTGTGGTGAAAGTCGTGGTCAAAGTGCCAGACCAGATCCAGGAAGCTGAGTGCGATGCGATGGTCCCGCCCCCCTCTACCATGAGCCAATGGAAGCACAGGCTGAGGAGGGTCGGCCAATGAGAAGAGGTTCTGGTCCCAGGCGTGTCCAGCCGACAGGAACTCCACGGCATAGAAGTGACCGCACGAGGAAAGGACTCGGGCCACATGTGGAGTGAGGTCCTGAAGGAGACTGAGGACCATACAGAGACAACCATGAGGACCATATGAAGACATCTTTGAGAACCATATGGAGACAACTGTGAGGACCATGGTCTTACGCTTGGCTTTTTCAGACAGAAAAGTGAAAAAGAGAGGACCACCCTCACTCAGCCAATCAACTTTTTGCCCAAAAAGTCACAAGGCTCTTTATTACACAGAAGATAACTTTATGTGATAAGTTGTAAACAGCAGAAAAACTACAACTGTTATTGATGAGACTAAAGTCACGGACCCCAGCTTTAACCAGTCCCTGTGTGAGTGCAGATTTACCGGAAGAAGGTGTACTCCTCCTGCTGCAGCAGCGCCCACAGTGACGACAGCTCGGCTCGAGTGTACGTGCGGTTTGGATCTGCGCGCTGCTGCCACTCTGCCCACACTGAGCCGTTCTGCAGACGCTCCCCATCCTCCTCCAGCAGACCCAGAGAGCTGCGCACCTGAGGGACAACGGCTCTGCTATCAGCCCCACTCACAGAACAGCTCTGTCAGCTTCTTTCTCCACTCACCTCCATAGTGGCATAGTAAACAACATCCAGGGGAGAGAGGTCTTCTGAGGCATTCTGCAAGGAAAGAAGAACAAAATCCAAAAGTTTTAAAGCAGGTCTAAAGCGGGGTCTGAAGCAGGACTAACGTTGAGACTAGGGAAGGACTACTTTAGTAGGACTAAACCCTGAACTCACCGGGTCCTGCAGGGCGGACAGCGGCTCGTAGGAGGTGAAGTTCTCGTGTTTGGACTTGAGGATCACAGGTTGGCCCCTCCATCGCGCCTCCAGGACCTTTTTCCCGTTCTCGTAGTAGAGACAGCGGTGATACTGCAGCGTATGCAGAACACAGAGGTCCACACACAGTTCTCCAGAGACCAGACCCGACGAGAAGTCCTGGCACTACACAGAGGACCAATATGAGGGCAGAGACCAGAGAGAGATCTGAGAAGAAAATGAGAGACCAGAGGGGGAGACTAGAGAAAGACCCCAGAGAGACCTGAGAGAAAAGAGAGACCCGAGAGAGATCAATGAGAGACCACGAGAGGAAGTGAACCAGACTTGGTCTAGTTTAAGTGAACTCTGGTTTAATTGGGAGTTTGAACCAGTGCCCTGGAGCTGGTTTCACTGAAGGCTCATTGTCCCAGGCCGTGACCAAGCAGAACAGGGGGGCCGGTTCCAGACTGGTCCCTCCTCTTAAAAACGCTCTGTGCTGAATCTGTCTGATCTGTCATTTCGAATATGTGGAAACATGTGAACATCCATCACTGTCACGGAAAACAAAGACCTGATTCAGACCCAAGTCTAGACCGAGACCAGAGAGAGAGACTAGAAAAAAACCAGAGAGACAAAAGTGAGAGACCAGAAAGAGAGAACAGAGAAACCCCAGAGAGAGACCAAAGTGAGAGACCAAGAGATTGAGTTGGGGTTGCAGATAATGAACAGACCAATCAGAGCAGCCTTTTTGGTGCATACAGCATTTTTAAAGGCCCAATAACTGACCCTTGAAGGACCCCCTGACCCCCCTAAGTGTGGGACAGACTCTCTTCAGTTAAACCTTCTCTGATTGGCTGAGGTACAGGAGACAAAGACAGCTGTTGTTCTTCCTACAGTGTTCTCTGTGAGACGCATACTGAACTAGGATTGAACCAGGACTAAACAAGGACTAACAAGGACTAAACCAGGACGGAATCAGGTCTGAACCAGGTTAGAATGAGAAAAGACTAGGACTGAAACAGGTCTGAACCAGGACTGAATGAATCGTGAACTAGGTCTGAACCAGTCCCCCGTCGCTCCACATTGAAGCTGTCATGAGTTCAAATTCTGTGGAATCAAAACGAGTCCAAACACGACAAAGGAAAATAGTAAAGAGCTGCCTCAGTTAAAACCAAGAGCCCAAGACACAACCTGGAACCAATCCAGGTCTAAAGCAGGTCTAGAGCTAAACTGAAGCAGGTCTAAAGCAGGGGTAAAGCAGGACTATAGCAGTTCTTAAGCAGGGTCTAAAGCAGGACTAAAAGTAAGACTAAAGAAGGTCTAAAGCAGGTCTGAATGTTTTAGGTCTGGTTCCTGGAATGTGACCCAGATAGACCGGACTCGGACCACAGCAGAGGTCACAGTGCAGCGTGGCTAATCTCCAGAGGCATCATGGGTAATGCAGTCTTATCTCTGTCGCCGTGGGAATTAGATAAGACTTCTGCTTCCTGTTTGTCTGTGACCATATAAGGCACGGTCCCACATCTGTGCATTTTATTATTTAGAGAAATAGTATGTGAAATACCGATAGCAGGGCGAACTTAGTCCATAACCAACAGAATGTGAAAGTCTTGTAGAAGTTGTGAACAATCAGCAACTCCTCTCCATAAGAAACATTTCTTTTAGAAGGCCCTGTGAATACTATTTGACTCTTTGGCCCTGTTTTACTTTTCTGTGTAAAAAAAGCTGATCTAGCTAGCGTGATGAAGACTAGAAATTAAAAAAGAGAGAGATCAGTGAGAGACCAGAGAGAAAGACAAAAAAGAGACCAGAGCTTCTCATCTTCGTAGAGCAATAGAGACAGTTTGCTAATATTTTTCACAAGGTCAACTTTATGAAGGAAATTCTTGGGTTTCACATGACGTCAGGGCAGTGGCGCGAATAACAAACGTAGGACAGGACGTGAAGTACCCTGGCGGTGCAGTCTGCCGGGTATATACACGGAGAGTGTATAGTAGATAGCATAGGAAGCAGGCTGTACAAGACATGCCATCTTTGTGACTGTCTCGTGTGTACGACTGATTGTAGACGAGACGCCTTATCGTCGAGAAAGACGAGTAACATGGAAGAGAAACTAAATAACTTCAGTTGGCCCACGTCCGTCTCTGTCTGATCACCTGACATATAGTAGAGAAGCCTGTCAAATGCATCTTTTGGTGACGCTGTAGCACCGCCAAGGAGAGTAGACGAACTTGTGAACATAAAAATCACTCGAATGAGACTCTTTTGAGAAACATTTTTTAGTATTCCCTTAGAATTGAGTGACCCCCTCCCGATTAAGACTTTTACAACAACCGTACACCGCACAGGATGAGAGCCTTTTGACTCTGAAACAGACACGATTTACATGGTTTTCATTTGGAAAAAAACTGAGTTGTCCCACCTCTGCTCATTCGCCTCCTACTGGCCAGTTTCATGAAACCCAATAATAGCAGCGCGTGCAACAGCCCAAACTCTGAGGTCAGAGCTTCACTCACCCAAACACTGCTCCACGGCTCGTTACACTGTCATTCTGTAAAGTATTGTCCCTGGTGTGACTCTTTTCTCACCAGCTGCGTCAGGATCTCTGGGCCGTGTTTGTCGGAGCACACGTCGGTGGATATGTGTCTGTGGACCAGGACGAGACCGTTAAGGACCAACCAGGACCCGAACCAGAGCAGGAGTAGCAGCAGCCAGCGGCCCCTCGAGAAGAGCCTTGTGGTCAGCCAGCGCAGCTGAGACCGCCCCCTGGACTGCAGCAAGCACAAACATGTTTAGTGGATTAAGAGGTGATCAGGATGAGAAACACTGCCATATCGTGGGACAAGTGGAACGTGACGTGACCAGAGTATGGTGTGGTATGGCATAGAGTACAGCATAGTGGAGCCGATTAGATTAGAGTAGAGGTGAGTAGGGCTGGTGGAAACAGGAATAAAGTAGGCTCTATATGACTACTATGTATGTTGTGCTGATGAAAGATACTCACCCACAGCTCGAGTCTGACATCCGCTGGAGCAGAGTCTCTCATCATCAACAAACACACTTGATTATGACTCTGAACAGACAGACCAAATCTCCAAGCTCCATGGGTTTTTAGATTATTTATCCCAAAGTGGGCTTTGCAGTCCAGGTTCTGTCCTGGTTTGGACCCTCTTCAGTCCTGGTTCAGAACCTCCTAAGTCCTGGTTCAGACTCTCTCCAGTCCTGGTTCAAACCCTCTCCAGTCCTGGTTCAGACACTCCTCAATTCCAGATCAGACCCTCTACAGTCCTGGTTCAGACACCCTTCAGTCCTGGTTCAGACCCTCTCCAGTCCTGGTTCAGGTCTGGTTCATGCAGAGGCTTGTCTTCATTCCTCCTCCTCTGCTCCACTCTCTCTCCTTAGCTCTAATCACACGGAGCGTGTGACATCACAGCATCAGGGTTTTCTAATCAACCAGACAGGGAGAGACCAGAGAGAGACCACAGAGAAAGAGACCAGAGAGGTTAAAGATCCTCAAAAGACTCCAGCCGATGTTAAAGGACACACTACAGAGCTGGGGGATGGAGAATTCTGATCAGGGTCAGTGGAGTTTATCACCTCATTATCATCTATAACACCTTTATTTGATTAGAAACAGCTTCAGACAAACACTAACTCTAAGTGTTTCATTCATAATGACTTGTTCTTGCTGGTAACTGTTCAAACACTTGTGGTAGCGTGTTGCCCCCTGGTGGTGGTAATGCCTCAGTGCAGTTGGACAAAAAGGACATCGCAACACTTCTAAAAGAAAGTTCAGTACAGAAAAAGCATCAACATTCAACTTCGACGTTTCATATTTTGTTCATTTTGCCCTACTAAAATCAGTACAAAATTTCATATTCTCTCTGGTCTCTCTATTTTACATGCATGTATTTTTGGCCTGTGTCACTGGATTTGCCTGTAATGTTTTTGCATTATTCATGGGGTGGGCGTGTCATCCCCCCCCCCCTCTCTCTAGCTCTCTCTCTCTCTCTCTCTCTCTCTAGCTCTCTAGCTCTCTCTCTCTCTCTCTCTCTCTAGCTCTCTAGCTCTCTCTCTCTAGCTCTCTCTCTCTAGCTCTCTCTCTCTAGCTCTCTCTCTCTCTCTAGCTCTCTCTCTCTAGCTCTCTCTCTCTCTCTAGCTCTCTCTCTCTAGCTCTCTCTCTCTAGCTCTCTCTCTCTCTCTAGCTCTCTCTCTCTAGCTCTCTCTCTCTAGCTCTCTCTCTCTAGCTCTCTCTCTCTAGCTCTCTCTCTCTCTCTAGCTCTCTCTCTCTAGCTCTCTCTCTCTAGCTCTCTCTCTCTAGCTCTCTCTCTCTAGCTCTCTCTCTCTAGCTCTCTCTCTCTCTCTAGCTCTCTCTCTCTAGCTCTCTCTCTCTAGCTCTCTCTCTCTCTCTAGCTCTCTCTCTCTAGCTCTCTCTCTCTAGCTCTCTCTCTCTAGCTCTCTCTCTACTCTCTCTCTAGCTCTCTCTCTCTAGCTCTCTCTCTCTAGCTCTCTCTCTCTCTAGCTCTCTCTCTCTATCTCTCTCTCTCTCTCTCTCTCTAGCTCTCTCTCTCTCTCTAGCTCTCTCTCTCTAGCTCTCTCTCTCTCTCTAGCTCTCTCTCTCTAGCTCTCTCTCTCTAGCTCTCTCTCTCTAGCTCTCTCTCTCTCTCTAGCTCTCTCTCTCTAGCTCTCTCTCTCTAGCTCTCTCTCTCTAGCTCTCTCTCTCTCTCTAGCTCTCTCTCTCTAGCTCTCTCTCTCTCTCGCTCTCTCTCTCTAGCTCTCTCTCTCTCTAGCTCTCTCTCTCTCTCTAGCTCTCTCTCTCTAGCTCTCTCTCTCTAGCTCTCTCTCTAGCTCTCTCTCTCTCTCTCGCTGTCGTTTTTACTGAAGCCAAGCTCACGTCTTTAGCTCCGCTAAAACCTTTCAAACTCGCTTTATACGCTTTTCACACTGTACCCTTGTGTAAGCCGTTCTCTAAACTAACACTTTCTGTGATTGTCACTTTGGAATTATTTTTAAACGTATCGTTTGTGTCTCGAAATCTGCCCTTTCCGCACGCATTAGCATTAGCCGCATTAGCTCCGAGGTTAACGATTCTGTCTTCTAAATCTTCCACAAAAGCGTGAATAAGGCAAATACAATCATGGATCAAGCGACTGTCACTGCTCCAAAGGTATGTCCTCATCCTGTATTTTGATTTACAAAAGGATAAATTGGATGAATTCATGACTTAAAGTTAAAAATATTTTGCTGTTAGCATTAGCTTCAAGGAGACTTTGACTACGTCCGAATTCATAGAAATACTACTCTTTTTTTTTTTTTACCAAAGTTTGCTCAATTGAATATAAGATGTATTCAAATCAGTCTTTAATGTCACTTTACTAAACCTATGGCTACTTTGTCTGATTAAAGAGTATTTTTGAGGAGAAGAAACGAGGTATTCGTATGATTTCGGTCTATAAATAGTCTCACTACATATCTGCCGCTTCAACATTACTTGGTATCACAAACCTATTTTTTACTGGATTTAATTATAAATATTGTTTCAGTTGATTTTAATGAAGACTGTTTGGCTGTAATTCCTTATATTTTGTTATAACAGTGGAGTAAAGCGAATGTAGAGTATGACGTCATGTGGGGCAGGTGTGGCTGCTGGCAAGTTGGACATGAGCAGCGACGTCGTGACGTAATCAGGTTTTAAACTGGATGGAGCCTTATCAAAAGCCTTAAAATGCATATATTTAGTCAAATAGACGATGGGGTTTCATATCATGTTCAAATCTATGTATTTGTGTATTGCCCTAAAGTTCAACAGCAGTCGTCTAAGAGGACATTGTGGATTCACCAACAACAGATCAGTTTGTCAGAGCTAGAAACCAGGATGTGCCTTAAATAGTACAAACATAACAGAAGCAAAGCTAAAGTCTGTCTGCGTTTCTCCCCTGGGTGAAGGCTATTTTTCATCAGATCCAGGACTTAAAGGGACTGGTTGTTTGCGTGTGTCCAGAGCCCTTGGGGAGCCGTCTCCACTGCGCCCCCTGCTGTCTACTCTCTGTCTGACGTCATGAGTGAAGAGTTGGCCAAACAGCTGCATGAAGAGGGAGACTTCACTGCAGATCATCAGTAACTCTCACCAATCTCACTGTTCACCCCCTATCTGGTCTCTCTTTGGTCTCTCTCTTGTCTCTCTCTTGTCTCTATCTGGTCCCTGCTCTGAGTTCCTGTTTCGACCCTAGAGAGCAGAGGCCTCACACTTTGTCTCCTGTTTAAACCATGTGTGTGGCAGAGTGGTGCTGGAGTGCCCCCTGGAGGACACGGAGGACACAGACTCAGACCTGATGTTGGCTCAGATGCTTCAGATGCAGTTTGACCGGGAGTTTGATGACCAGCTGAAGAGAGAGGAGCGCAAGTTCAACGGAGACAGCAAAGGTCTGGGAACACACTAAAGCTGCGGGACATGACTTTAAAACTTTAGCCTAATCAATAATACATGTTTGAAGCTGGGGGACGTAACTTAAAACGCATGTAGTTTTAACTGTAAGATTTAATGAACAAATCCAACCGCAACAGGCTGTCTTCATCTTTTGTGTGAGAAGGAACCCTGTGAGCCACTATTTGCCTCTTTGGGCTGAGAGCTGATTGGCTGAGTGAGGAGGGTCCTCTCTTTTTCACTTTTCTGTCTGAAAGAAGCTGATCTAAAGATGAGACAGAGGCCATAGACACAACTGTTTTACGGGGACTAGAAATGTGGGTTTATTAAAGATTTCTCTAGGTTCTGAAAGTTATGGACCCTAGCTTTAATATAAACTATTTTCTGTTTCAGTCTCCATCTCCTTTGAGAATTACCGTATGGTTCATCCGTACGAGGACAGCGACAGCTCTGAGGGCGAGGTGGACTGGCAGGACACCAGGCACGACCCCTACAGGAAGGGTGAGGGACTACACCAACCCAGACCCCTATACATAGTTCCCACAGACCAATGAATGTCACATGACCTCCTCGGAGACGCCATCTTTGATGGCACGCTGCTGTGTTTGTGCATTCCATTAAACAGAAGAATGAGAATAAATGTAGATATTCAAACGCAAATTGGAAAAAAAGGGCAACTTTTGAGCAAATAATTGTATATTAATACAATGGCACCACAGTTTAACGTGCTACGGACATGTTTTACATATTTGATCAAATTATGCAGCAAAAATTAACAAGCAATGCAAACATTTCTCAAAAACTTTAGATTTAATACCAGTTGGAGCTCCATTTAATTATTTTAATTATATTAACAATTAATTTAATTAATGCTAATGCCACACGGACACTCTGGATTGCTGTTATTGTTTATTTCCGCGTTTTTGACCGTATGTTTTGGTGAATGGTGGGCAACTGATTTTTCCAGGCGTAAAGAGCAGTTTATTTTATGACACAGATCTTTTTACAGAAGCAATGCTGTTTGTGAACATTGTTTTAGCCCACCATAGAACTATTATTATCTATTTAATACATTTACGTTGCCCTCGAGAGCCTCGGACGCGACACCGATCCTCCTCATAATAAAGTAATCTAAATAATTAAACTCTCAAGTTACCAGCTATCAGCATACACAAGTTAGTACTGAGTAAATTACGTCTGTCAACACATTATAAGATACGATACGCACCTGACACAAAGTGCTCCGAGCATATTCTTGCGTGTTTTGAGGGAGTTTCTTGCCTGTTTATCTTCGCAAGCCATAACCTCCGTGGTTGTTCTGACAAAAGCTTAGTCTTCTCACATTCATGAAGTCTAATGATGGGTATACTGTAAAATCCAAGTTTAACGGAACCTCCGGCACGATTTGAACATCCATTGACCCAGCAGGAGATGACCATTTTCAACTTTATCACGACATTAACACGTTTCAGCTTCTTTTTCTATTGTTTTGCCCACAGCATGCCAATACAAATGGCACCGGGTCGGCAAATCCCCGTATGTAATGACGTCATGTAGGAACTATGTATTGGAGATAAGACAAAGATAACTGAAGTCAAAACAAAATGATTCACGGTTTTGTATTTTATGAAACCTGGGGTTTGTATTGACGTATTTATACATATTTCTCGGAGGTCACTAAAGCCTTTGGACACGTCCACCGGTGTGTGCTCTGCTCCCAACAGGACTACAGCTGTTCTGTGAGGCTTCAGAACTGTTGTCAGAGTATACTGGTCACCAAACAGCATCATGAAGGCTAGAAAGCACACCAGAGAGGTCAGAGAGGAAGTTGTGGAGACGTTAAAAGCAGCGTTATAGTTATACATACACTTCCCACACTTATAACATCTTGGCTCTGTTTGATCCATTATTCAAGTATGGAAAGATTATGGCACCACTGAAAAACTTGCCACTGTCACTGCTGTACATTTAAACTAAGGGAGAGTGGAAGACAGTGTTGAAAGAAAGAAATCCCAAAGTTTTAGGCCCAGTCACTGCTCTAGTTATGTGTAATAATGTTGTTGGTACTGCGTGTGGTTTCAGATAAGCCGCAGGTGACGCCTCGTAAAGGATTTGTGGGAAAAGGCAAAAACATCACCACAAAACATGACGAGGTTGTGTGCGGACGGAAGAACACGGCGAGAATGGACAATGTGAGGAATATCCCAGAACAGATAACACTGCACTGAGAGAAACCATGTATACTGTATACAAACGGATGATGCTAACCTGCTAGCTCAATGAAGCTCGATAGAGAAGCACTTATGGTGAAGTTTTGCTCCAACTCTCTCTGGCTCTGATTGCCTTTCGTGTAAAAGGGCGACAGGAGCTCAGTTGGTAGAGCATTGGCGTTTGAGCCAGAAGGTCGTGGGTTCGAGCCCACCTCAAGACTTTCACCATCGACTCCCACTGTCTGCTGTGGTTGTGTCCTTGGCAAGACACTTCACCCACATTGCCTAGAATGAGTGTGGTGTGTGTGAATGGTTGGTGGTGGTCGGAGGGGCAGATGGCACATACTGGTTCTGTCAGTGTGCCCCAGGGCAGCTGTGGCTACAGTAGTAGTTTATCACCACCGTGTTTGGAGTGAAAGAATAATGACATGTAAAGCGTCTTTGAGTGTCCAAAAAAGTGCTATATAAAACCGATGCATTATTATTTTGTATTATTAAAAGTAAACTCCTTAGTAACTGTTTGTGTCCTACTCTGTGGTTTAGTGTGCTCTCTGATCCTGGTGTTTTTATTTATATATATATATATATATATATATATATATATATATATATGTGATAATGTCATTGTCTCCTGGTACAAGTATATAATAACACTCTTTCTCCCCTCTTCTCTCTCATCCCCTCCCTCTCTCATCTACCCCTCTTAGTTTGCTCCGGGGGTGCAGGTGGGTGATGGCTTGGGAATGGACCTCATACTGTCCAATCAGGTGTTCAACTCTCTGAAGCGTCACGTGGACAGTGAGCAGCGCCGGAGCGCCAGGGTTCATGAGAAGAAGGAGCACTCCACCGCCGTACGTAATACATCAGATTAAGATGAAAAGATCCTTTATTCGTCCCACAGCGTGGAAATTTCAGTGTTGCATTACAAGGTATAGAACAGTAAGAATGAGGAGCACACAGCACAAAATAAGTGAACAATTGCTATACTAATTAAAATAACAAAATCTGTAACTGTAGCATCAAAGAGGTCCATTAAAAGGTATATTTATCAAGTGTGTTTGCTAAATATATGAACATTAGAGTAAACCGATCGACTAAACACCTGTGCCAAGCCTGACTGAAAGCCTGAAATTTTCTCTAAAAAGGCCGTTGCCTGGAGGACAAGAAGGGGGGGCGGGTCTGGGCTGTGATTGACAGCTCGCTTGTCAAACAAAACAAAAAAGAGGCCAGAATACCTCAACCTGCTCCTGGAGCGTGTGTGAGAGTTGGATGGGTTTATGCACACCAACTGTCACACAGTACTCCAGAGACAATGGAGAGGCCAGGACCAAAATTCAAATGTAGTGTCACCAAAAAGGTAGAGACGGTGCCACTCAGACGGTTTTAGGCTCAAAAGTGTGAGTTTTGTCTAATTTGCTCTAAAATGTCAAAAACAAAAATGACCAGGACTAGAGAGCGCTATAAGAAACATTTGAGCAGTTTGTGAGTTAAAAAGTTGGTTTGGTGTTTAGTTGTCCTTTAACATAACAACTTGGTCGATGTGTGGCCGATGTTTTTCTTTGTGTTGTACTTTGTGTTACTTGCACTGATCTTTTTCTTGTACTGTAAAATATTGCCACACGACCACCAACCTCCTCTTTGTTTCTTCTACTGAGGAAAGTATGCGGACGCCCTCAACCGGTATTTCTTACCATTGGTGCATCTTTATTTGCCGATGGCAAAATTATCTTTGCTCTCAGGGGGTCCACACTGATGTTAAAGTGTAATGTCCACTAGGGGGCCACAAACTACTGTTTCGGGCCGCAGGCTGCATGTTTGAGACCACTGCTCTAAATTCTGTTGATTCCACAGGAACAAGCCGTGGACCCGCGCACTCGTCTGCTCATGTACAAAATGGTGAACGCCGGAGTTCTGGAAAACATCAATGGCTGCATCAGCACTGGGAAGGAGTCTGTGGTGTTCCATGCCAATGGGGGCAGGTGAGGGGAGGGGCTATGAGAGCACAGAGGACAAGCCTTTAAACTAACTTATACGTTTCCTTTCTTCCCCCTCTCCCTCTCGCTCTCTCTCTCTCCTTGCAGTCTGGAGGAGGAGCCTGTCCCCTCTGAGGTGGTTCTTAAAGTCTTCAAAACGACTCTGAATGAGTTTAAGAATCGTGACCGCTACATCAAAGATGACTATCGCTTCAAGGAGCGCTTCAGCAAACTCAACCCCAGGAAAGTGATCCGTCTGTGGGCAGAGAAGGAGATGCACAACCTCAGCAGGTCCGGAGCTCCACTGTCTTCTCTCTCATCTCTCCACTCCTCTCGCCCTATTGTCCTCACTCCTTTCTTTCTCTCTCTCATCTCTCCTTATTGTCCCTCTTGTCCTCAGGCTGCAGAAAGCTGAAATCCCATGTCCTGAGGTCGTCCTCCTTAAGAAGCACATCCTTGTCATGTCCTTCATTGGAGCCAATCACATCCCAGCACCAAAACTCAAAGACGCCATTTTGAACCAGGACGAGCTCAACGCAGCCTATCAGCAAGTGCTACAGGTGAGAGGGCGACAGGTGTCATTTCATGTTTTATGGTTGTCATATAATATTTCTTGCAGAAAATATATACTTGGACTAACTTTACTACTCATCATGATGATGATGATTGATGATGTGTTTTCTGTTGCAGATGATGAAGACCATGTTCTCGGAGTGTAACCTGGTCCATGCTGACCTGAGCGAGTACAACATGTTGTGGCACCAGGACAAGGTAACAGGTCCTTGTTTAGCTCCAGCTTCTTCCACTCTTCCTGGTCTTTTGTCAACATTCTCCTTGATGGTTGCAGGTGTGGCTGATCGATGTGAGTCAGTCTGTGGAGCCCATGCACCCTCACGGTCTGGAGTTCCTCTTCAGGGACTGCAGGAATGTTGCCACGGTAATGTATTCAATTTATTCTTGTATGGCCCACAAAAGTGGTTATCTCAGAGGGTCAGCACTAGATCATATACGGAAGCGGGACGGAAGCAGAAGTAAAAATAACAAACTACCTATTCATGCCTAAACTTAACCAGCCATTCCCATAAAAAAATCCCAACCCACCCTTAACCCTAACCTTAACGATCTTACTCAGACACCTAAAACTTAACCAGTCACCACTTAAGGACTTATTAGACTAAAACTAATTCGAAAGTAGGATTGTTACTTCCGGTTTCGTCCCGATTCCGTATATATATATGTAGTGCCGACCTATCTCAGAGGACTTGACAAAACATTTCCATCACACACGATTAGACTTGTCCTATGTCTCTCAATTCAGCTCACTGTCCTCTTGTCCCTCACTCGTTCTCATTGGTCTTTCTCCCTCCTCTCTGGTTCCTCACGCTTCTCTCTGGTCCCTAATGCTTCTCTCTGGTCTTTCTTTCTTCTCTCTGGTCTCTCGCTTTTCTCTGGTCTCCCTCTGGTCCCTCACCCTTCTCTCTGGTCTCTCTCGCTTCTCTCTGGTATCTCACCCTTCTCTCTGGTCCCTCACCTTTCTCTTTGGTCTCTCTCGCTTCTCTCTGGTCTTACTTTATTCTCTCTGGTCTCTCTTACTTCTCTCTGGTCCCTCACCCTTCTCTCTGGTCTTACTTGCTTCTCTCTGGTCTTACGTTTCTCTTGTCCCTCAGTTCTTCCGCCGCAGAGGAGCAGCTGAGGCTCTCTCTGAGTTTGACTTATTTAACGCCGTCTCTGGTTTGGATCTGACGGTTTGTGCAGAAGACGAAGCCGGCTTCATGTCTCAGGTACAACACCTGGTCCTTCACTAAAATCTTTGTTTACTTCATCAACATCAAATACCTGCGAGTACAACATGTTACCTTTTATTTATGATCAGAAGTAAACTTTTGTGTTTCTCTGGTCGCTGGTCTCCCTCTTCAGTCCCTATCCGGTCCCTCTCTGGTTCCTCTCTGGACCTTCTCTGGTTCCTCTCTGGTTCCTCTCTGGACCTTCTCTGGTTCCTCTCTGGACCTTCTCTGGTTTCTCTCTGGACCTTCTCTGGTTTCTCTCTGGACCTTCTCTGGTCCCTAATCAGTAAATCTTGTGTCTCAGATCATGGCTCTGGAGAAGAGGAACGAGGACCACGTTCAGAGACGAGGGAAAAAGACATTTCCTGTGAGCTGCGAGGACGACCCGCCGCTCAAACACGACTCTGACGACTAATCACATGCTAGCACGCTAATGTATGCGGCATGCTAATGAGGAGGGCTACGGGAGCGGGCTTTGTCCACGCCACAGCCAATCCTAGCTCAGCGCCACTGTGCGTAGCTGAGCCGGCTATCTCTGCGTTTAAGGAAAACTACAGAAGGGAATCAAACAGGTTTAAAGGAGACATGTTCTGTCTGAACTCCTCATCAATATGTGCACAGCTCCCCCTGTGATCAGTTATATACGTGCACAGCTCCCCCTGTGATCAGTTATATACGTGCACAGTTCCCCCTGTGATCAGTTATATACGTGCACAGTTCCCCCTGTGATCAGTTATATACGTGCACAGTTCCCCCTGTGATCAGTTATATACGTGCACAGCTCCCCCTGTGATCAGTTATATACGTGCACAAAAATGCCGCTGCTGAATCATCTGCTCTTTAATCACTTATTCCCAAACTGCGTCACTCCTCAGCACCAACTTTTTGATCATAATTGTTCAGATTTAGCGCAATCCAAATTAGAACTAGAACAAGGAAGTCTGGACATGTCGGTTCAGATGAACAAATGAATATTATACCAGTTGTGTGATATCTGGTGAGTAGGTGGAATAACTGATCTGTGTGTGAAGAGGATGAACTGAACATCTCCTTTAACCTGCGACACGTGATGAAGAGTCTGTGATGATGATGAGGATGATTATGATTAAAGTTAGTGAAATGTGTCAATATTTCAAGAGATCCGTTTGTACATCCTTTTCCTGCATGTGTGGATCTTCTTCAACGTCCTGTAATAAACATCAAAAACATGACTGTTTCCTTTCAACAATCTTAATAAAAATCACGTGTTTAAAGATCAGTCAGCGGAAGAGTGCAATGACGGCTGTGGCCACACCGTGGCGATAGACCGAAGGAGCGCTGCAGCGACAGTAGAATGTAGGGTACACGGATGCAGCTTGTATCTGCCTCACCTCCTGCCTCTTGAATAAAGCTTGGGTACGTAACTGTCGGACCACACCAATAGAACTCTAATAAACCCATGTCTCTAGTTCCTGGCTTTGAAACAGTTGCGCCTGAGTTGAGCAGCTCGCCTCAGGCATTCTTAAGGACTTGCAATAGGACGTCAAAACTTTGAACTTGCTCTATCTTTATTGCACATAAAGTAGTAGTAGTAATCTTTATTTATATACCGCCTTTTCACTGCACATCGGAGTCTCAAAGCGGTTTACAATTGTTATTTTTGGGAGTGGGGGTGCCAGAACAGGAGGCACATGCCAGACCTATTGTACATATTTTTAGTGGTAGGGGAAACCGGAGCACCCGGAGGAAACCTACGCAGACACGGGGAGAACATGCAAACTCCACTCAGAAAGGCCCTGGTCCAACCAGGATTTGAACCCAGGACCTTCTTGCTGAGAGGCGAGAGTGCTATCCACTCAGCCACCGTGCCGCCCATAAAACACTTGTATATCTACTTTAGATATATATATATATATATATATATATATATATATATATATATATATATATATATATATATATATATATGTGATGGAACTCAGTTACCATCACAGAGGCAGACATCCGAGAAAGAGTCTCAGGTATGAAAAACTGGACAGCACCTGGCCCTGATATGGTCCATGCCTACTGGCTAAGGACACTCACATCACTCCATGAGCGCCTAGCAGCACAAATGAACCAGCTGCTGAGAGATGGGACTCACCCAGAATGGCTAACCGAAGGGCGAACGGTCCTGATCATGAAGGACCCTGTCAAGGGTGCAGTCCCCTCCAACTACCGGCCAATAACCTGTCTCTCCACAACATGGAAGCTCATGTCAGGCATCATTGCGGCTAAGATAAGTGGGCATATGGAACAATTCATGAGCACAGCACAGAAGGGCATTGGTAGGGACACCAGAGGAGCCAAACACCAGCTCCTGGTTGACAGAACAGTCGCCCAAGACGGCCGGTCACGACACACCAACCTGTGCACAGCCTGGATTGATTACCAGAAAGCCTACGACTCAATGCCACACACATGGATCATGGAATGCTTGAAGTTGTACAATATCAACAGGGCTCTAAGGGACTTCGTTGCAAACTCGATGGGAATGTGGAAGACCACCCTTGAGGCAAATGGCAAGCCGCTCGCACAAGTGACCATCAAATGTGGTATCTACCAAGGAGATGCTCTGTCCCCACTACTGTTCTGCATAGGCCTCAACCCTCTAAGCCAAGTAATTGACCAGACTGGCTATGGATACCGCCTCAGGAACGGAGCAAAGATCAGTCACCTCCTCTACATGGATGACATCAAGCTGTACGCCAAGAGCGAGAGAGACATCGACTCTCTGATCCAAACAACCAGGATCTACAGCCATGACATCGGGATGTCATTCGGGCTCGAGAAATGTAGCAGGATGGTGACTCGGAGAGGCAAGGTAGTCCACACAGAAGGGATCTCACTCCCAGAGGGAACAATAGCAGACGTTGAGGACAGTTACAAGTATCTCGGTATACCACAGGCAAATGGCAACCTCGAACAGGTGACGAGGAAAGCGGCAACTGCCAAATACCTCCAGCGAGTAAGGCAGGTCCTAAGAAGCCGGCTCAATGGCAAGAACAAGGCCCGGGCAATTAACAGCTACGCCCTGCCAGTGATCAGATACCCTGCAGGAATAATCAGGTGGCCAAAGGAAGAGATTCAGACCACGGATGTTAAAACTCGAAAGCTCCTTACCATGCATGGCGGGTTCCATCCCAAATCCAGCACCCTGAGACTGTACGTAAGCCGTAAAGAAGGAGGCCGAGGACTAGTGAGTGTGAGAGCCACTGTCCAGGACGAAACATCCAAACTCCATAACTACATCATGGAGAAGGCCAAAACGGATGACGTACTCAGTGAATGTCTCAGGCAGTGGCGAGATGAGGAGGTGCTGGAGGAGAGCCCATCATGGGAGAACAAGCCCCTACACGGCATGTACCACCGGAGCATAACAGAAGTGGCTGATCTCAAGAAGTCCTACCAATGGCTAGAAAGGGCTGGCCTACAGGACAGCACAGAGGCACTCATCATGGCTGCACAGGAACAGGCCCTGAGCACCAGAGCGATAGAGGCCCAGATATACCACACCAGACAAGACCCAAGGTGTCGGTTGTGCAAAGAGGCACCTGAGACGATCCAACACATAACTGCAGGGTGCAAGATGCTGGCAGCGAAGGCCTACATGGAACGCCATAACCAAGTGGCTGGCATAGTGTACAGAAACATCTGTGGAGAGTATGGGCTGGAAACCCCAAGGTCTAAGTGGGAAACTCCTCCAAAGGTGGTGGAGAATGAGCGTGCGAAGATCCTGTGGGACTTCCAGATACAGACCGACCGAATGGTAATGGCAAACCAACCTGACATCGTGGTGGTAGACAAAGGGCAGAGGACAGCCGTGGTGGTGGACGTGGCAATTCCAAGCGATGGTAACATCCGGAAAAAAGAACATGAAAAGCTTGAGAAATACCAAGGTCTCAGAGAGGAGCTGGAGAGGGCCTGGAGGGTAAAGGTGACAGTAGTGCCCGTGGTGATCGGTGCACTCGGGGCAGTGACCCCGAAGCTAGATGAGTGGTTACAGCGGATCCCTGGAACAACCTCGGACATCTCGGTCCAGAAATGTGCAGTGCTAGGAACAGCAAAGATACTGCGCAGAACCCTCAAGCTCCCTGGCCTCTGGTAGAGGACCCGAGCTTAGAGAGGGATAACCGCCCGCGGAGGGCCAAAGGTGAGTGGACAATTTTTTTATTTTTATATATATATATATATATATAATCTACTATCTAACTGATAACTTCCTGTCTCACAGCCTGGGTGATCTTATTGAAGCCAATATACCATGAAAAGTTTCATCTTATCTTCTCGCTCATTTTCATGTATTTCTGGCCTGGTCACGTCTTTACGTCCGGCTCTTTCTGTTGGAAACTCCATGTGTTTTTTTAATTTAAGTTACGTACCTCAGCTTTAATGACGCCGTTTGTAATTGAGCTTTGTACATATTAGTATCCGCCAGAGGGCGCACGGCACACGCCCCTCCCCCACAGGTGAGGGCGGGGCTGTTGTCATGGGAACAGCATCAAACCGGTCTGACCACAATCCGGGACTTTGAGCTGATGGAGCCAACAACATGTGGCCTAGAAACTTATACATCCCTCTGGTTTTATTCAAATACTATTTCAGGAACAGAAAGATATCTTTGTTCCACTCGAGTTTATTTGAGTTGGTCTCTCTCTGATTTCTCTTTGTCTCTCTCTCTGTGATCGCTCTCTCTCTCTCTCTCTCTCTGGTCCCTTGTTGGTCTCTCTCTGGCCTCTCTGATCTCTCTCTCTCTGTTCTCTTGTTGGTCTCTCTCTCTCTGTCTCTGGTCTCTTGTTGGTCTCTCTCTCTGGTTTCTTGTTGGTCTCTCTCATCACAATCTGATTGGTCGACGCCTCCCTTCACATGTTAAACAGTATCAACCCAGATTACCATCAGAATGTGAAGACGAAAGTACTCGAAACGCCAGTCCGTCTGCTCACAGCACTAGTTTTCACATCAAGCATTTTTGTCAGCTCTCAGCCCAAAGAGTCGAGTAGAGACTCACATGGTTCTTTCTCACAAATATAATATGTTTTCTAATAAGATGAAGATGTGACTCAAACGTGTTATTTATGAGACTAAAGTTGCGTGCCCCAGCTTTAAAGTTCTCTTTTGATCATGTTTGTTAAATACACTTTAGGTCCACAGCTGCCTCCTGTGTGAAGTCATGTACTGGTTTGTTTGGGAACAGCACAGACCTCACTCAAAAGCACAGTCTTGTTACAGAGATGATGTAATTGTATGTGTGCAATACAATTATCTATCCATCCGTTTTCTTCCAATGTATCTGTTGCCGGGTCGCGGGGGCAGCAGTCTGAGCAGAGACGCCTTGATTCCCCTCTCCAGTCCCCACACACACACCGGACAGCTGAGACACACAGTCGCTCTGTGTCCTGGGTCTTCCTCTGGTCTCCTCCCCAACAGAGACCCGAGCCACCTCAACTGGCTCAGAAAGAGAGACCAGAGACCGAGAGAGAGAGAGACTTTATCAAGTTTCAGTAGATAGATAGGACGGTTGTTTATTGTGAAAATACACTCTGCAAATGTGTCCCAGAAGTGGAGGTTAGCTGCTAGCATGAGTTAATGTTTACGTCTCTTTGTGTTTATTTCCCAGAATGCTCTGATCAACAGTGCGTTAAAAGCCATCAGTGTTGGTAACATTACACCATGAACTTGCGGATTGTATGTACTTTACATGTAGCTGGGGCGGTTAATAGTCCTGCAAGTACTGTAGGTTACTTAATCAGTATACTTCATAGTAGTACTTTGACAGTCAGTCCAGTGCAAAAGTCCTGTGCCGATATAAATAACATCACGGAGGATGAGGAGCGCTGCGTAAAGGCTCGTGTGCCGTGCGTAAGAAGGAGGAGGGCTGGAGATGCTTGGTGGCCACGTCCCCTTGGAGACTGGAGACAAACACGTGATGCGCCCTGCTTATCGCGCTGAGCTCCACACACGCGCTGTTCCACGTACGCGCCGGAATCTGACGCCAAAGTGCGAAAAAAGCGCAAACACAAACCACCACAAGCCCCGGCGTTTGCACACGGCTCGCGTTCATCACGAAGTTTTCTTTTTTCAAGAAGAGGAGAGAAGGAAGCAGCGCGAGGGGAGGAGGGAGGAGACAGGAGGAGGGAACAGCCCGGAGTAAAGTTAGTCCAAGTTTGCACATCCCTCTGCAAAAGGAAACGCCATTTTGAGAGCTGTCCCGTACGCGCGCCTCTCGTGGAACAGCGTCTCCCGTGGGCTCGCATTGGAGGGCCGCGTGGAGGTTCCCGTGGAGGTCCCGTGGAGCTAGCCCCAGAACCCCGACCCCAGCCTCCTCCTCCCCCCCGCCACGGCTGCTGCTCCATCGGCCCTCATCCAAAGCATCCCCCCTCTTCTCTCCAGCCATCATGTCTCGGCGAAAACAGCCCAACCCGAACAAAGTTAACCACGGTAAGTACACGCACGCGGGTCACGCTTTCTCTACGCAGTCCTCACGCAAGCACCACTTTCCGGGCTTCGAATGAACTTATGCAACTTTTGTACTTTGCATCCGAGCAGTGGAATTCGCTCGCCTCCTCTTCCTCATTGACATCCGCGGACGATTATGGGATGTTTCATGTGACTTTGATGTGTGTACCAGTGCTTTTCTGACCGTGCGGGGGCAGGGCACTCACAGCATGGGGGCACAGGCCTGAGTGTAGCCGCTTTAGAGCATCCGTGGGTCGGCTGCACTTTGGCCCGAGCCTCGCTGTAGCCCCGTGTGCGTGAAGTCAGCACCGAAACGGAACAGCTGCTTCCTGTTGCCCTTTCACAATAAAACACACCTGTTGCACGAGTTGAGCACGAACACGACCTCCAGCCTGCACGGAATACAGTTATTATTGTGTATTATTCATTTGCATCGCTTTACACGACACCACACTCAGTTTACGGCAGTTATTAACACTTTTCAATGTCATGCACGCGCCATCCATCACGAGCCGCATTTGTTGACACACAGCACCTGCCATTTTACTTCAAGCACTTTTTACAACATGACATCAGCACTTACACTAGTGTCTGTCACTTTGGGGCCAGTTTTAAATGTGTTCATGCGTTTAAACACTTCGCATCCATTATTATGTGGGTTATTGTGCGACACCACATCACCTGTTTTACTATAAGCACTTTTATCCACATCAGCCGTTACTACAGTGTTAAACCACTTTAAAAGGTACATAACCGTCCATTTTTTTTAATGTGTACAGTCTGTATCAGTCGTGTTCTCAATGTGAATGTTTCTATGTGCATTTAGGCACGATTACATCCGAATTATGAATGTTTTTTGAAACTTATACAGCTTTAGAATGATCTTTTCCAACTTGAATCTATCTACAGGTTGCACTCGCCCGTGTTGACCTAACCTGATAGTCTTTCTGATGTAATGTCAGTGAATAAAGGCCCTTTCTAATAATTTATTTAATTAATTAAGCATTTCTGCATCTTGTTGTGGACCCTGCTCAACTGTCACACTCGATAGCTCAAAGATGTATTCAACATAAAGTAGAAACATGTGATAAAAGTGTGTTATCTGCCACTTAAAGTGAGTTTGGATGCTAACATTAGCCACGGGATGCTAGCAGTAATCTGTCTCATCACTTTGACCTGTTGCTGATGAGATTCGGGTTTCGTCGTGTTTTATTCGCACTTCCCCGCCTCTTATCGCGGTGTTCAGTGGATTATGTTCGATAATGAGACGAAAACTGCGAATGGCGCAGTTTTTCGGCCGTGTGGTTATTTTTAGTGACTTTTCTTGACGTTAGCGTGTGCTAGCTAGAGTGGCTAACAGCTGCTGCCTGCATCACCTGGACCAGTCTCAGCCTCGTGTTTGTGCGACAGATTATCCCTGTTGAAGTGGTAGAAGTGGATGGAAGTGTCAGTCTGAGCTGTAGAGGGACACATATACTACTTTATCATGTGTTTTACTGTAGTCGACATTGTTTAATGCTGATTTTGACTACTTTTTGATAAAGGCTTTTATTGTGTCGAGCTAGTTCCGCCGCTTGATTGCATTGCCGCTAGCCTGACGCGGCAGTGTGACCTTGTTCAGACATTTTTAGCTCGAAACTGAGCCGTGTTCGCGGATAAACGTCCACGACACTGAATGCGAGGCCCTAATGGAACCCCTGGGCTCGCTTGTTCCACACTTGGCGCACTTTCCCCCGTGTTTGAAGCTGTTCTCGCCCGCTGTCTCCTCCGACGCCTGTTGCATCCAGCACGTCCCTCCTCCCTACCGCACGTTTGCCGCTCTCTAACCGCGCGGCTCGTATACTTCTTCACTCTGTTGCCGCGTCCGTGCCGCGTCCTTGCTGCAGAGATCGTTGCTGTTTCGACATCCTCCCAGGCGCCTCGCTCCATTTTCTCGCCCCATCCCCGTGTCTCAGCCTGTCCGAGCACCGCGCCTGCCTCGCACTTTCCACACTTGTTTTGCTCTTGTTTTCGCCTCTTTTAAAGATAATTTCATCACATTTCCGCCGCGTTTTCGCCTTTGTTCTTTTAAACTTCGACTTGTGGACTGAGGAAGTGTCACTGTGTATAAAAAACAATCCCCATTTTCCCTGTTTCATTTTTAAAGCCGCATTATGACACTTTCGGCCTGATACTAATTTAACACAGATGTACTGATCACACTATGCTCCAATGATTTCAATTAGAAAGTGATTGGATTAAGACTGTGACTGTCTATTACTGATCAAAAAGCTCAGACATGTGGGACCTGCTTAAGACTTGCTTCAGTCCTGCCCAATAATACGTAATTTTAAAGTATATAATATTTGTAAAGTTTGTAAACCCTTCATTTATTTTTCAATTAGAGAACATTATAATCATCAAAAAATGAACACGATTATCATAAACTTGTCACAAGTTACACATTGTTACACGTTAATAGTGATTGCTGTTTTTTTAACATTAAAAACAATATTATCCTGCTGTTCATGATAGTTTTATCACTGTGATATAGATTATATTGTTTCCAGCTCATTTCTTTGAAGATATAAAGTATTGTATTATAAAGCCTGTAACTCTCAAACTACACAAATACAACTCTGTAATAAACCTGTGTCTCTTGATCCTTGCTGTAAAACAGTTGCTTCTATCATTAGTTTTCACATTATTTATGGTCTCTGTCATATCTTCAGATCAGCTTTCTCAGACAGAAAAGTAAAAAGGAGAGGTCCACCCTCACTTAGCCAATCAGTCAAATAGTGACTCACAGAGAACTTTCTGACACAAACTTTACTTTCAGACTTTCTGTTCAAACTACATGAGTTTTATGAAACTAAAGTTATGTTCCCTCGTTTTAAGTACATGGTCCCACATTTGAGAACCGGAGATTGAACAGTCCTGGTCCAGATCTGGTCTTGGGTCCAGAGTTCAGTCTCTAGTTAAAACCTAATCCGCTCGTCACTTGTGCTGATGTAACTCTGTTTGAAATCTGCTTTTATTCTTATTAAAGCTGGGGTCCATAACTTCAAGTCTCAGAGTATGTATTTTGACCAACAGTAAAATCTCATTAAACATGTTATCTTTAACATGGAGCCCTGTGAGTCAGTATTTGACTATTTGGGCTAAGAGCTGGTTGGATGAGTGTCCTCTCTTCACTTTTTTTTTTATCTGAAAATGCTGATCCAAAGATGTGACTGAGGTCAGAAACACATAGTAGTGATAAAACTGTTTCAGAGCCAGGAACTAGAGTTGTTTTCTGTGGGCTGAGAATTAAAGTTGGGGTCCGTAACTTTCAAACAGTTAGACTAGAGCAGAGCTTGTTACTGTTCAGACAGAGAAGATGGGGGAAACCTATTATTATTATTATTATTATTATTATTTATTTATTTGATAGGGACAGAGCAAGAAGCATTGTTACAGGAACCGATGCTGTGTTCATAGGCCGTATAGCTAACGGCTAGTTTGGGTGTTCATAGGCCGTATAGCTAACGGCTAGTTTGTGTGTTCATAGGCCGTATAGCTAACGGCTAGTTTGCAGACCTGGTCCCTAAGACATTAAAATACATCACATTTACATTATACATGCATCATTATATTAGATTATATCACTTTCATTCTTTCCAAACAACTTCAAAACAAATGCTTCATTATAATCTGAAAACTACAGCTCCCACACTGCACTGCTGTCAAACACACAGAGGGGTCTCTGGTCCTGGTCCAGAGTGCGGTCTCAAATGTGAAGAGGAGGAGCTGATGAAGACGAGTCGTTCACATTCCTACATGAAATTCTACACTGAACAAGGACTCAGGATTGGAGCAGGACTGGAGCAGGACTGGAGCAGGACTGGAGCGGGACTAGAGCAGGACTGGAGCAGGACTGGAGCGGGACTAGAGCAGGACTGAAGCGGGACTGGAGTCTGGCTTGGGTCTCTGTGACGGGTGCAGAGCTGCTGACTAGACTCTTCCTGTTCACACTTCCTCATCTTCAGTCTCAGACAATAATATTTTAATCTTAAAAAAACAATAAATAAAAGTTCACTGAGATGCCATACCACTGCACTCCACCAGAGGGAAAATGATATAACTTTGAGAAGCACTGTGTCCACTCCAGTACTGGTCCTAGTCCTATCCTGATCCAGTGCTGGTCATTCTATTGGATGCAGTGATGACATTGATGTAGTGGTGGTAGTTGTAGTAGCAGTGGCAGTAGTTATACTACTGATAGATGTAGTTGTAGTAGTAGTCACTGATGCAGTTGCTGTTATCTCAGAGCCACACCCACATCTGGAGTTGGAGGCATCTGACTCTGCAGCATTCCTCCACCCAACACCCTGTGTACTGCAGTATTACTGCAAATACTACAGTAGGACTGATCCATCTGAAAGTTCAGCAACTGGACCAGGACCGGACCAGGACTGGACCCATCCTCACAGGACGGTGAGGATGGGAGGGCATCAGGACAATAGTTGTGGGTGTGGTTCAAGAGACTTCAGTTTCATCTGTCTCTGGGCTCAGAGAAGACTCGGGTTTCAGGCCTGGTTCAGTCCTGGTTTACAGCAGGACATTTTTTTCTAATAGGATGAAGACACATTATATTCTTTACTACTAAAATTAAGTACACCAACTTTAATTTAAAGCTGACCAAGTTTAGTAGACTTGAGTCAAATGTTAATAATGAATAACATGAGTAAGTGAGTGAAGACAACATGGTCATGGATCAATGTCGAGCAAAGAACAAACGTCTTCTGGAAGGCTCCACTCCACATGGAGCTGAGGTCGTGGCTCAGAAGTGCAGGGGGAGTAAGCTCTCTGCTGTAGGCAGTTTGTGATGGGACATGTGGTGAAGCTGAACAAACGTCCTTTCAGAGCCGTTAGCATCTGTTAGCATCACGTTAGCCTGCGCTTGGTAGGCTCAATGGACCGCTGTCTCCTCCACCTGTTCACATCAACATGGTCGACAGCTGCTGCCTCCAGTCAAACTGTGAGCGGTCTCCTGTGGTCCAGTCCTGGTCTGGTCCTGGTTCAGCCTGTACTATTGACTCTTTGGGTTGAGAGATGATTGGCTGAGTTTAAGTTTAATTTATTAAGAACATCGTGCAGTTACATTACAAAAGATGCACCAGATTTAGCTACTTTACTTTCCATCCACAGAGTGAGGGAGGTCCTTTCTTTTTCACTTTCTGAAAAAGCTGATCTAAAGATGTGACTAGAGATGACTATGATAAAGATGATACATAGTTTTAGAGCAAAAGAATGTCATGGTTTTGATTACAGAGTTCTATATTTGTGAGTTGAAAGTTATGTACCTGAGCTTTAAAAACTGCCCTGTTGTTTGTTAGAGTGAGATTTCAGGAATGATCTCCACTGGCCTCTCCCGACGATATCTGTGACCGGTCAGTCTTTGGGATCAGATTTGTGTTTTTTTTATTTTTGTATGATTCATATATCAGTTGTCAGAGCTTTTGTCACAAAGTTTTTATTGAACTGTAAAGGCTGAGGCTAAGGCTAATGTTGTGGCTAAAAGTTGCTCACAGGGACTCAATATAATGTTTGCGTTCTGGAGTGGACTTCTCGCTGCGTCACAGTAAACGTTTTTTGTGACTGATGCTGGTTTTTTCTCCACAGTGTGATAAGCCCCGCCCTCTCTCAGCATCACTATAGCAACAGGTAACTATGCCCCGCCTACAACTGCTCTGGCCTCTCCCATCGCCCAATCAGCTGCTCTCATTTCATTTCATTTTGAAATCTTGTGGCATGGCTTTACTTCCTGTCATCGCGCTCTCATCCTTCACCTCTGTCTCATTGCTCATTCGAATGTTTTACCATCTTTTAATTAAACTGATTCATTCAAACATTTATCTTTTTGTCCACTTTTTGTCCCTGCTTTATGAAAGAGAGAGAGACCTTGAGACCTTTGAACTAATTACCACGGAACAGAAATAGTTTCACAGAGACAATAAATATTGCATTATGAGATTTGTACATCATCTCGAGAAATGAGGTTGAGAGCAGAACATTTTCACAATTTTTTTTAACTCCTAAACTGCATAAATATGTTTCTTACAGTGCTCTCTACATATTCTGGTCATTTTTTGACATTTTAGTGCAAATTAGATAATATCTCACTTTTGAGCCTAAAACAGTCTGTGTGGCGCCCTCTCTAACTTTTTGGTGACACTTTATTTGAATTTTGGTGCCCGGCCTCTCCATTGGCGCTGGAGTACTGTGACGTCAGTTTGTGTGTGTGACGTGCATCTCTCTGCGGCTGTGGTATAAACCCATCCAAGTTTCACACTAGCGAGTTGGAGTATTCTGGCGACATCTAGTGGATTAATATTAAATTACATGCGTTGAAGCCACTACTGCTGAGATAATTCAGTGTCTTAGGTTCAGGTGTGTAGCTCTATAATTATCTTAGTGTGTAAACAAGGGTGGAATGAGACTTTCGTGTGTGTAAACTATTGCTTTAAGCAGCAATGACAACTGTCTGTTTTTTTTTGTGACAAGCGAGCTGTCAATCACAGCCCAGACCACGCCCCACTCTAAGCCCCCCTTCTTGTCCCCTGGTCCTCCAGGCCACGCCCTTTTTAGAGAGGGTGGAGTAAGGCTGGGAACAGGTGTTTAGTCGCTCTTTAAATGGCTCCATCACTATATACGGTTTATTCCTGTGTCTGAACAATGTGATTGTTCTGTTTGTTTTCTAAAAAAAAATATATGAATCTGAAACATTTCTCAGGACTATAGGGCACGAGACTGTAGGCCAAAATTTTTCTCAAAAACTTGCTTTTCTGTTCCTTGCACTTTTAATTTATTTTTAAGTCTGTTAAAGCTGGGGTATGTAACTTTCACACCACGCAGGTCTGGTGCAGGACTAAACCAATGTCTCGTCAGTCTCTGGATCCTAAAACCGTTCTATCACCAGTTTTCACATTGTGTATTTTTCAACTTTTTCAGACAACTTTAGCTTTCAGCCTAAAGATTCTAATAGTGACTCAGAGGGCTCTCAAAAGATAACACATTTTCTAATAAGATGAACATTTTGTATTGTTTGTGTCATTTTTGAGACCTACACAAACTTCTGAGACTGAAGTTACGGACCCCAGCTTTAAACTGATAACGATGTGGATATTGTTTGAGCTGACTCTGTCACTTTGAGCTGATAAAGAAGTTGCACTTTGGAACTCTTCTACTTGTGCTGTTCCTGCCGCCGCCCCTCCCCCCGCTGTGCCATTTGCTCCTGCCTCCCCCTCTCCTCCTCCTCCTCCCTCTGACAGCTCTGAACAGATGCTCACACTCCTGTTACACTCTCCTCTTCTCTTTTTATACTTTAAAGCTGTGGTCCGTAATTTTGGGGCTTCATAAATAACACATGATGAAGTAAAACTGTCACATATCTCAAACCTCTGCAAACTCTCATAAAGAGCCTTGCGAGTCTCTATATGTAACGCTGGGGCAGAGGAACATGCAGACGAGTCCAAACCTCTGGTCTGGGGCCTAAAATCTTGTGTGCAGGAAATATTCAACTGCTGAAATATAACTCAAGACCTGGTCTGGGCCCAGTTCTGATCTGTGCCTGGTCCTGGTCTAGGTCTGGACTAAATGGTTCTGTGGGACACTTCCTGTGGGCCACTCAAACAGGAAGTGGCCATTACCCCCACTTCCTGTTTCTCCTCCGCACGTTTAGTAGAATCCTTCTCAATATGATTCTGGAGAATATTGATGACATCACACATGTATTTGTTTTTCAGAGATGGAAACCGTTGACCATCTGAGAGACATGGACCCCCCATACGGTACGGAGTTCGGGGTCTGAACCGGGGTCTGAACCGGGGTCTGAACCGGGGTCTGAACCGGGGTCTGAACCGGGGTCTGAACCGGGGTCTGAACCGGGGTCTGAACGTTTCTTCTTTTTTTCCCCACAGAAATTATGAATGGCGAAACATTAACAAACGGAGGAACGGAGGTGGAACTTGAGACCAGGCCCGAGACCAGGCCCGAGACCAGGCCCGAGACCAGGCCCGCAGACGCAGACCTGTCCTCCATTAATGAGATGATGTCAGCGGTGATGTCGTCGTCCGTCATGTCTCCGTCGACCATGAATGGAGATGGGGAGGAGCCATGTGAGAACGCAGCGTCTGCGAACTCCGGTGGAGCCACACCCAGGTCTGGACCAGACTGTATTGATTTACAATGTTAACTGGCTAGCTCAATTCAGTACCGTGGATGGCCGGCTATGTCTCTATGTGGGGACCGGCTTATGCTAGCAATGCCCTATCCAGTGCGTGCGTGGATCTATTATAATAGCTGGATAGGGTATTACTATCTTATAGCTATCCCACCCATGGGCTTGGGGGACACCCGCGGTACTGCAGACTAAATTCACGCAGTCTACCCAGAAAAATGTCCAATTAAACTCAATGTAAACTTAAACGGCTTGACCTCAGCTGACAGAGAACCTACAGCCTCCATTAAGGTTGGATTCTGTAGGGATTTTAGTGTCCCTTGTCATCCTGAACTATTTTACTTGTTAAATCCTTCAGTTTTCTATAAATCCACGCTTTAGTGCAACAAACTCTGCTCGTTTTCCTCTAGCTCCGCTCTGATCAGCAGCGCCTGACCATGTCCCCCTGGACACGTGCACGGGAGCTACACATGCGTTCTCGTTAGTAATTTGCACAAAGCATCATGGGAGGTTGTCCACTGCGCAGAACCAGGAGGACCAGAGCTATGAACCAAATATGGGCAAATGTTGCTAATCTTTTTAGGCCTATGGTGGGGCCATGCGCCACTGAGCACAAGCCAGTGATTTGAATTGGCCGCCATCTTTGATCACCGGGGCTTGGTGCTGTGTCATTAACTCTGAACTCTTCTACAGTCCATCTCCGTCGAAAACGCTGACGTCAGCCATGAGAGCGCCCCCGAGCAGGAACCAGCGGCGCACCACGGTAAAAACACCATTCTGACCACCGGGACACACCCCCTGTGGTTTAGCCCCTTCTCCGCGCTCTGTTTCTCCTCTCTCCTTTTCCCGCCGCCACATTCCTACGGCTGTCATCACTTCCTGTCCACAGAGGAAACAGGAAGTGAGGCGGGCTTTGAGGAATTCCCTCCTCTGACTCAATGAGGCTATTTGATGGAGCTCTCTGAATTAATGTGATCAGGTTGTGCAGGATTTTAGACTTGAAATAGATGGTTAGATGCTTTAGTCTCTTTAAACACCAAGTTCAAAGTGGGCCAAAAGGGGGGTGTAACTTTAGTCTGATAAATGACACATGTACTTTTAAAAGAGTCTTTAAAGTAAAATATTGTCAGACCACAACACACCGAGACTGAGAGCTGATGGAGGGAGGGTGGTCCTCTTTCACCTCCTGAATGAAAAAGATGATCTAAAGATGTGACGGAGGCTAAAAATACATGGTGTGAAACCCCAGCTGAATTAGGGGAAGCTACTCTTAGCCTAAAAGCTGTAATTATGAAATATGACAGAGAACATTTAATAAAAACCTTCTCTGTGGTAGCTTTAGTTTTCAAACCTGTCCCCCCACCCCTTCTGCTTCAATGCTCCATTCTATTCACACTCCATTCTTCTCAATAGAAGTATTGGACATCTTTGTCTTGTTTCCTCGGCTGTAATCCTCACATCCACCACCAGAGGGAGGTGTGTGACCACTTCAGAGCCTTATTGTTTCTCCACATTTGTTTGTTTAGGACTCCAAAGACGACAATGCCTTTGTATGTCCACTGTGCGACAAAAACTGTGGTTCTCAGCACCAGCTCACCATGCACATCCGACAGGTGAGGTGTTTATGGTACCATCTCACCGTGTGTTACCAGCTCAACATATGGGATCTGACAGGGGTGCATTTAATATATATAAAATCATCAGAGTCAAAATGCCCTGTCCTCAGATCCCTGTCCTGTTCAGTGCTTTGGTAACATTATGTTGTTTTCCAGCACAACGCTGACACCGGAGCATCCGACCACAGCTGCAGTATCTGTGGGAAGTGTCTAAGCTCCGCCTCCAGCCTCGACCGCCACATGTTGGTGCACAGCGGCGAGCGACCGTACAAATGCTCAGTGTGCGGGCAGACCTTCACCACTAACGGCAACATGCACCGGTTAGTACACTAACATGCACCGGGCTGTAAGCTAACAGCTAACGCTAACAAACTCCTATGAGTAAGCTAACAGCTAACCAGTTGTGTCCAGTTCAAACTTCTCTTCTCTCGGCTTTCCTTCTGTTGAGGTGTGTCTCGCTTTTACCTCAGGACTAAGTCTAGACCAGTAGTTTTGTGGACTTTCTCTTGACCAATGAGAGCTGAACTTTGAAAACTCAGGAAATGTCTGCGTCCAATCAGATCCTCACTTCCTGTTTTAATTCAACTTAATGAGTGCAGTTATCTCCATTACTTTTGTCCTTATTTGGAAACGGGTAGCTTCCTGTCTGAGAGACTCTGATACATTCTGTTTTAAATGAGGCCAAGTTATCTCTGGTCCCTCTCCTTTTTGACCAAGGCTCCGGGCATTTTTCCAGTTTACCCTAGCTTTAAACCTATAAAAAACAAATATTTATGAGACTAAAAGTTGAGTATCTCCGCTTTAAGAATAAATGTGTGGTTGGTGGTTCTCAGACACATGAAGATCCATGAGAAGGACCCAGCGTCTGGTCTGATCCTCCTTAGTCCTGAGCCCAGCCCCACCAAGAGGAGGCGCCCCAGTGTGAAGAGGAGAGAAGAGGAGGAACCACCCAGCAAGAAGGTGAGGACATGGCTGGGGGAGAGAAAAAAGCCAAGGCAAGAAGGGGGAAGAGAGTGGGGGGAGAGGAGGAGTAGTCCACCAAGAAGGGGAACAGGATGAATGGGAAGACCACTCACCAAGAAGATGATGAGAGGGGGGGTGAGAGGACGATGTCTCTCTGGTAGCTATGACCCGTCTCTATGGTAGCTCTGTCCTGTTGCTTTCTGTCTCTCTGGTCTCTCTTAAGACTTATTTGAATGTTTGTTTCCAGATTTCGGAAAACTCGTCAGTGGAGGACTCTGCGTCTCCGGTCAAACTTCAGGAGGAGGAACTTCAATGTCCGATCTGTTTTAAAGTTCTGACGTCGAGACTTGAGCTCGATGAGCACATGGACTCGCACCCGGACACTGCGCTTAGGTAACGTTAGCTTACAGCAGCTACAAATAAATGAAAACATGTAATTATATAAATACATTTATATAAATACGTGTATTTACACACCTCATGTTGTCAGCCATTGTAAAAACCTGCTGTTGTCGGCCTTTTGTTGCTTGCTTGAAACCTCTGGTTTCTCAAAGATTTAAGTTTTTGTCATTAATTTCTGAGTGCATTGGATTTGTGATTTCCAAAGTGCAACAATTGTGATTATGGGTAGTCTTCCAGCCCATCCCCTGATGCCAAACCCCACTGCACTGTCAGCCTGCAGAGGGAGGATGCAGTCGCACCATCACGGATGAAGGAGAGTCGGGACAAAGTTTATCTGTAAATCCCTTAATGAGACTTAAGAGGATCTGCATCCCTGTGTCCTCCCATCCTCCATCAGTCTGTGCTTTGGAAGCACAGGAACAGGGTGATATAGGATCTCTCAAATAGGTTAATTTGGTCCTGGTTCAGGTCCTGGTTTAGTTTTTTGTATTTAGCCTCTTAGCTGATCTAAAGATGTGACAAAGAGAGAACAACCCTCACTCAGCCAATCAGCTCTCAGCCCAACAAATCAAATAATTACTCACAATTACTCACTTTCTTGAGCAAAAGATGAAGAAGACTGCATGTTGTGACCTGATATTAGCATTTTTGCTTTTGCGAGATTTTCTCTTGGATAAACTACATGTTTTAGTTAGTTCCGCACACCAGCTTTAAAAGTTGTACTGTGTAGTTTTTACTCCCATCTAGCGTTGAGATCATTTATTGCAAGTCTACTTATACCACCAACACTACGGCAGCCTTCGAGGACCATGTCGTGTTTGGTCCCAACCCTCGGTCATTCACCAAACCACTAAAGAAAGAATCCTTTTAGTTTTATAAATGACCGGATCTCTCCATACACTACAGCGCCACAAATGTGCCTTAAAACACGTGCGCAGAGGCGGACATGTGAACACAATCCACTAAACTAATACTGTATATAGTTTTACAAACACGGTGTGAAGAGTAGACACCTGGAGGAATGGGAAGTCTGTGGGAGCTTAAAGGTTCCTTATTACGCTTTTCTTCATGTTTCACAGTCCATCCTATGCACATGTGTGATAATTTGAGTTCTGGAACAGTCTTTGTGAAGTGTCGCAGATTAACAGATTCATTCAAACAGAGGCAGAATCCTGTGAAAAAAAGTCAAGCTGCTTTCTTCCTCTTCAGGTCAAATAGTGCGTCAAGTATTTACACCAAAAACACATTTTGTCCAAGTTGACATGATCCTAACACTTAGTCGCTTACAAAAGCAGAAAAACAGTAAAGCTCCATGTGTTGTCCGTGAGACCAAACCACAGACATGAGCTGGACTCGGGAGCTGGCTGCACGCTGTGATTCGCTGTTTCGATTTGTCAATCACCTCCTGGATAATAGTATTATTATTTTCATTATTTTTGACAACAAACAGCATATTTTTTGTGTATTGTTTTCCCTGTTTTGACGACATCATTTAAGAATCATTTTAAATACCAAAAAAACTGACTTATGCACGTCATATTTGTCATCAATGTGGAAATCGTCACAGATGTGGACCCGGGCGTTTCACTGCCTCGAGGGTGAAGGAGAAAGATCGCTCTCAAACTAAAGCTTGAAAGAATCAGTGAAAAAACTACTCTGAGCATGTGCATGAAGGCCAAACAGCACTGTTGTGATGTTTTAAAGCAGAGAAAAGTCAAAAAGCGTAATATGGGTCCTTCAAAACCGCAATGATCAGAGAAGACTATTGTCTTGGACATGGACACAGCCGCGGCAGAATTGCGGTTATAAGATGATTAGCTTTCACCGGGCGCTGCATTCGCATCGCGGTAACAAAACATGACAATCAAATGCACGCTGTTGATAAAAGTATTCTAGCAATTGTTTTGTGGGGATTCTGTGTGTTTTGCATATTTGCATAAGTTTTGTTGAAACTTGTGACATAGAAGTTGGACTCAGAGCGGGTCAGAACATCCTGAGACCTGTGTTGCAGATTCTGCCTCGTTCTCATGAAGAAAGTTACGTATTGTTCACGTGTGAGTCTGTTGTATAAACTAGACAATGTGCCTCCTGTTGTTTTAACTCTGCCTTTCGGCGCATGTGGTTTGCAATGTTGAGTTTCTAGAGTTTTGCATAATTATTTTTCTTAAAGATTCTTGTTGGGGTTGTTCTTTTACATAATTGTGCCTGTCCATGGTTCCTACGTAGCGTCTGTGAAACAAAAACGCAATTCTCGCATCCTTTTTGTCCCTTATCAACGAATGTATTTCAAGATGGCGCATTGACATTTATAATTCAAATTCTAAGTCTATGAGAACAATTTAAACAGGTCACTTGGTTAACATGTTTTTTTCATTTGGAGCAACTATACAAATTACAGAGTACCTTTTTAAAGTTAGTTTCCTCAGTTTACAATGAAAGCAATAACAAGAGCACCCCCCTGTGGACTATGGAGGGAACACAGGCTTCAACAGCACTGAACATGAGAACTGTTATGTTGTATGAATGTGTTTGTGTTTATTTAACTGTGTACATGCCCGCCCCTTCAGTGTGATGGGGCTCTTCTCAAATGTGTTTCCCAAGGTTGACTCCTCAGGCTGCTGTATCTCAGGGCCTGATCTTTCACCACCTCCTCAATCCTTCTCAGAATTGACTTTACCTCCTCCTCTCTCACTTCCTCCTCATCTCTTCTCTCCCACCTCCTCTTTCCTCCTCAGGTGTGACTCATGCTGCCTCACCTTCCGGACTCACCGTGGTCTCCTCAGACATAATGTGGCAGTGCATAAGCTCCTCCCCCTGGACCCGAGTGGTCGTCCCTTTATCCAGAACAACCCCTCAATCCCTGCAGGCTTCAACGAGCTCGCCTTTATCGACTTCAGCTGCGGAAAGTTCAGCCTCATCGCCCAGGTAACTGAGCGCACAGAGGAACGAGGGCACAGTCGGACTCAGGGAAAAGCAGACGTACAAAGGGTTAGCACTGAGCTTGCAGTTTAACATTGTCCATAAATACTGTATACAGGCTCTGAGTATAATGAATGGTGTAGTTGTTTTGATGAGAGGGTTTGTAAATTGAGGTGTAACATGTTGGCGGATTGTTTGAGGTTTGGGCTGATGGTCCCAGACAATACATTAGTCGGTCTCTCGTTAAACCCACTCTCACTGTGGCCTCATGTGGTTTCAGGTATGGTGCGAGACCAACCTGCGACGCTGCATTTCCAAATTCCACCGCTTTGTGTGTGACTCATGCGACCGAGCGTTCCCCCTGTCGACCGCTCTGGAGCTGCACCACTGCGACAAGAGCAACGCTAACAGCTATGCTAATGACATACGAGCTAACGGCTACACTAACGAACACAAAGACCTTGTCAACGGAGGGGAGGAGCTACACCATGGCTCTGATGAAGAAGCTGATGAGGCCAACGGAGGGGAGGAGCTAGAGATCCAGAAGGAACCGGAGGAACAAGAGGGGTTTCTGGAAGCGCTGGGACTAAAACTAACGTCTAAGGTACAGAAGCCGATAGAGCTGTTTCTCACTGTCAGTGTAGGAAAGCCGACTGAAGCTCACTCCTCTTTCTCTCTCTCTCTCAGGTCCCAGTTGGTCCCTCAGAGGCTGACCTAGTCCAGGCTCGTCTCGACAGTATCAAGTCGATCCCAGTGGATCCTTCGTCTCTCCACACAGAGGCACTGTCTCTGGGGCTCGCTCTGGGCGTTCCACTGTTCCCGACTGGCTTCCTGCTCACAGAGGGTGGGGCCACGGGTTCAGAGGGTCCGCCTATCTCAGGACTGCAGCACATTCTGCAAGTGACTGCAGCGACGCCCAATCAGATTGCTCTAAGCATAAAGGGCGGGGCCACAGGTGAGTCATGAGTTGGCGCTTCATGCTGATGTTTGCTACTAGAGCATGTCTAACAATCTTCCTCTTTGATTGACAGGTCAGAAGCCCCTAAAGCCTCGTCCCCTCCCTCCCACCCGCTGTGGCCTGGCCTCCACCCCTCCCCCACCTCAGCAGGCCTCTCTGGGATGCATCAGTCCTTCTCTCCCCCCTCCTCCTCTTTTTAAGAGCCTGTGCTCCTCCCCCTCCATTTCTCCCTCTGTGTCTCCTCCTGGGGGGACCTCAGTCTCCCCGGACGACTCACCGAGCCGAAAGCCCACCCCCCGGGGACCGCTCTCCTGCCGGTTCTGTGCGCTCAGCTTCTCTCACTCAGCGCTGTTGCAGGCACACCAGCGGCTGCACCTGGGCGTTCTCCCGCATCAGTGTAACATCTGCGAATATGTGGCGCCTGACAAAGCCACGTTGATCAGACACCTGCGCACGCACAGCGGCGAGCGGCCATACGTCTGCCGCGTCTGCCACTACCCCTTCACCGTCAAGGCCAACTGTGAGCGCCACCTGCGCAAGAAGCACAATAAGACGTCACGCAAAGACATCGAGAAGAATATCAAGTATGTGACGTCTACGGCCACCAACAACATCACTGCTGCTCTCACTGCGGCTGCTGCGACTGTGGCCAAGGCGCAGGCTGAGGTAAGACCCAAGACTCTGACCTGACCTAGACCAGACCAAGATCCAGAGACTAGTACAGGCTGACATTGGTGGTATTTGCTCTGATTCTGTGTTGCTCAGGAGGCAGAGACTCTGTGCCGTTTCTGTGGCGAGGACCTGAAGTCGTACCGCGCCCTGCAGATCCACCTGCGCACACACAACGGCTGCCAGCGCAAACCATACGAGTGCCGCCGCTGCGGTGCCGCCTTCCTGGCCAAACGGAACTGCATCCACCACCTTCTGAAGCAGCACCCCGAGGTGGAGGAACGCGAGATCGAGGAGCACATCCACACGCTGCAGCCGGTCACAGGTGCAATTGCGGCTAATCACGTCGAAACAACTGAAGCTAACCCTGCTAAACCAGCAGGTGTTAACGCTAACCTCTCCGCTAACAACAAGGCACTGAATGGGCTGCAGCCGGTGAAACTCGAGGCCCCGCCTTCCTCAGACCTGGACCAGCCGTTGGACTTCTCAGCGAAAGCTCGTGTGGGCGGAGCTCTATTTGGGGTGAAGCAGGAAATAGGAGGTGACGGCGACGAGCCCATGGACCTGTCAGTGCCGAACAAACGAGTCAAGAAGGAGACCAGCATGGTGACGTGCTTTCTGTCCACTGGCCCTGCCCCTTCAACTGCCCCCACCCCCTCGTCTGCTGGGCCCGCCTCATCTGGCCCCACCCCTTCCTGTCTGCGTGCTGCTCGTCTAAAGCCCCTCCTCCCGAAGCCTTCATCGGCATCGTCTTCCTCATCTGAGCTGCCACCGCTCGCGTCCATTGCTCAAATAATCAGCTCTGTTTCCACTGCAACCGACATGCTGCGGCGAGAGGCGGTGGTTGTCGCCAAGGCGGGTAGTGCGGAGGCAAAGGTGGAACCTGAGAGGGAAGTGTGTCAAGTGGACGACGATCCAACCAGGTGAGTCTCTTCTCTTCTGCCTGCACACATGCTAACGCACACACGCCATGTAAGTGTGCCCCCTGGCGGCTGTGGCTACAGTAGTAGTTTATCACCACCATGCATGGAGTATATGAATAATTACATGAAAAGTGTATTTGACGACCAAAAAAAGCGCTACATAATTATATAAATGCATTGATATGGATTATTGTTATTGTTATTATTATGAATAATATTATTATTTTCATTGTTTTCGGTTCTTAAGAAACAAGATTGGTCGCTCCCTTCTCAATCTGCTCTGACCCTGTGTCTCAGGAAGCGTCCTCGGAAGAAGCCGGGACCCAGGGGCCCCGCAGCCCTCGACCTGGAGTCCAGCGGGGAGTTCGCCAGTGTGGAGAAAATGCTAGCAACAACCGACGCTAACAAGTTTAGCCCGTTTCTCCAGAGTGCCCAGAGCGCTGCACTGAGCACCAAGAGAGGTATGTGGCCCTTGTGTGACCAAGCCTGGGGGGGGGGGGGGGGGGTAGGCTTCTGTTGCCTAATTGTGTAATTTGCCCTGTCTCCTGCAGAAGCCACTGTGCTGCCGGAGCAGAAACCGAAAGAGGAATTGAAACCGTCTGCTCCAAAAGGAAAGAAGAATGCATACTCCAACTCTGCTCAGAAGATGACGTGTCCCTACTGTCCTCGGGTCTTCCCCTGGGCCTCGTCCCTGCAGAGGCACATGCTGACACACACAGGTATGATTACTATAGGAACTACGAGGACTACAGGTACTGCAGAGGCACGTGCTGACGCACACAGGTACCTCCTCCTCTCTCCCCCCTCCTCTCACCTCCGGTTGTGGTTCCAGGTCAGAAGCCGTTCCCGTGCCCGAAGTGTGACGCTTTCTTCTCCACAAAGTCTAACTGTGAGCGCCACCTTCTGCGCAAACACGGCGTCACCAATAGGAGCCTGCGCAAGAATGGAGCAGTGCTAAAGAAGGAGGAGGAGGAGAGGGAGAGCACAGGTACTAAGATAAGCAAGAGATTAGCAGTCATGGGAGACCACTGTAACGTGAGAGTAGGTGTGAAGCTAAGCAGGAAGAGCTAGAATAGATTTATTAGTTATTTTAGTGTAGTGGGTCTCGCTCACAAACCACATCTTCCCCAGGGTCCCAGTCTGAAGCAGAGGCCCTTCTTCCTGACGCTGACCCAAACCCAGAGCCTCCTGCTGTCCAATCAGAGGCCCAGGGGGAGGAGTTTGCAGCTGTAGACACCACCCACAACACCACACAAGGTAAAACAGGAGGTAGAAGTTGGTTCATGATATTCCCGGTTATACAATAGAGAGAGTTGATTGGCTGAGGGTGGGTGGTCTCCTCTTTTAAACTTTTTTGTCTGAAGAAGCTGATAGATCTGACAGAGGCCAAAAATACATGATGTGAAAGCAAGATATTAAAGCAATGGTTTTAGAGCCAGAAATGAGAGACGTGGTTTTTTTAGAATTCTATTCGTGTGGTCTGAAAGGTACGCACCCCAGACTATATTACAGTTAAATACAAAGTGACTGCTGTGTTTCCAGACGGAGCATTGTCAGAGGAGAGCGAGTCCCCTGCACAGCCACAGGAGGCACTGGAGAGCAGCGGCAGCGAGGCTCTGGACAGCAGTGCAAAGGTACGTAAACAGAAATATCTATTGCACTTATTTACTGCTTTCACTTAGAGGGTTCTGTTGAATAACCCAAGATTTGTGAAAGCTCCACTAAAATGGCATGTCCTCAGCTGACAGGGAACAAAACGATGAGGTCTATGGAGAACTCTCCGCCCATGTGGATTTAGGCTGTAGTACCACGATCCACCACCAGGCTTTAGCAGCCGCACCCTCCACATAATGTACTAACTAGACTCACAGAGGCAGACATTCACACGTGAAACTCCAGAGAACAAATTAATTCACTTTTAAATTTTAAAACATATTTCAATTTATTTTATTTACTCATTTGTTTATTTATTTGAATGAGACTGTGCATGTCAATGAACAGACACATTAAATGTAAACATGCCAAGTCTATACCCAAAGACTAATTCCCATCTGTTGTTTTCAGAGTGAAATCACAGACGACGACGACTGTCACAGCAATAAGAGTCTTGACCTTAATTTTGGCCGAAAGCTCATTGACTTTAAGCTCAGTGCTGCCCCCAGTGGCTCTGCGCAGGAACAGCATCCTCCCTCTCTGTCCGCAAACACAGCCACCTGCCCTAATGATGCAATTGTGGATGCTAATGTCGATGATAACTGCGCTAGCGCAGATACTAATGTGGACGATGCCTTGAAACACGCGTGCCACGTCTGTAACAAGAGATTCCGCTATGCCACAACTCTAGCTAGGCATGAGAAAGTCCACGCCCCCGAGGAAGGCCATACCCTCGAGGAATGTCAAACCCCCGACTACACAGACCACGCCCTTGACGACTCCGATCACAACCCTAACAACACAGGCCACTCCCCCGAAGAACCAGACAACGACGAAGCGGCGAGAGAGAGCGAGGAGCTGACGTGTGTGGCTGAAGAAGCGCAGATGGAAGAGGTACAAACATTTCTGTCCTCCAGGGGCCAGCACTTACTCACAATATAATTAATTTGTATACTTGAAGCTTTAGCTCTGCCTCTCATTTGCAGCTGGAGGATAGATGCAACAGTGCGGACTCGGAAGAGCACGAGGAGAGCGAGGCCTACAGCTCCGACTGCGACACAGAGGAGAGGGAGGGGGAACGGAGCGACGATGATATAACTGAGGGCCGGGGCCAGGTGCAACCAGGGGGCGGAGCCAGAGTTGATAAACGCAAGAAGATATGCAATGTGTGCGGGAAGCGTTTCTGGAGTTTACAAGACCTAACGCGGCACATGAGGTCACACACGGGTGAGTTCACACATGAGTGATGTCACACACGAGTAAGTGCGCACATGGGTGAGGTTGCACACTGAATGAACAGACAAAGGTTGGTCGTTTGAATGCTGTCTTGTAACGTTCTTCCTACTGTTCCTCAGGAGAACGTCCGTACCAGTGCTCCACCTGCGAGAGAACCTTCACCCTGAAGCACAGTCTGGTCCGACACCAGAGGATCCACCTGAAGCCAAGAACTGGAGAGGAGCTGGAGGGATTTCAGGCTGGAGAGGAGGTGGAAGAAATGGAGGGATCGCAAAATGGTGAGGAGATGGAAGAAACTCAGACTGTAGAAGTTCTGGAAGGACTTCAGGCTGGAGGAGAGACGGAAGACCTGAGCCCCACAGAAGAGTCCAAGTCTACAGACTCCATGCCAGCGCAGAATGAAAGCATATCCAAGGAGGCATCTCAAGAGGCCACATCTGCAGAGGCCAACATAACGGAATCCATGGAGATATCGCAAGAATTCTCATCAGTAGAGGTTGATGGACAAACCATGGAGATATCAGAAGAACCTTTTTCTGCAAACAACAAAGGGGAAGCTGAGGATGGAGTGGATGAGGCCAATTATGAGGAGCCTTTGCACATTGAGAACGAGAAGGCATCCAAGGCAGAAGATCCCAACAAACTTATGGAGGAAACATCTGACCAGCCACGAGACCTGGACAAACCGTCAGTATCCCAAACGCAAACCGCTTCAGAAAACTCCGATATCTGTATTATAGAAGCCGAAAAGGAAAGCGACGGTGACAAAATCTTGGTTGAAAAATCCTTAGTAAAAGTTCCCATGATGGGGGACCACTCGGCCGACAAAGCCCAGATACAGAGCTCTGAAGCTGGGTGCACGGATCCGGAGCAGGCCCCTCTTCTGGAGCCTCTTCTCGCACCATGATCTCACTCACTGCTCCTTTTACAAGCAAAGTGACGGACCTGACGGGAAACCAAAGCCGAAAAATGAGTCGTTTCAGGGCGTGTTCACACTGAGTCTAGTCCCAGAAACTCCTCACCATTATCTCCAACACACAGGTTGTACAAAACACAGTTGAATAACATGTAAAACTTCACAATTTTGTTAAAACCACCAGAACTAGATCTATTTCAATCTAGACTTTGATCCTAGGCTGCATTCACACAGAAATGGTTTGGAACAAAAAAGTCTCATTCCCAGCTATGCTCAGTTCAAATGCTCTCTGGACCTAGACCAGAGACAGCTCCAGGGAACCCAGGGAACCCAGGGAACCCAGGGGACTCATTCACGCTCACGACTGGACAAGAGTACACTTTAATTGGACCACGTCTGGATTACTTCAGACCTTTATCTGTCTCAGTCAGAGTCCTCATCGTCTTGGTCTGGACCAGGTCAGATCACTTCACAGACCTGGTCAGTTTGAACTGAACCGAACCAAACCTAAATCCTGGATTGCCGCATGTGTAAATGGAGCTTTAGTATTTTGATTGGGCCTAACAGTGTGAACGCACCTGTAAACTTCAGAATTAACCAAATCGTTTTTCCGATCTGAAATGTTATGCAACATGTGAGAATTATGTTTTTCTCGATGTACTGAAAAAACCAAATGGAAAACCACTTTGCACTTTATGAGGAAGTGGTGCTATTCTGACCCAGACTTTGCAAATATCCAAATAATCTTAATTATTTGAGTGTTTGGGGTTGTTATGGTAACTCAAACATTCATCAAACACAGCTCTTCCTGTTGTTTTAAAGGGAGTAGTGACTGGAGAATTCCGGTGCCAAACGGATCGAATTCTGCGGAAAATTAACCTATTTTTCCTTATTTTTCTGGACAATGTTTCTTGAAGTGCCTTAACTACTACAGGAGGAACTCGTTTTATAGCTTTTTATCGTCCTTTATTTTGTGTGTGGGGGAAATCTTTGAATATTCGGCAATAAATGATTGAAATGATTTTGTTTTTGAGCGTTTTTCAGCAGAGACATGGACTCTATTGAAATCAATGGAACCTGCTTTTTCCACCAGCGGCTTTTATAACTGGAAAAAAGAGACTTTTGGACAAATCGATGAAAACGAACTGAAAACATCGACTTTTCTTTTCCGTCGCTTGGAGCCGAGTTTGTACAGATTTGAAACTCGTAGATTTATCATTTTTTGATTTGAGTGAATTTTTGGTGGTGGAAGATTATTTAGCTGAATGGACTTAAAGCGAACAAAGCGCGTGTGCACGGAGCGTCTCTTCAAGTGTTGGATTCAAACACGACTCATTAGTATTTACCTCAGATTCTGCTTTAAAATCCTGCGTCTTCCACAGAGCTAACAGCGCTAATCAAGCTAACTTTTGTATTTCATCGATTTTTCTACACACTAACAGCAGCCTTACGACATAAAGGGCTTTTCTACTTCTGTATTCACCAGCAACAGTGACTTTTGGTTTGTTAAAGTGTCAAATGTGGTTAAAAATGAATGTTAGCTTTTTCAAGCTAGCACAATTCTACTTAAACATTACCTCTAATTTAACGCAGTATTGAGTCCAAGGACTTTTCCACTAATTAAACCTGTCATTTAAGCAATTTTAGGACAGATATTCAGCAAATTTCTCTCTTATATGTCAGTGCTTCCAATACAATCTCATTTGATATTTGACAGTTTAACAAACCTATAACTGGAACTATGGAAACAGCCAAATCCAGTGTTTAAGCACAAAAACCCGGAAACTGTGTTTCTGTCAATAACGTCTTTTCAACACATTCTTCTGCGTTTGCGACAATCACCTTTTTGTAAAGGCCTAACCCTGTGTGGATGTGAGAGCTAAACTAAAGACCGTGGACTGTATAACATGGACTAGGCTGACAAGGCTGCGCTGCTAGTGGCTGTAGGAGGGTCTCAAAGTTTGTAGTTCACTTACTCAGCTTAGTTTGTGTCACACTCGCCATTTTGGGCTTAAATCTGTTCTTTAGCGGTGACTGTGATCCTGGTGTTTATTGATTGATATTGTCTTCTTAAATCCAGATACAAGCCCAAACATCTGACCAATCATTAACCTTGTGGCCCCAAATGCGGCATCAGCAGCCAATAGCAGAGTGGGAACAGATCAGTGCCGCTCCTGATTGGTTGCTATGTTGTTGCTATCCACAAATGTTGCTCAAGATTCCCGTTCAAATAGTCTACGTTATTTCTGGCAGCTTCTCGTCCACCCCTACAGTCCATGGTCTGAATCCTGGTTGGATGTATGAATGGCTCTATGAAATAAAAATGTGTGAATGATTTCAGGAACTCCTCCCACATGTGCTACTCATAATTGTATAAACTACAGAGCTCGGTGTGGGTGTAGGGCTAATGGGCTAACCGGCTAACTAACGACGTAACCTCTATGTCATTAAAATAAACGTAATGGCGTCAAATGTATTTATAACTGCTGTTCTTTGGGTTTCTATCGATAAAGACATGATTTTTTTTTTCTATTTATAAACCCCATGTTCTAATTTCATTTCTATTACTAGTATTAATATACCAATTACACATTTGAATGGATATGAAATGCTTCCAAAAATAACTGAAATGTAGTATTTAATATTTTGAATTTGCCAACAAATGAGAAATGGTTATAACTGTATTTATATAAAGAATATCTTTTTATTTTCTTTATTTTTCTTTTCTCCTGTCACTTTCAGTTTGGAGTTTGGGGCTGTGTTGTATAGTGGGACATTATTGCTAAGTGTTGATCATAGACTATACAGACAGTTCTAAGATGCTAGCTTAAAGAAGCCCAATAATGAACGGCTCATGTTTGGCTTCTGTTGACTTACATTTAAAACTAAACTCCTCACACTCACCATGTTTGGTTCAATCCTGTACTTTTGTGCTATCTGTAATCCTGGTGTCTGATTATGTAAATCCAGACACAGGCCATATAAGAATGACCAATCAGAATCTTCATTCACAGGGGAAACAGCATATATATTAATATATATTATATATAATTATATATAATCAGCATCTCTGGCTGCCTTTGAATGCATCAGAAATTTAGCTTCAGCGCTAACAGGCTAAATATCAAGGAAATTCTGATTGTAGATAAATCCCATGTTATGTAATTGGATTTTTTCCATTTTAGATTGACTTTTCTAATCTTTGATCATACATTTCCAGGACTATTACATGTGGTGCAAACAATTGTATTTTAGACGCCCCGTTTTCACAAGCTTTGCTTGGTTTCGGCTCTACTCTACCTGGTTGCGTCCTTTAGACCCTGTTACCTTATCCTTGCAACCTACCAACAACAAACCAGTATCCGGGATAACTCCTTGGTAACTTCATGGCTTCCAACAACACTGGCCATTCAGTGTCAGAACAATTTAGCACCAGATTGGCCTGTATGGGAATTGGGGCCAAGAGGGTCTAAAGAACCTGGTTAAACAGGGCTAGTGGAAACAATCCTAATCTATAATATCTCACTATACTACAAATCAAACTTTTTTGATCTTTTTTTAAAATAAACAGCGAGAAGCTACATTCCATGTTAACTCTTTTCTTTAGCATAAATTTTGCCGCGCTCTGATTAGCAAAAAGCCCCAAACTTCACCGAATTAACAGTGCTCCCGAAGCTAACACGAGCCTCAACCTGACAGTGACATTGAATATTGCTAACATAACAAATGCAAAGTGACAAGAGTGGTATAAGTAGGTTAGGGGGGTGGGATCAGTCCGTTAAAATTAGCGCATTATCATTAGTGTGTATGCATTTTAACATATTTATTTGTTGTGTGAAGTCGTGTGAAAGCCATGTTTTTATTATTCTGAAGCTTTAATCCCGGGTTTTGGGTCGCGGTGCGTTTAAGTTCGTTGTAAAAACTGTGAATCTCCGCATGTGCAGTTTGAGTGCGTTTTAGCTTATAGTTCTTTTTGCATGTTTACCCTAGTTCCTTCATTTAAAAAATACTTTGTTTTGACTTCTCTTTCACTTTCTCTCAGGGGAATTCACTCACAATTCACAAGTACATTTAAGGTGGAACTGTCCGATCACTACAGAATGATTTAAGGTGGTTTGAGTTCAGAGCATTAACTGATTATTTTCAGATGTTTGTTTGTACTGTATCGATGACAGCAATAAAATCATATCATGGATCAAAGTGTGGAGTTTGATTAAGTTAAGGTCATATAACTTTAAGTCAATACTTTTGTGGCTGCAGTGGATTAGTTCAAAGGGCTTTCTCTCCCTCTGCTCTTTCATAGTCTCCTCTTTCTCCTATTTTGCACAACTATGACATCAAATTCTCCCCACTGAGAGACGAATAAAGGTTTGTCCTATCTCTGGTTTCCTGCTGATAACGAGACAAAGTCAAAGTTTCATCATTATTTTATTAGAAATATAACAGATTGGAGAAAAACACAGCTTCATGTCCTTCATGTTCTACCCCTAAAGGAAAATCCTCGGACCAGGGTCTTTTTCTGGTCCAGGACTGGTCTTTCATACTGTGGCCTCATGTCTGACGGTCCAGTCTTGGTCCTAAACCTGTGCTGACGTTTCAGTAGTAAAAAAAAACTATAAACAAATAGTCTTTGTCACAAACAGTTCAGAGGTGCCCTTTATTTTTCCTCAACTTCAAACATTGCACACTGTGTTTGAAGGCTGCAAAGAGCATCCTTCACCACAACATGACATGATTTCGTTAAAGAGATAAATATGGAAATAAAGTGTCTTTTATTCAGTTGGTTTTAAAGTGGAAAAGTGGAGGAAAGGTTTGTGCAGGTCAGTCGCTTTCCTGTGACTTATATTTTTATTTTTATTTTTTATTTTTTTAAGTTTCTTTGAGTCTTTTTTTTCCACATTTCACATTTATTTGCTCTTTGTTTCTCAGTTTCCTTCCCATCTTGCAGCTATGGTCCATTCTGCCTCTGTCTCTCAGTCCCCGTGTTCTCCCTGGTGTCCAGTCCCTAGTCCATCTCAGATGGGACTGAGCGTTTGTCTCTGCAGCGGCGTCAGCTCTGGATGCCAAACGTCCACGATGAAAATGAGCCGCTGAGACTCTGCGTCCTGCCAGACCTCGTGTTCAAATGAGTCGTCAAAGATCAGCACCTTCCCCTCCTGCCACGTCCTGAAACAGGGAAGCCGATTTCATGAAATAGAACAAAACCAGAGAGAGGGACCAGAGAGAGAGACCAGAGAGAAAAGGACTGGAGAGAGACCAGAGGGGGACATGTATTGCATTCAGAGAACTGGTCGTGTCTCTCACCTCTCGTCGTTTGTGACCCGGATGCGGCAGCCGGACTCTGGCACCACCAGCCCCAGGTGCATCCTCAGCCTGCAGTTAGTGGGGCCGGTGTGAGGCCAGACGTGGGTCCCAGGACGCATCACTGAGAACTTGATCTGCAACAAACACCGCTCTTTGTTTTTACTGCTAGGGAGTGGGAGGGTGGATTATCTCTGCAGAGGAGAAGTGCTCACAAACACACCTGTCCTCGTTTACAGCGTGTCGCTTCTGGAAATTTCTCCAGCAGCGCGCAGGTCTGAGGAACGTTCTCACACGCAGGACCAGCCCTACGACCTGCACACATTTACAGGGGTTAGACCAGATCAAGTCCTGGTCCTGTTCAGTCAGTCTCTCCCTGTTCAGTCTGGGTCTCTCCCTCTCCTGAGTTACACCCTGTCCCAGCCCCACCCCAGACCTTGTTGCCACAGAGTGTATTGGCCCCAGTCTCCGGTTTCTCTCAGGTTCTCGTCTTCAGGCAGGAAGAGTCCAGACTTCAGGTCCATCACCTTCAGGGCCTCATCCCGGATTATCTTCCAGTGTCTCTCCAAGGTCTGAGGAGAGAGTGAGAGATGTCCAAGAGGCCAAAAAGAACCATGAGATGAAGTTTTACAGTCATTATTGTGACCATATTGCCCAGCCCTCATCTCTGGTGCTTGATCTGAGTCCAGGTCTGATGCTGGTCCTCACCTGGACCAGCTCGGTGTAGCCCGTCTCCTCTGCCCTCCACCAGGCCTGGGCCCTCAGACCATTTACGTTGTACAGAGACCTCTGCCAGACGGACGGAAAGTGCCCCCTCTGGTGGCCGCTCTCGTACCAGCGGTGAGCCTCCTGTGAAAGAGTCAGGTGGATTATTTCAGCAGAAAAGTGCTCAACGTGAAGACTATGTCAGGGAGATTATAAGGGAGTCTCTCCCTGGTCTCACCCCTCTCTGGTTTCTGTCTCACCTCTCTCTGGTCTCACCTCTCTCTGGTCTCACCTCTCTCTGGTCTCACCTCTCTCTGGTCTCACCTCTCTCTGGTCTCACCTCTCTCTGGTCTCACCTCTCTCTGGTCTCACCTCTCTCTGGTCTCACCTCTCTCTGGTCTCACCTCTCTCTGTCCCACTCTCTGCAGGGCGTCTCCAAGGTGGAAGTAGAATCGTCCGTCGTCGGTGCCGGGCTGCCCAGACTCCAGACCCCCCTGAAACAAACCCAGTGTTAGACCCAGATGATCAAGACTGTTGTAAAGACAATTTAAACACACGGACAGTACAGAAACTTCAAAAGCTGTATTACTGGACAAAAATGTGGCTTCAGGGGAACCACATGGGGCATCAGTCTGGGGAGAGGCACACTCACCCGCAGGTAAGGGATACTCTCAGCGATCTGGTTTTCTGATTTTAAGATGAAGCCGTAGTGAACTTTGGCAAAACCGTCATCAGGAGCGACAGCCAAAACCTGGAAAAACAATATTTGCTTTAGTTTGGCTTTAATCCCACTTTAGTCCGGCTTTAGAGCAGGTTTAGTCCCTCACCTCTCCATACACTACTTTCGCCGCCTTGTTGTCTCCCAACAGCAGGTGTGAAATTCCCAGGTCATTTTTCAGAGAATAATCTTCGGGAAATGTCTGTACGAGTCTCTGCAGCGTGGACAGGGACCCGCGGATCCGGCCTGGACTCAGTACATATCACACAGTTAGAACACTACCCAAAATGCAGTCCTCCGAGACTACCGTTGTGGTGACTTAGGGGTATACAGATACAGTGCCTTGAAAAAGTTTTCACCCCCTCTTGGCATATTGTGTGTTTTGTTGCCTCACAACCTGGAATTAACATGGATTGTTTGAGGATTTGCATCAGTTAATTTACAGAACATGCCCACAACTTTGAATTTTTTTATTTTTATTGTGAAGCAAACAACAAATAGGACAAAATAACAGAAAAGGTCAATGTGCATAACTATTCACCCCCCTAAAGTCAATACTTTGTAGAGCCACCTTTTGCGGCAATCACAGCGCCAAGTCGCTTTGGATAAATCTCTATGAGCTTGCCACATCTTACCACTGGGATGTTTGCCCATTCCTCCTTACAAAACTGCTCCAGCTCCTTCAAGTTGGATGGTGTGCGCTTGTGAACAGCAATCTTTAAGTCTGAACCACAGATTTTCTATTGGATTGAGGTCTGGGCTTTGACTAGGCCATTCCAACACATTTACACATGTGAGATTTCATAACACTTCGAAGCAACTTTTGTTAAAGTTAAACTCATCATTCTATCAATGTGCAGAAGCCAGTACTTTTCCCTTGTTTTGTCTATCTGAAGGCCAAGCTACAAGCACATCGTGGAAGCTGCTGATTGGAGGACTCCATGCCTCCGTTCTGTATAATACACTTGCATTCTGTGTTCGTGCTGTCTCTACCATCGACAATAAAACATGTCTTCTGTCTGAATTTATGACACGATCCCAGGCTTGGCTCATCTTCTTCACACGTTTCCCCTTAAACCACTGAAGTGTTGCTTTAGCAGTGTGTTTGGGGTCATTGTCCTGCCTGAAGGTGAACCTCCGTCCTAGCCTCAAATCATGCACAGAGTGGTACTAGTTTTGCTCAAGAATATCCCTGTATTTAGCACCATCCATCTTTCCCTCAACTCTGACCAGTTTCCCAGTCCCGGCTGCTGAAAAACATCCCCACAGCATGATGCTGCCACCACCATGTTTGACTGTGGGGATGGTGTTCTTTGGGTGATGTGATGTGTTGGGTTTGCGCCAGACATAGCGTTTTCCTTGATGGCCGAAAAGTTCAATTTCAGTCGCGTCAGACCAGAGCACCTTCCTCTATACATTTTGGGAATCTCCCACGTGCCTTTTCACAAACTCAAAACGTGCCATTTTGTTTTTTGCTGAAAGTAATGGCTTTCTTCTGGCCACTCTGCCATCAAGCCCAACTCTATGGAGCGTACGGCTTATTGTCGTCCTATGTACAGATACTCCAGTCTCTGCTGTGGAACTCTGCAGCTCCTCCAGGGTTACCTTAGGTCTCTGTGCTGCCTCTTTGATTAATGCCCTCCTTGCCCGGTCCGTGAGTTTTGGTGGGCGGCCGTCTCTTGGCAGGTTTGCTGTTGAGCCATGTTCTTTCTATTAGGTTATGATAGATTTGATGGTGCTCCTGGGATCATCAAAGATTTGGATATTTTTTTATAACCTAACCCTGCCTTTGGAATGAGCTTCGTCAGTCTCTGCGTATCTTAGAGACTGTTGATGATTTTAAGTCCCAACTAAAGACGTATTTGTTTAGACAGGCTTTCTCGCCTCACTGTTCATAGGCCGCTGTGAATGTAAACTGTGTTTTTCTGTGTTCTGCTTTTATCTGACTTGTATGTGTATTTTATGTGTTGTGTGAAGCGCTTTGTGATCCTGGTCTGTGAAAGGCGCTATACAAATAAACTTTACTTACTTACTTACTACTTACTTGTACTTCTCAACAACACTGTCCCATACTTGTTTGGAGAGTTCCTTGGTCTTCATGGCAGTGTTGCAGCCTCTGAGGTCTTTCAAAAAAGGTGTGTATATAAACTGACAGATCATGTGACACTTAGATTGCACACAAGTGGACATCATTTCACTATTTATGTGACTTCTGAAGGTAATTGGTTGCACCAGAGCTTTTTATGGGCTTCATAACAAAAGGGGGTGAATACATATGCACATGTCAATTTCCAGTTTTTTTATTTCTAAAAATAGTTTTATGTATATATTTTTCTCAATTCTCTTCACCAACTTAAGACTATTGTTTTCTGATCCATCACATGAAATTCTGAAAAAAACATTGAACTAAAGACTGTAATGTAACAAAATAGGTAAAAAGCCAAGGGGGGTGAATAATTTTGCAAGGCACTTGCAACATATCATTCTATAATTCTAAAGGATTTAAGAGTTTTGGGTCCCTGTTCACCCCCAAAGCAGGGGCACCTCATGGCTCAACACTTGGCTCAGTGCTGTTCTGTTCTTACATCATCAGACTGTTGTGTTAGTGAGGCATCTGGGGAGCGGAAGGGTCATGGTGTTCATACCCAAGAACTGCTGTCTCTCGGCTCGCCTCTTCAGCGCCACCTTTAGGAGGTCCGGTGTGACGTCAGGCAGCTCCCACAGTTCTCCGTACGAGTTTATGGCCTTCTGCAACAAGTCGTTACTGCGTCGCTTCTCGGCCATGTCGTCTTCACACTGAGGCCAGAGAGAGACCAGATTAACACACTGTAGATAAATGCAACTCTCATGACCTGTGTTATGGTCACAAGATTCTCGTATAAACACAAGAAAATATACAAAATTAAACTTGATACAACCTGTGTGTGCGCCTGTGCTCTGTGTGTACCTGTGCTCTGCCATAGCGGGCCCTGGGGCTGTGGGGGTACCTCTGCACCAGTGCTTCAAAGGCCTGCAGCGCCCCCTGCAGCTGTCCCTGTTAGAACAGAACAGCTGCATTAGTTCTGTTCTTGTCTCGTTTGTGATTCATGATTTTCACCTTTTTCCGGAGCTTCTCTGCGGTGTCAATCTCACTCTTGATGCTTTTGTCAAATGCATTCCAAAGTTTGGGTTTTTCCTTCTTCTCTGAAAGAACACCAGAATATTCTGAGTTTGAATTTTTTTTATTATGACGTCAGTTTGGAGCGTTACCTTTGTCTTTGTTCGGAAGCTTCTCTGTGGAGAAAACACAAAACACACGTTACAGCCAGCAGAGAGCAGCGGTCAGCCGGGTCTGAACCATACACTGTAAATATTAGCGGACGTAGTCACGCCTATCTTCGCCACTGAAACTAATGTGCCATCACTTTTGCTTATATGGGGCTTTATCAAAATGGCCGCAGGGCAGGATTTTTTTTTTTTTCAAAAACCTGGTGAGGACAGGGAACTGGCGAGGGAGGGCGGTGTCAGGTTTGTTACAGGGTGTATTGTATAATCAGTGAACATTTACATAATTGATATACTGTATATGAAACATGCAGAGACCTGTGTGAGCGACGAACGAGTCTTCAGCCTCAACTGGATCTGATCTCTTCTCAGATCTCGTTTGTTCGTCTGACGGTTTCTCAGATCTCGTTTGTTCGTCTGACGGTTTCTCAGATCTCGTTTGTTCGTCTGCTGCTGATTCTGTGGACACATACACATGATCAGGGTTTGAGTCTTACATTACTACTTTGTGTGTGATTCAAACATTCTCAGGAGCGAGGCTGAGAGCGAGGACTGCACCTGAGTCTGAGGGGACTTTCGAGCTGGTTACAAACTGCTCCGACTCCACTGGAAGAGACCAAAGACAAACATTTCATCTCAATGATCCATGTGTCGAGTTCAACTGTTCAGACTCACAGACTGTTTCCTGCGGCTCCTGCACCAGAACTGAACACAGAGACACGACTGTCACACGACTGTCACCCACCGGCACTTTATGAAGTACACCATCATGGTCTCTCACCCTCTGGTCTCTCTCTCACCCTCTGGTCTCTCTCTCACCCTCTGGTCTCTCTCTCACCCTCTGGTCTCTCTCTCACCCTCTGGTCTCTCTCTCACCCTCTGGTCTCTCTCACCCTCTGGTCTCTCTCTAGTGAGGGGCTTTACTTCAAGGATTTCACTTATTGTGGTGATAAACCAGGACCAGTGTATTTCATCCTTTTTAACTTGATAAACCCTAATCACTGGTTAGGGTTACGTTAATTCTAATCTAAGCTCAGATGCTTCTAACTCCAGAGAGAAATTAATCATGTTTGAGCCGAACCTCCGGTTGAATCGATTGGCGTCTCCAGCTTCTGCTTCTGCTCCTGCTCCGACGCTGGAACCAGGAGGATCACAGCATAAGAATCACATTAAACATGAAGAAAAACACATGGTCTGTGAGTTTGTGTGTGGAGCCCATTGCTAGAAAAGTCTCTCCTGCTTACAGCAACTTAGTCTGTAGTTTGTTCATTTCATCACTGTCACGGCGTGACAACCCTTCACCCCCCCTCCCTGAGAGCCTATGCAGTCCTGGATCTACAGCCTCGGTCCTGGGTCTACAGCCTCAGTCCTCCCACTCCCCATGGGCCAATAAATTGAATTGAAACAATATAAAAGTTATATTTCTGACCATGAGAAAAAAAACTGTCTCCTCCGACGTGGTCTGAAACAAAAATGGAACAATATATAAATCACAAGTAGGAGATCGTGGCAAGATTATTAGAGAGTTTAAAGTGACCTGGGACGAAGCTGTGATCAGCACCAGACTCTGACAACACACAAATTTACATGTTATTCAGAGAGATCCACATTTTCATATAATGTATTTTTGACATGTCACATCTATAAATCAGCTTTTTCAGACAGAAGAATTAAAAAGAGGACCACACTTAGCCAATCAGCTCTCAGCCCAAAGTGTCAAAAAGTTACTCACAGGGGTCTTTCTTACAAAAAAGATAACATGTTTTCTAATGAGATAAAGACAGTATCTTTCATGCAGCCCACAGCCGAGTAGCTAGTCTGTTTCTTAGGGCAAGTAGTTCAGTCACAGGGGCTGAGGTGGCTCGGGCGTCTGTTTGGGATTCCTCCTGTATATGCAGACCAGGTTTACACCACACAGGTTTGGTTAATCCTATTTTCTCACCTGTTTTTTCTTCAGCAGGGGGTGTCACAGTCTTCTCCCGCATCTTCAGTCCTGTTTGAATACTCATCACATCAGAACACTCACATTAAACACACTTCCTCATTCTCAGCCAATCAGTGATTCAACACAATTGCTGAATCAGAGAGTCCAGAATATCTTTATAGCCCCTACCCTTGTTCTAAACAACTATAGCCTAAGGCCCGGATCTGCAGCCTCAGTCATGCTGCTCCTATATGGACCAATGGCTCCTATGCGTTTGTTATCATTGTATTTCCTGTGTTCCATCTGTTTAATTGTCTGATCTGTTGTTGGTGAAACAACAACTTAAAAGTCCAACGTAAAGTCCTCTGAAGACAACTGCTGCTGTGATTTATAGGCGATACACAAATACAATGAATTGAATCCAAAATCCTGCCTCCTTAACCACTAGCTCCTAACTCCTTTTCAGACATGGGAGCGAGAAGCCTCCGTGCTGTTTGGAAACCTGTGCCTGTTAGTTATAAAGTATGGCTCACAGTCATTATCAGATGATATTTTACTCAGATATTTCCATGATATGTTTAAACATTGATTATCACACTCTACACGTGCCCAGTCTGTCATGTAAAACCAGAGAGAAACCAGAGAGAGATCAGAGATATAGAGCGCAGAGAGAGACTAGGAAGAGACATTTTAGATTCTAAAACATGAAATGACAAAGTACAATCTCAATAAAATTTTAATAGACAACATAATGCATGATCTTTTAACATATTACTCTCATTTAAAACCAAAGCCCCAATGTGAACACAACATATGCATGAATATTTGTTTTCTTTGCACTGGACTTAAAATAATGATCTCTCATCGACAACCCGTTACAGCTTTCAGTGAGTTGCTTTAAAGATAATAATTTAAAAACAAGGGTCACAATACGATACATCCAGATATAATCATTTTTATACGACTTTGAAATCAACATAATAACAAATGAAATGCTTATATAATGCCACGGTTTCTAGTGAGCAGGAGTGGAAGTGCGGGACCACAGGCTGTATACACATAAACAATGCTAACCTGCTAGCTCAATGATACCCAATAGATTTAGATTCAGTTTATTTGCCATTTCCTGTATACAACCACATTAGAAAAACAACATTCGTGAAGTTTGGATCCAACTTGCTCTGGCTAAGAATAAAATTGAAATGACTTTGGTGCATCGTTGAATTCCTGATACAACCATTAACTCTGCTATGTATTTTAATTGTATTTTTGATTGTATAAGGACTACAGATGGAAATTAGCATTGTGCTAAATCTGGGGCAGCCATCTTTTTAATGTACCTGTCCGTTGTCCTTTCAAATAAATAAATAACTAACTAACTAACCTCTGTCTTTTCATTTAGCTTTCACTTGAGTTAAAATGGCTGTCTTCACTGGCTCTTTCACCAGTTCTAGTCTCACAGTTTTCTGAACCACTTCATAAACCATTTTCTCTTGAGTATTCCCTAAAGTTGAACTCTGTAATTTCACCCTGTCTTTGACCCGGAGCTCCCCTTTTCTCCCGTCATTCGTTGCCACATAACCCTGGTCTACAACAGCCTCCTCTCTTGATTTCTGCTCTTACCCCACAACATGTTTTACATTTTGTCCTATGTTTGGTCTCAAAATGGTCACTTTCTCTGGACTTTTCTGTTTTGACATTGGTTCAATTTGCCCGATTTGTGCTTTATCCACCAAATTCTGTCCAACCATTTGATTTTTTTTAAGGACCTCAGCTTTTGATTGCTTTCGATTTATCTTGTGCCCCAGATCTTCCGTTGACTCCACTTTAGCCACTGGTTTTATTGCATTAAGTCCAACCATTTTAACATTATTAACAGCGACTTCCACCGTTGGCTCCAAAATGTCTGCTTTGGATTTGATTTGATCCAAAATGGCGGCCTGCTCGTGTCCTGTAGCCTCCATTTTAGCTTTTGTCATTGTTTTTACTGTCAATTTATTTTGTCCCACTACCTTGTTTTTATTCAAAACAGTAGCTTTTGTGTCCACTTGAGCCGGCCCCAAAATGGCTACCTTTGCATTTTGCATTTTCACTTGCACATTCATCCTCTCATCAATCGCTTGTTCTTCCACTTTTCCATTTGCCCTTTGATTTCCCTCTTGCCCAACGATAAGTCCAAGCGGTTGGTCTATGGCGATATCATTTTTCCCATTTATCACTTGGTTTTTGCTTTGTTGATGCATGTTCACCGCTCGTTGTTCAATAGTCTGTTTGGTAGCACCGTCTTCCATAGGTCTGGTCTTTAATTGGCTTTTTCCACTTAGTAAAGCCATTTCTTTCTGTCCTTCATTGTCTGAAATAATCTCTTTCATCAACAATTGCTTCTGTCCTATCACCATCTTAGGCGGAGGTCTTTTAGCTATCTTTTCAACTTGCCCCAACATGGCCGATATCTCTGGCTCCTTTCTGACAAGCTTTCCAACTTCTTTCTCAGCCACTGTTCCTCTTGCTTGCCCCAAAATTGCTACTTGTTTTGTTTCCTGATTCAACCTAGTTTTAGCTGCAGTCTGTTTCTGCAGTTTAGACACACCTAGTTCATTCGAGATTGCCTTCTTTTCTTGGCTGTTGACGATCTCTGGCACAGCCTCGTCTTGCCCAGTGACTTTTGCGACTATCTTCTTCGCCATTTCACCATCTGCCTTTTGCAATGTCACCCCGTTGACTTGAATTTGTTCGGTTTCAGTCAATAGTTTGGCCCCGCTGCCTTCCTTCCCCGGTTGCTGATGTCCTTCCAGTTCTTTACCCTTTAGAACCTTTTCTTTCGCAAGTGAAGATTCAGTCTTCCCTAAAATGGCTTTGTCAGTCTGAGCCTCCTTCTTAGCTCGTATGTTCATGGTTCTTTCTTGATTCAGATAGTTTGTTTGATTTGAATTGCTTTCCTTTTGACTTAGAGCAACCTTAATGATCGGTCTCTCCATAACTACATTCTTGGTCTGTCCCAAAACAGCCGTACTACTTTGTTGAAAATTAACTACTTTTTCATTTTGAACTGAAGCGTCCCTTTTAGAATGAGGCTTGGCTGTTTCTTGGCTAATCTTTGTGACCACTGGTGCCTTCTCTGGTTGCGCGAAGAATGCCGCCTTCTCAGCTTGTTGTAACATTACTTTCTCTTGCTGCAATTGCCCTTTGTCATTTATACTTTTTGCATTGCGAACTTTGACTGCTTCCCTCTGTCCTACAGTCTCTTCAGCCACAATCACTTTTGGGACTGGCTTCTTAGGTTGGTGTAAAATGGTCATTTTAGTCACCATTTGCACAGCTTCATCAATTTTTGCTGTCCGACCTGTAGTGGCGACCTTGACTGCTGTGTCAGCTTTGTCAATTCTAGATTTAGGCACAAGTTCTTGTTCAACCTTTTTAAACAGTGGGCTTTTGACTATTTTTTCTGGCTGTACATATGTGGCTACTTTCACAGGTTGTTGTAACTTGACAATTTCTAGTAATGGGTCCAGATGTTTGCGTGGGGCGTTTGAAATTTTTGTTACTTGCTTTTCTTCTGAAGTCTTTGTAGCCACAATCGCTTTTGGGACAGGCTTCTTAGGTTGGTCAAAAATTGCCTTTTTAGTCACAATTTGCGCAGCTTCATAAATCTTTGCAGTTGAACCCAGAGTAGCCACTTTTACTGCTCCATTTGCTTGTTCACTTCTAGATTTAGACACAAGTTTGGCTGCATCTAGACACTTCACAGTATCTTGTTCACCCTTTTTAACCAGTGGGGCTTTACCTACTTTTGCTGGCTGTACTAAAATGGCTGCTGCTTTCTCAGGTTGTGGTACTTCGATGTTTTCTAGTGGTAGTTTCCCCAGATGTTGGCGTGTTGCGGTTGGAACCTTCATCACTTTCTCTTGTCCTGAAGTCTTTTTTGCCGCTATTGCTTTTGGGATTGGCTTCACAGCATGGTCTAAAGCAGCCATCCTGTCCGCTTGTTGAAGCTTAACTACTTTTTCTTGTTGAATTGAATCCTGTTTTGTCTGTGTTGCATTCTTGTTGTCTACCTTCTGCTCTGCAGCCGTTTTAACTAGTGGGGTTTTCCCTAGAATGGACACACTAGCTTTTGTAATAAGTTCCTTCACAGCTTTTCCCGTTTGTTGAGTTTTAAATGTCTTTTGAGTCGGCACACGTTCTGAAATCTTTTCAACAGTCTTCTCTGTAGCATTGGGGAGGTCGATTTTTTCTTTGGTTGCATCTTCTATTGCCACCTTTTTAACTATTGGGGCATTAACAATCTTTGTCTGTTGCAAAATTCCCACGTTTAATTTCTCTTTCTGTGAACCAATAGCCTTTTCTGGTTGAATTGACGGCTTCTCCGTTATTTGGGTTGTATTTTGAACTTTCATCGTTTGCTTCAGTCCAGTTTTTTTAACCATCAGGGCTTGTGGGACTAGCTTCTCTTTTGACTCCATTTGGGCAGGTTCTTCAATCTGTTTCAAAGTCTGCTTCAAAGTACTTTTATATTTAGACACAGCATTGGTTGAATCTTTCTCTGCTTGTCCTGAAAGGCCCACGTTTATTTTTTCAGTCTGTGTCTTTATTACTTTTTGTTGTAGAATTTGATGTTTTTTATTAATGCTAGTAGTGTTCTGAAAGTTTAAAGAAAAGGTATCCACTTGAACTTTTGTCTCCATCTTCTCAGAGCATTCTATTATCTTTCCACTTGTCTGGCGACTCATCTCACAGTCGATTTGAACATTTTGGACTTCAAGACTCTGTCCAGGAGGAACCACTTTTAATGCTGCATTAGTTTGTTCACTTCTAGATTTAGGCAGAAGTTTGGTTGAATCTTGTTCCTTCTCTTTAGTCAATGGTGCTTTAACTGCTCCCTGTCCTGCAATGTCCACTTTAGCTCGTTGAAACTTGGCTGCATTCTCAACTGCCTGCTCCAGTTCCAAAGTCTTTAGAGCCACTGGAACTTTGGACACGGTCTTCACAGGTTGCCCCAAAAGGGACGTTTTTCTTGTTGTTACAAGATCTTTCTTCTCTTCTTGTTCAGTTTGTTTTTTTAATGTCCTGATCTTTTTCTCAACATTTTTTAGCTCACCTTGAGTTGCATCTTGTTCCTTCACCAGTTCATGTCCAATCTGTTCAACCAGGGGCACTTTAAATGCATTCCCCTTTCCTTCGTTTTGGATTGGTGTCTTCTGATTTGCATGCATTATTTGCTTTGCTTTGTCAGTGTTTTTGTCAGCCTGCCTTGGACCTACCGTCTTGGCGGCATTGGTTGCTGCAGGCTTGCTTACATCCTCTTCCTTAATCACTTGAACTTCCAAGGATTTTTCAGGGACCATCTTTTGTGCTTGTCCCAAACTGTTTATTGCAGTCTCTTCTTCCTTTCTTTCTTTAACTGCTTCATTCCCATAAAACTCCAGACTTTTGGCTTCAGAAATCTCCACATTTTCTTCCAGACCAGTCTTTTGAATTATCTTTTCAGATGGCAAACTTTCACTTCCTTCTGTTTTTTCAGCATTTGCCAGTCTTACAGTTACATTCTGCTTTTGTTCGATCTCATTCAGTTTTTGCGACGGTTGTTCAGCTGTATCTTGTCTTAGTTCTTTCTCATTCATAATTATCATAATTTCACTTTCCACAGTGGTAGCCCCTTCTTCAGTCCCTTCCTTCATTGCAACTGATGGCTCAGCTGCAGTTTTTTGGTACTTCTCAGCTTTTTCAAGAGATTCCATTGATTGTTGAATTTCAAATCCGTCATTTTTAATTGCCCGATGATCCACTGACTTCTGAGCAATCATGTCTTGAGCCAAACTTGGAATCTCATCATTTTCCATTGCAGGTTTGGCCAACACCTCAGCTTTCTCCTTTTGCATGGCGCCAGTTCCTTTTTGCTTGAATACGTCAGTTACTTCCAGCATTGTCAACGGTTTTTGGTCGTCAACTAGAACCGGTTTATCCTCTTTAAAGTCCAGGGTTTTTGTTGCTCTTACCTTTCCAAGATCTGTTTGTTCTCTCACACTTGCAATTGTCCCTCCTTCTGTTGACTTTATTTTTCCTATAATTATTTTTTGTGTGATCTCATCCGGTTTTCTTTCGTTCACCTCAATTTCCGTCTGTACACCAGACTTTACTTCCGCACCAACTTCCTCAGTTGTTGCCTGAATCTTTTGCTCTGCTTTATGCACAAGCGCAGCCATTTGGATGTCTGAGCCTTCCTTTTCAATCCAATCTTCCGAAAAAACATCAAAAAAAACTTCCATCTCAAATGTCTGCTCAATTTCTTGGGAAAATTCCAATTTGGCAATTTTATTTTCGTCCAGTCCTTCCAGTTTACATCGCTTTTCTTCATCTACAAACTTTCTCTCCCCTTCATTGATATCTTCAGTTACAAATGTAGTCACTTTCACAGTTTGTGGCGCAATTTTCTGTTCGACCAAATTGACCTGAATGTCTTCAAATGTTTCGATATTCTCAGCTTGTTTTGGCTCAGATTTTAAGATATGAGCAGCTGCTTTCAGTTCTGCCTCCTCCGTGACGTCTGTGCCTTTTTTGAGCGGTCCAATTTGTCCTAAAGCAAACTCCAACTCTCTTCCAAATGTTATATTTTCGTTCTTCACTTTAACCGCTCTACCTTGTTCTGTAACAGATCCCAACTTTCCCTTCTTTCGTGGAACTGCCTCTCGTCTTTCTAAATCTTTAAACAGTTTTCCAGTCTTGGAATCCCTTCTCTCATCTCTTGAGACTTTAACACTTATTTTTCTAGTCTTTCTTCTGCCATCATGAATTTCATGGCTTCCTTTAAGCTTTTCCGGAAAACGTCTAGCTGTCCCTCGCTCCAATCTCTCAAATTCTTTAATGAAATTAGTTTTCTTTGCATGTTTTTCGCACTGTTTTTTTGCATTCTTGGCTTTTTGGTTTGGCAGAGCCCCCGAATCGCTAGCAGTTTCGTTTTCAATTATTTCAAAATCTTTAGCAACAGTCTCCTGTTCTGTGTCCTTACTATACCCAACCTTGGTTTGGCTGCTAATAATTGGCTCGCCGATAGCTTTTTTGTGCCGTCGTTTAGTATCCTTGCCCTTGTTAACATATTTTTCATTCCCGCTTTCCAATTTGCCTGCAGTTTGATGGATGGTTTGCATTGTTTTATCATAGCTAGATGTTGCAATTGCACGTTCAATATCGTTGGCATATTGTTCATTTCCTCCTTCCAAATCCTTAGCAGTTTGATCTAGCATTCCTTCTGTATCCTTTGCAACTTGGTTTTCCTCTATCTTTCTTCTGAAAGGCTTTGCTTGATCACTCAGTCTCCCCCCAGCACCAGCAGCTTGTGGTTGACTTTCCTTTGTTTTGCGAGTAGCTTGCTTTTGCAGTCCTTTGTCACGGTTGGCCTCCTCACTCTTCTCTCTTCTAGCCTCCTTGTTTCCCTCCTCTCTACAAGCCTCCTCGTCCATATCCTCTCTGCTAGCCCCCTTGTCACTCTTCTCCCTGCTAGCCTCCTCAGCCTTCTCTCTGCTAGCCTCCTCGTCCCTCTCCTCTTGTAGCGCTTCTCTGAACGCCGTCAGTAGGATTTGTGTCAGCCTCTGGACTTCCATGGCTCGGTGAATGTCGCGGAGCTCGTGTTGCAGTGCTGCTCGCAGCCTCACGCCACGGAGGGAGCGCTCTGTAGCCACACAAACACGATTAGCTTCGGAACGGCGTTAGTCCAGTTATTATTCACACATAGGAACGAGGCGTGCATCAGCGGGAGCCAAGATGCAGACTAGAGACCTAAAGAAATTGAAGTAGCAGCCTATTGTTTAAAGGCTGTTACCAGAACATTACCAGAGAGAGCAAAGTCTGATGATCTAATCACAACGGTGAACAAAAGACACATTTTCTGCTGACTATAAAAAAGGTAACTGCCATGTTATACTAGTGGTTAAGTTAAAAAAAAAACTGCACACAAAACTCGACAAAACAGGAGAACTGGAGGGACCACAGTATGTGGTAGTTTTCATTTAAAATGAGATGAAACATGCCATGGTAGCACAGTGGTGTGATTGAGGCATTAGAAACAAGATGCAGACTGCCCTGCTTCCCCATTCCTCCCCCTCCTCCCCCTCCTCTCTCTCCTCTCTCCCTCTCCTCCCCCTCCTCTCTCTCCTCTCTCCCCCTCCTCTCTCTCCCCCTCCTCTCTCTCCCCCTCTGGTCTTGGTTAGGTGTTTGCACAGCAGTCCTCTCACACAGTTATTACCTGTACAGTTGTGTCCTGGCGTCTCTTCTAACACAAAGCAGAGAGTGAGGTGTGGTCCTGAACATGACACACTTTCTCTTTGTTTAAACCGTTCTCATTCAGACCAAACCCACAACAGTTACTGAGCTAGAGGAGTTTACTTTTACATGTAAGTCAATAGGAGCTTGAGGGAGTTGGCGCCAAACTTCACCATGAAGTTATTGGGCTTCATTGAACTTGGGTTCAATTGGGTTAGCATCGTCCGTCTACATACGCTATGGGTCAGCGTTACACAAACTCCCATCCGAGGGGGAAACGCACTACTGTGTACCCTGAACCGCACATTTTCCTATCGGTTCATGAATCATCCTGCTCAGCTTTGATTGGCTCCTGTGAGTTTTGCTCAGTTGTGATTGGCTGTGTCGTCAGGTCGACCAGGAAGCTGAAGAATCCGAACAGCCAATCAGAGCCCTCCTCAGACAGCACGCTAATGACCTCCTCCAATCGCGAGTCGGTTTTTTCATCTCCATCAACGACATCACTGCGACCACCATCTTTGTTCAGGCCTGAGCGGCGAGACAAGGAGGTGAGGGGAGGAGACAAGGAGGTGAGGGGAGGAGACAAGGAGGTGAGGGGAGGAGACAAGGAGGTGAGGGGAGGAGACAAGGCGGTGAGAGGAAGAGACAAGGTGGTGAGGAGGGGAGACAAGGAGGTGAGGAAGGAGACGAGGGAACGAGACGACGTAAGGAGACGAGGGAGCAGGATGTTTGGGTCATGTGATCAAATAAAAAGTAACAGGATAAATAATAAGGAGAGAGAGAGGGAGAGAGGAAACAGTTATGACCATATATAGGCGTCACTTCCTGTGTCGCTGCTCGGCTGAACTCAGAGGCGCCTCCTGTGGCTCAAGTCGCAAACATCACGTAACCATGGAGACTTCCACAAGAAATGCCCATTCACAAACCTCACAACAAAGTACTTAAAACGTTGATTTAAAAAACAAATTCAAATAGTTTTAGATCAAAGTCACCCAAAAGTATTATTATTTTATTATTTCTTGAGGCTCCTGACTGACTACTGATCACTACTTTTCCCAAACCTTTTCCAAAAAACAGATCTACAAAATATTACACTTTAAAAACAAAAATGTTGATTACATTTGACCTAGCCTGGTTGTACCACACCATAGTACAAATTACATTTCATACTAAGGTCTGGAGGTGCTCCACTGAGCTCCGTTTACAGGTGGGAGGGGTTAACTCCTTTTGCAGATTGAAACGATTGGATCTTACCGTGACGTATGTAATGCACCCGAGTCTGTTGTTAGCATTTAGCCTAGCCATCTCCTTTGCTGCTAACGGAGCCCGTGGGGAGTAGCGCCACTATATCTTCTAGCGCTTACATTTGCTAAACATTCCTATCGCATTTTTCGCCATTGCCATTCCCGTTTGACGCAGACTCTTGATGTCACCCACAAATAAATACAACCTTCCGCGCTCGCTGGTTGTTCGGTCGAAATTCAACCGATTGTAATCGCTAACCCAGGGACTAGACCCAGACGTTACATGCAGTGAAATGATTGAGCTGAGTTTACGGATGGCTAAGGCCAGGCTACATTTGACCCTTTTCTAATGTTAAATATTTCAAACTCACCGAGGAGAACTTTAGCATCGTCCAAATCAAAGTCTCCGTCTGCGTCTGTGTCATACGCCGACAATCGACCTGAAAACAGAGGTAACCGTCAGAGTAACCGTCAGAGTAACCGTCAGAGTAACCGTCAGAGTAACCGTCAGAGTAACCGTCAGAGTAACCGTCAGAGTAACCGTCAGAGTAACCGTCAGAGTAACTGTGATAAAAGATTTATGAAAAAACAAAATGGGAAGAAAGAGAAGAATGAAGGACTTATCTCTTAAATTAAAGCTGAGTTCTGTAACTTATATATAACATGTAGTTTGTCCAATAAATACAATATTTAGTGTAATAAAGAGCCCTGTGAGTCACTATTTGCCTCTTTGGGCTGAGAGCAGATTGGCTGAGTGAGGGTGGTCCTCTCTTTTTCACTTCTGAACATTGTAAAGCGCTTTCGGTAACCTTGGTCTGTAAAATGCGCTATATAAATAAACATTACTTACATTTCTGTCTGAAAAAGCTGATCTAAAGATGTGACAGAGACATCAATTTATTGCAGTTTTTTTTTTTTCTGTTTGTGTGGTCTTTAAAGTTATGGACCCCAGCTTTAACAGTGATTACAGGTGATATTTGTACCTTGTAAAACGTGAGTAAAGTTTAGCCGCAGCTCCTTCGCTCTGGCTGCAGAACCACAAACAACAACAAGGGGGCGTCACTCCACATTCAATCACTGACATTAGTCTCACTTTGGACAGTACCAGAACGGAAACGATAAGTTATGAAAAATAAAGCCCTCAACATCAACTGGTGTGAAAGGGATATCATGTGATGGAGCTTGGAATAGAGCCACTGCCCCTCCATGTGTTCATGAACCATAGACTGTAAAGCTGAATGCGGAAGTGACAAGAGTGTGACACAAACGGTTACTGAGATAGAGGAGTTTAAGTCAATAGCAGCCTGAGAGTTAGCGGGTTAGCATGGTCCATCTATATATCGTGTTGTGAACTCACCCAGAACTGACTCGTAGTCGACAACATCAAAGTACACGACTGCCATGGAGCTCCAGAGGCCGATCAGTGCCAAGACCAGGACCAGACTGAAGCAGGACGTACCAGAGGGAGGACCAGAGGGAGGACCGGACCCGGGTCCAGAGGAGCTTGTATCTGCAGAGTCCGAGGCCTGGCCATTCTTACCGACAGAAGCCTTCACATCTGTAACAGAGTCCAGATGTAGTGACTTCAAAGCCCTCACATTACACCTGTGTTACAGACTTCACATTACGCCTGTGTTACAGACCTCACATTACACCTGTGTTACAGACCTCACATTACGCCTGTGTTACAGACCACACGTTACACCTGTGTTACAGACCAGACCCTCGGCATCAGACCCTCAGCATCAGACCCTCAGCATCAGACCCTCAGCATCAGACCCTCAGCATCAGACCCTCAGCATCAGACCCTCAGCATCAGACCCTCGGCATCAGACCCTCGGCATCAGACCCTCGGCATCAGACCCTCGGCATCAGACCCTCAGCATCAGACCCTCAGCACAGGTGACAGAGGGAAACACAACAGCTCCTCTAACAGTCTTATGAGCCACTACACCATCAAACACACTTCCACACAATCCATTCCATACCATTATTTAACTATATCCCCTCCCCCCTTTTTCCCCAATAGTGACTCCAGCTGTATTTATAAACTGTTGACCGTTTCAAGATTATGATGAAAGGAATAGTACTGGACAGAAGCAGTGAGTGGACTACAAGCGGCCAACTTAGTTGTAGTTCAGAGCAGAGTGCAGAGAGGACAACGAAGAAATGTCAGAGACCAGAATAGAGAACAGCCGCAAGAGTACTAACTATACATAGTTCCCACAGACCAATGAATGTCACATGACCTCCTCGGAGACGCCATCTTTGATGGCACGCTGCTGTGTTTGTGCATTCCATTAAACAGAAGAATGAGAATAAATGTAGATATTCAAACGCAAATTGGAAAAAAAAGGGCAACTTTTGAGCAAATAATTGTATATTAATACAATGGCACCACAGTTTAACGTGCTACGGACATGTTTTACATATTCATCAAATTATGCAGCAAAAATTAACAAGCAATGCAAACATTTCTCAAAAACTTTAGATTTAATACCAGTTGGAGCTCCATTTAATTATTTTAATTATATTAACAATTAATTTAATTAATGCTAATGCCACACGGACACTCTGGATTGCTGTTATTGTTTATTTCCGCGTTTTTGACCGTATGTTTTGGTGAATGGTGGGCAACTGATTTTTCCAGGCGTAAAGAGCAGTTTATTTTATGACACAGATCTTTTTACAGAAGCAATGCTGTTTGTGAACATTGTTTTAGCCCACCATAGAACTATTATTATCTATTTAATACATTTACGTTGCCCTCGAGAGCCTCGGACGCGACACCGATCCTCCTCATAATAAAGTAATCTAACGCTAAATAATGAAACTCTCAAGTTACCAGATATCAGCATACACAAGTTAGTACTGAGTAAATTACGTCTGTCAACACATTATAAGATACGATACGCACCTGACACAAAGTGCTCCGAGCATATTCTTGCGTGTTTTGAGGGAGTTTCTTGCCTGTTTATCTTCGCAAGCCATAACCTCCGTGGTTGTTCTGACAAAAGCTTAGTCTTCTCACATTCATGAAGTCTAATGATGGGTATACTGTAAAATCCAAGTTTAACGGAACCTCCGGCACGATTTGAACATCCATTGACCCAGCAGGAGATGACCATTTTCAACTTTATCACGACATTAACACGTTTCAGCTTCTTTTTCTATTGTTTTGCCCACAGAATGCCAACACAGATGTCGCCGGGTCGGCAAATCCCCGTATGTAGTGACGTCATGTGGGAACTATGTATACTACTGCTACTACAACAAGAGTACTGACAGTACTACTGCTACTACAACAAAAGTACTGACAGTACTACTGCTACTACAACAAAAGTACTGACAGTACTACTGCTACTACAACAAGAGTACTGACAATACCACTACTGCTGTAGCCACAGCTGCCCTGGGGCAATGCTGAACAGTGAAACCAAACCAGACTAAAATAATAATTAGTTAATCGTGATTCACTCAAAAGTAGTGACGACTATCTCACAACATTTTCCAGACCTCTGAAGCTGTGCAGGTCAAGACCTGGTTAGTACTGTGGGATGGGAGACCTCTGGGAACACCAGGCGCCACAGTGGGTCGGTTGCAGTTGTAATGTGCCAAACTGTCTGTGGTCGGAGGGGCCGGTTGCGCAAACTGGTTGCCTCGCTTCTGTCAGTGTGCTCCAGGGCAGCTGTAGCTACAGTAGTTTTTCACCGCCGTATATAAAGTGAACGAATGACAGGTGAAGCGTCTTTGAGTGTCCTGAAAAGCGTTTTATAAAACTGATGCATTATTCTTATTCTTATTATTGTCACTCACCCATCTCCTGCGAGCCCCAAAACTGGACTATACGCTGCATCTGATCCACAATTGAGCCACAACGGTCAAAACTATTGCAGCTAAACTACAAGAGAGACACAAGTGAGAGGAGAGAGAACTAGAGAGAGGACGGCCAGTTAGTCAGGAGTTCTCAGAGGAGTTTGGAGCTAGTGCTGCGGAGGAAAAGCATATTGTTGCTGAAAAACCGACGAAAGTGGGAACAAAAGCAGATTCACAAACAGCAGCAGCTGAAGTCTGCAGCACAAATAGAACTGTCCTTGACTTTGAGCTGTGGGCGGAGCCTCACACTGTGGACCTGGGGCGCCCAAACTTAAGCCATGTCTGCTCTAAGAACTACGGACTTCATGCTTCTCCTATAGTTATCCCAGTCCTCTTCCGTCTTTCTCCTGGTGTTATGCCAGGACCTTCCTGTCTTTCTCCTGGTGTTATGCCTGTACTCTCTTGTCTTTCTACTAGTGTTATTAAGGAGCACTTTTTAGTCATCCCTGGAGGGCAATTCATCCTCTGCATTTGACCCATCCTGATGCGACTAAGGCTTACATCAGGAGCAGTGGTCCCCATAGTCACAGCCCCCAGGAACCCATCTCCAGATGTTGATGCTTGGCTTGGTCAGGACCTGAGCTGGAGAATTTAACCCAGTGTGCATGTTTTTAGTGGTATAGGGGAGAAGGAGCACCCAGAGGAAAACAACGCAGGCACGGGGAGAACATGCAAACTCCAGACCCTAGTTCGAATCCCGGTCGGAATAGGAGCTTTCTGAGTGGAGTTTGCATGTTCTCCCCGTGCCAGCGTAGGTTTCCTCTGGGTGCTCCTTCTTGGACTTTCTTGCTGAGAAGCGACAGTGCAATCCAGTCAGCCACCGTGCTGGTCCTCTCCTGACTTTCTCCTAGTGCTATGCCAGTCCTCTCCTGTCTTTCTCCTAGTGTTATACCGCTCCTCTCTCGACTTTAGCCTAGTGTTATGCCCTCGTCATCTCATTTCAACTAATTTACATAGTTGGGTCATCAAACAGAGAACCTGATTTAAAAAGTCTCATTTTTAGATTTCAGGAGCCAAAACAAACACAGACATTATGACACGTGAGATTTAACATAACGCAAGACATTCCTGTACAATTCGGCGCAGTTAATAGATCATAAATGGCTTAAGTTTCGCCGCATTGGTGGTTTGTGAAGCAGCGCTGTCTGCTCTTCGTCCACCGCCAACAGAAGGCGGAAATCAACAATAAATGGAGGCATGTTTGTTGCCAGAGTCCGAGCCGAATCCAAGATGAGATTATGCAGAGGTTTCGCACATGTTTAGTGTCTGTGTGTGTGACTTGGAATCTGGAGAACTTCACTAACGCGTGTTAAACGTGCAGGGAAACACAGGCGGGTCCGGCGGCAGCATCCTTACCCCGTTTCGCTTGGCTCTTTGGGTGTTTACGCTGCGTCATCTTCAGGAATCTGCAGCTCGTCGTCTCATTCAGTCAGACGAGCCTCAGAATGATCCGTAAACGTGATACTGTGAGAGTAATAGCCGCGCAGGGTCCAGCTGCAGGCACGGCCTCAAGATGGAGAAAGTAGCAGCTGTCCAGGTGGAGCTGCAAAGTCAGGACCGCGCTCAGAGGGACCCCGTTTTGAGAATGTTTTTAATTTTTGTTTTTAATTTGTTTATATGGATGGGGACAGTGTTTATTAATGTTTTAATCACACTAAATTGAAGGTATGTAGCGAATTAAAATCTATAGTCCCACAGTAGCACTCACAAACACACGTTTTTACTGGTAGGGGAAACCGGAGCACCTGGAGGAAACCTATGCAGCCACCAGGTGAACATGCAAAGGGAACACAGAAAGGCCCTGTCTGGAGGTGGAATCGAACACCGGACCTTCTGATCCTGCTATCCACTGCACCACTGTGCTGCCCATTTCAGTGCCGCGTCAAAGACAGACAAGAGCTGGCCTAGGAACGCCTCATGATTCCCCCAGATGAGCTGGAGGAGGTGTGTGTGGACCTCTCTGCTCAGACTGCTGCCACCGCGACCCGTTAACGGATGAAGTGGAAGAAAACTCATGGATGGATTACTGCTGTCATTCGACCATGTTACTGTGTTTACTGCGGACGGTTATTTCATGTCCCGAGAAAAACTTAATTCATTCATTTATCGGACGCGAGGATGACGTCAGGCGTGAGGAAGACGCCAGACGCCAGTTTGGAAACTCCCTGTCCCCTGATTGGCTCAGAGCGCTGTCAGTCGCGTGTTATGTGTGTTTCTGTAGATGTGGAGCTGCCGCGAGAGGGCTGCACTCTCACGTCTCTCTCACCAAACAAGAAGAACATCAAAGTTGGGGTGCCTCACTTTCAAGCCACAACACTAGAACTCTAATGAACCCAAGTATCTAGTTTCTGTCAGTAAAACAGTTTTTTTTCTGTCACTCATCATGTGTTTATACTTTATACTTACCAATGCAGACACGGGGAGAGCATGCAAACTCCTGTCCCGACCGGGTTACATATAGCACTGAAGACAGAGGCTTTGATATGTGATTTGTGCGTCCTTAAAAAAACAAAAAAAACAAAAAAACATTTAAATCACGTCCTTGTATTGTAACTGATTTTATTCGTACAAAGTTATCGGTAATATGCAACTCTTCTTTTTCAAGCAGCGCTTGTAGAGTAATATTGTGTCCACTAGAGGGCGCCATCAGCCCACAGTGATCGTGAAGAGCAGTCACCTGACGTCATCAGCGACTCTTGATCTGCGAACATATATACAAAAAGTAAACACACACACACACACACACACACACACACACACACACATACACACACGCACACAAGTACAGACACACGCACACAGAAACACACACGACACTCAAACAAACAGAGAGAGAGACGGACAGACCCCGCACAAATACACAGAGAGAGAAACACAGACACACATAAATAGAGACACACACACGCACACAAACAGACACACGGTTTGTGGAGAGGCCTCACTGTGTCCTGGTCCTTAGTTACATATGCAAAGGAGCAGCAGTAGGACCTCGACCAGGACTAGGACCTTACTCCGGCCCACAGTTCTGGTCTGATGTGCTCAGGGGCCTCCTGACCAGAGAGGGACCAGAGAGACCAGAGAGAGACCAAAAAGAGATCAAAAAGAGACCAGAGAGAGACCAGAGAGAGACCAGAGAGAGAGACCAAAAAGAGACCAGAGAGAGAGTGGGGGTAATTTCAATGTTGCAGCACACAAAATAAATAGGTAGCTGATATGTTTCTTAGCCTGCTGTAAATTCTTCAATTTCAAAATCAATAAAAAGGAGGATGAATATGTCTGTCATTGAAGCTACTTTCCAGCGAACGGAGTGCCCTGCAGGGGGCGACAGTCATGGTCCAGCACTTACTAGTTTGTCCAGGACCCTCCTGTCCCCCACCTGCTGCACTGTGTCACTGGGAACAGCCCAGGACAGAGCTGGACTTCCTGAGGACCATGTCCAGCTTCTGTCCCTCTGTGTGATGCTGCTGCAGCAGACCTCATTGTACCAGAGGCAGATGCCACCACAGAGTCATAAATGTGCAACTTTGTATAATCTGACTTTGAGCCAATAACATACTCAAACAGGACAGATGTTGAAGCCAAGCCGATTCCACGACAATTCTCCACTTAAAAGTCTGTGACACTGAGGAGGAGGGCTGCTGCAAGAACAGCAGCTTAATGCTAAGAGGTTCTGTTTGGATGCAACGGAGGATCTTAGGTGTGGAAAGAACTCGCTGTGGGGGGAGCATGTCTCCCCCTCTGAATGTCCCGCTCCAGCTGCACGTTAGCCAAGGGTAAAATGAAACAGAAGTTACAGACCTCAGCTTTAACTTGAACTGACGCGTGCACAGAGGTGTCCCGGGGCAGCTGTTCTCGCGATACCCCCCCCCCCCCCCCCCCCCCGCCCCCTCCTCTTCTCTGAGCGCTGCGCTCTGTGCCGCTCTTCAGTCTGTAGTTCGCTCTTCTCCGCGTTGCACCGCACCGCTCCAAACTTGTGCCGCGCGCAAAGGAGCGGCAAGCGCGCGCTCTGATCCCACCGATGACCAGACCCGAGACTGGACCTAGAACTGACCCGAGACTAGACCTGGGACTGACCCGAGACTGAACTAGTGACTGACCCGAGACTGGACCAGGGTCTGAGGTCTGACCCAACGCCACACACAGACTTTCTCCTGGACGCGCGTCACTGTGGATCTATGTTCGTGATGGGGCGCGTGCCCTTTGCCGCGTGCGTCCTGGGGTGACACGCACGCGCACGGACTTTTACTGCACGAGCTCCACACGTGAGTAAACAGTTGATATTAACATTTATTTTGCGTCTGCCGCGCCTAAAACACTTCTCCACTTTATTCATTAAAGTTTCTCTGATTTAATATGTAAATGAGGCGCGCGCTCTTTTAAGGGCTGTAGGTGTTTGTGTTGTTCTCATCTGCCGCGCAGGACCAAGACCCGCACAAAGTGACGCAAACGGACTAGCAAGGTTAAAGCTGGGGTTCGTACCTTTACTCTCATAAATACATGTAAAGAAAGAGCCTGAAAGTAAAATGTTGTGAACAAATAAGACACGACATTCTGTCTCCTTCTATTGTGTGGGACAGAGCCCTGTGAGTCATAATTTGACTCTTTGGGCCGAGAGCTGATTGGCTGAGTGAGTGTGGTCCTTTCTTTTTCACTTGAAAACTAGTCCAAGACCAGGACCAGAGAAAAAGAACAGAGAGAGAGAGAGAGAGAGAAGAGAGAGAAGATAGACGAGGAGGAGATTTTTATTAGAGTTCCATTGTTGTGTTTTGAAAGTTACCTGTAAGTCCATCCATCCATCCATTTTCTACCCTTTAATCCATTTCTGGGTCAGGGGGGTGGCAGTCAGAAATGCCACCCAAGTCTCATAGCACCAGCCCCAAGTCTCATAGCACCAGCCAGCACTTACCTGTAAGTATAAAATAAAAAATGAAAACACCACAAAGACATCCGCGCGCTCACATTGTTCCGTGGAGTCCAGTTCTAACTTTAGATCAAAATGTGAATCATGTCTCGCACGCGCGCACCCTCACACGCACGCGCCACGGCCAGAATTTGAATCACGTCGCACGCACGCTCACTCCTTACACGCGCCCGCCACGTTATGAGCCGCGTAAAAATAACGGCGTTTTAAAGCGGAATAATTATCACGTCTGAGGCCGCCGGGGTCACATACCGACGCGTTAGGCCTCCCAGGCTGCTTTCAAATCATTATCAAATACTTCTCATTGTCCCGCCTGGCATGCGCTGTATTGGTTCCTCTGATCTCATGAGACCATTTTCTGCTGATTCGAACCAATAGGAAACAAATATTTGTGATCTCATGGTCTCTCTCTCTGGTCTCCCTCTGGGCTTTGTCTGGTCTCTTTCTGGTCTCCCTCTGGGCTTTGTCTGGTCTCTTTCTGGTCCCTCTCTGGTCTTTGTCTCTGGTCTCTCTCTGGTTTTTCTCACTGGTCTCTCTCTGGTCTCCCTCTGGGCTTTGTCTGGTCTCTTTCTGGTCCCTCTCTGGTCTTTCTCTCTGGTCTCTCTCGCTGGTCCCTCACTGGTCTCTCTCACTGGTCTCCCATAGGCTTTGTCTAGTCTCTTTCTGGTCCCTCTGGTCCCTCTCTGGTCTCTCACTGGTCTCTCTCTGGTCTCCCTCTGGGCTTGGTCTGGTCTCTTTCTGATTCCTCTCTGGTCTTTCTCCCTGGTCTCTCTCGCTGGTCTCTCACTGGTCTCTCTCACTGGTCTCCTTCTGGGCTTTGTCTAGTCTCTTTCTGGTCCCTCTCTGGTCTCTCACTGGTCTCTCTCTGGTCTCTCACTGGTCTCTCTCTGGTCTCTCTCTGGGCTTTGTCTGGTCTCTTTCTGGTCTCTCTATGGTCTTTCTTTCTGGTCTCTCTCTCTGGTCTCCCTCTATACCATGGGCTTGGGTCACCTCTTCCACACTGCATGTTTGAGAACTGTGTGGTCCGTGTGAAGCCTGCAGAGCCTGTGATGTCATATTTACAGCGTTGTGTTTTTAAAGAGTTTAACCCAAACCTGGGACATTTCAATTAATGGGAGTTCAGGTGCTGCTCTAAACTGTTATACCTCATTTTAAACAATGAAACCAAAACCAAAAAATAGATAAAATAAAAAAATAATAACCAGTAAAATACACATATTAAAAAAATGTAACAGCAACATACATGATCAACAAAATACTTGAAAAAATATAAATGTACTGAAGAGGATGTGCCAAGTCTGGGATCGTGTCATAAATTCCGACAGAAGACATGTTTTATTGTCAATGGTAGAGACAGCACGAACAAAGCACACGATCACAGATACAAGAGAATGCAAGTGTATTATACAGAGCTGAGGCATGGAGACCTCCAATCAGCAGCTGCCACGGTGTGCTTGTAGCTTGGCCTTCAGATAGACAAAACAAGGGAAAAGTACTGGCTTCTGCACATTGATAGAATGATGAGTTTAACTTTAACAAAAGTTGCTTCAAAGTGTTATGAAATCTCACATTCCCCCCTCTGGTCATACATTCACGTGTGACCATCAGGATCGATAAACAGCAACATAACATCATAACTCAATACTTAAACTCGGTACTTCACTCGGTACTTCAAAAAACTCAGAACTCATAACTCAATACTTAAACTCATAAAACTCATAAAACATGTTCAGATCTTTCATAAAACTTGTCAACAATCTTCAGTAAAATATCAAACTTCATCAGTCGATGGTGGTTCCAGATATTGCTTTGAAAACAGTCTCTCCCACTTCTTTGTTTTGATTCTTCAGGCTGCATTTGTGTTGAGCCATGAATTCTTCTGTGACGTGTCTTTCAATCACACGTTTCAGCTTCAGTGTCCAGATTCAGCAATTCATTTCAGTCCAAATTATGTCCAAATTGTGTAATCCAATTGTTCCAAATGATGTCCATGCAAAAGAGGACGATGGTATTGTCCATGTCTCAGCAGCTCACAGCCTGACTGGAATCAGGGGCTGTGCAGATTGTCCAAGTGTGCTGGTCCAGATGCATGGTTTCTCTTGAGGTTTCTCAGTTTTGGGTTAAAAAAAAAACACATTTTTGTGTAAAAAAAAAAGTCTTCTGTTCTCTAGATGTTACAGACAAGGCCCGCATCCTTCCACCACCTGAAGAAGATGTGCCAAGTCTGGGATCGTGTCATAAATTCCGACAGAAGACATGTTTTATTGTCAATGGTAGAGACAGCACGAACAAAGCACACGATCACAGATACAAGAGAATGCAAGTGTATTATACAGAGCTGAGGCATGGAGACCTCCAATCAGCAGCTGCCACGGTGTGCTTGTAGCTTGGCCTTCAGATAGACACAACAAGGGAAAAGTACTGGCTTCTGCACATTGATAGAATGATGAGTTTAACTTTAACAAAAGTTGCTTAAAAGTGTTATGAAATCTCACAGTACTCTTCATGTGTGAGTGTGATTTATCTATACAGCGCCTTCTTCCACAGGGTTAGTGTGAGTGAGTGTGTGTGTCTCTTTTTGTATGTGTGTCTCTGTGTGTGTGTGCGTGTACCTGTGTGTCTCTTTGTGTGTGTGTGTGTGTGTGTGTAAGAACGGGACCAGAACCAGAACCAGGTCAGATGACGCACCAGTGTGAGGAAAATACTGCATTCAGCGAATCTGCAGAAAAACTGTGTCTGTGGATCATAAATCATCACACGCACGCACATACACTCACATACTCGCACACACATACACACACACACACTAACACACACTAACACACACTAACACACACACACACACACAGAGGCTGTTATATGGATCAGATTTAATGTGGTCACTAATATTCAAAACAATACACACTTAAGCCTTATTCCCACTGAGTAAAACCCCGGGTCTCCTCTTCCTAAAAAATGAAGGCTCACGGTCAGGTCTCTCTCTGGTCTCTCTCTGCTCTCTCCGGTCTCTCTCTCTAGTCTCTCTCTGGTCTCTCTCTCATCTGCTCTCTCTGGTCTCTCTCTGTGGGCTCTCTCTGGTCTCTCTCCGGTCTCTCTCTGGTCTCTCTCTCTGGTCCCTCTCCGGTCTCTCTCTCCGGTCTATCTCTCCAGGTCTCTTTCTCTCTTGTCTCTCTTTTCGGTCTCTCTCTCCGGTCTATCTCTCCAGGTCTCTCTCTCTCTTTTCGGTCTCTCTCTCCGGTCTATCTCTCCAGGTCTCTCTCTCCAGGTCTCTCGCTCTGGTTGCTCTTCCTGGTCTTGTCTGCTCCGTGGTAAATCAGCTGGAGGAGCGTGTGCTGAGTCAGCTGCAGCAGAACATCTGTTGCACAGTTTGACTTCAGTTTTTACACAAAGAACAAACTCAGACACGGCTCCTGCTGAAATGTGACAAACACAAACTAAGACGATAGAAGAAAAACGCAGCAACACATTCCAAATAATGGAGGGAGAGCTTTAGTCTCTCTCCATTCTCTCTCTCTCTCTCTGGTCTCTCTCCGGTCTCTCTCTCTTTGGTCTCTTTCTGGTCTTTCTCTCTGGTCTCTCTCTAGTCTCTTTCTCTCTGGTCTCTCCGGTCCCTCTCTCTTTGGTATATGTCTGGTCTCTCTTCGGTCTCTCTCTCTGGTCTCTCTCTAGTCTCTCTCTCTCTCTGGTTGCTCCCCGGTCTCTCTCTCTCTTTGGTTTCTTTCTGGTCTCTCTCTCTGGTCTCTCTCTCTGGTCTCTCTCTCTGGTCTCTCTCTCTGGTCTCTCTCTCTCTGGTCTCTCTCTCTGGTCTCTCTCTCTCTGGTCTCTCGTGTGAGTGAGAAGATGTGACGTGTAAATTGCCTTAAAATGGAGCTGTTCATCTGAACCAAAATGTCTTGTCAAATAGTTTGGCCATGTTACAGTAGGAAAGACACACACACACATACGCACACACCTACACACACACACACACACACACACACACACACACACACACACACGCAAAGACAGACACACGCACACAAATCTCCTAAGAGCTGCTTTTATATCTGCACAGGCTGTGGACATTATCCTCATAAAACTGGGGCACACCTGGGTTTGGGTTCTGTTTAAAGCTGGGGTATGTAACTTTAGTCTCATAAATAACTTGTAGTTTGAACAGAAACAGAAACACAAGTAAAATCAAACCACAACATGCTGGCATCATTTTTTTGTGTCAGAAAGAGCTCTGTGAGTTACTAATTGACTCTTTGGGCTGAGAACTGAGCTAAGTGAGGGTGGTCCTCTATGAGTCACTTTTCTTTCTGAAAAAAGCTGCTCTAAAGATGTGACTCAAATATGATGTTAAAACTGCCTTCAAACAAGGTCAGAAATCTAGGGGTAATACTGGACTCAGACCTAAATTTCAATAGCCACATCAAATCAGTAACATCAACAGCTTTTTACCATCTAAAAAACATTTCCAGGATCAAAAACATAGTGTCTAAAGCAGACTTGGAGATTCTTATCCATGCATTTGTCTCCAGTAGGTTAGACTACTGCAATGGCCTGCTCACAGGTCTGTCCAAACAGGCTGTAAAACAGCTGCAGTACATTCAAAATGCAGCAGCTCGAGTCCTGACTAGAACCAGGAAGTACGACCACATTAGTCCGGTCCTCAGGTCCCTGCACTGGCTTCCTGTGGCTCAGAGAATAGACTTTAAAACAGCTCTGCTTGTGTACAAATCTCTCCATGGCCTCGCACCAAAATATATTAGTGACATGTTAGTCCCATATGAACCAGCCCGGACTCTGAGAAGCACAGGGACTGGACTCCTGTTAGTGCCCAGAGTCAGAACTAAACATGGGGAGGCTGCTTTTCAGATTCATGCTGCTAAAATCTGGAACAATCTCCCTGAAAATGTGAAAGAGGCGTCTACTCTGTCAATGTTCAAATCCAGGTTAAAGACTGTTCTGTTTGCCTGTGCATACAACTGAAGGATTTTATATCCATTTCTAATGCACTGTGGTTATTTTATTTTATTTTATTTTTTTTTTATTCCTTGAGTAATTTGAAAGTTTTAATGGTTTTAATATTTTGTGTGATTTTAATGTTTGAATTGTGATTCTGGTGTTTGTTTTATGTGATGATTTGTGATGTGGAATGTGAAGCACTTTGTGTTGCCCTGTGTATGAACGGCGCTCTACAAATAAACTGATTGATTGATTGATTGAAAACTAGAGAAACATTTGTTTTGGCGCCAGAGTTCTATTGGTGTGTTCTGAAAGTTATGCACCCCAGCTTTAATGTAAGCAGATTGGAACCATCACGTTTCAGTTTTAGTCACATTAATCCTGACTTAAATATGGATCAGAAAATAAGCTTTAAAAAGTATATTTGCAGTTTTTAATACGGTGTCCGAACAAAAATATAAAACGCTTGTTTTGCAAGTTGCACAGCTGCGTAATGTCCGACAGATAAAGTCACAAGTATGACTGAAAAATCCTGCTTTAGCCCTGCTCTAGGATTACTTTAGTCCTGATTTAGTCCTACTGTACATTAGTCCTGCTCTAGACCGAGTCCAGACTTGTTTTAGGCTGCGTTTAGTGCTGCCATAGTCCCACTTATGTCTTATTTTAGTGCTG